CAAATTTTTCAACTTCAGCTGTCAATTTAAACTTCTTGAAGGCTTTAAATACCTCTGACTTCTTCTTCAGCAAAGAGATCCACATCAATCTCATGTGATCATCTACTAAAAGCAAAAAATACTTACTCTCTTAGAGTTTCAGGCTCAATAGGACTGCATAAATTGTCATAAATCAGTTCAAATCATCTTGAAACTCTGAAAGTAGAGATTGATAAAAATAAAGCTTTGGTTTACTTCGACTTCACACAATCAACGCAAAGATCTTCCTCCTAAAATTTTGAGAGTCCGTTAACCATGTAATGAGAAAAAAAGAGCTTCAAGGAACCAAAGTTCAAATGTCCATACCTCTTGTGTCATAGTCGTGAGGTGTCATCCTTGATGTGAAAATAATTTTCTATAATGTTAAGCTTCAAAAGATATAATCTTCCTGAATTTCTTTTGACTTTGGTCAAAAGTCTTCCTCTCAAATCATGTATAGTCAAGACTCCATTATCTAAGTAGATGTTGCAGCCTTGTTCATCTAATCTTCTAAGACTTAGAATATTGACTCTTAAAGTTGATGTGTATAGAACATTAGTTGAAATAATTATGTCTCCACTTCTCGTATTTAAGACAATATTACCTCTGCCTTCGATGTTAATTCGAGAATCATTTCCAAATCTCACTCTCTCTTTATAAAAATCATCCAATTCATGAAAGAGTGATTTCTCACCTATCATGTATGAGGTGACTCTTATGTCAAGATATTAGAGTCCTTGGCCCAAATTGAAACATGAAATTCTTTAGAAGACTTCATTTACTTCAAATGTCATAAGGAGATACGTCTGTGGGATTTATTTTTTTTGCAACATTTGTTTTTTCTTTATTATTTTTCACTCTCTCTTTCTTGGGAAATTGGCACTCATTTGAGTAGTGCCCCTTCTTCTAACAATTATAACAAGTCACCTTAGACTTATATTTAAGGAGTGATTCATCATTACTATCTTCAATCTTGAAAGAGCCTCTTCTTCTTTCTTTGCCATTGCCTCTTCCTCTACCGCGACCTCTACCTCTACCATGATTTTCATTAGTAGGGGCTTTTTACTTGTCTTTCCCCATGGCTCACGTGAGAAGCGACTTCTCCTTCCTCTTAATCAAATAGTCTTTCAATTTATCTTTGTGGACCTTTAAAGTGCCAATGATCTCAACCAAAATCGTGTTGAGGTCTTAAAATTGCTCAATTGAAGTGGTAATTGAGTCAAATTTACATGAGACTGAACGAAGCAACTTAGAGGTGACATCAAGATTCAAAATATTTTCATCGAGACCTTTGAGCTTAACCACCATGTAAGATAATTTACTAAGAAAATCAAAGATGAGTTTATCATTGTCCATATAAAGATTTTCTAAATTTTGTTTGAGGGATTGAATGTGGGCCATATGTAGTCATAGAACTCCTCCATTTTTCACCTTTAAGAAAGTTCACATCTACTTTGCAAACTTGTCCACATCAAGTTCACGTGTTATTTTCTCAAAAATAGTGTTGAACAAGATTGACATAACTTATCTGTGTTTCTTCCTTATAGGATTTTCTGACTTGAAGATGTTCCAAAGCTCAAGACCTTTCAAATGTAGACTCATACGAGTAATAATAAGTCTTCATTATCATAAATTAATAATAAATAAATAATATAGTTTTAACCTTAAATCATGATAAATAAACTTATATTTGTGTTAAATTATGAAAAGTAATTTCTAGTTGGTTAATGTGATTTTTGGTTAATTATGTGATTTTATATGAATTTCTACAATTTTTATAATCTTATTTTTGAGATAAATAAAGAAAAAATAAAATAAAAAATATAAAAAGGGGGAAGGGGGGGGGAACTTATCAGCCAGCCAGCCTGCAAGCAATTAAAAAATATAGTTGAGTGAAATCACAAGTAGGACTCAAACATCTATGGGTGATTGATTAGGACACATATGCGTCACTCCCCTTCCACGTCATCAATGGCCAGTCATGTATAGGGCAAGGAGTGGTCGTATACACATGAGAAAGAAACTCATTGATTCTCAAATCTCACATTAATATATATTTGTCCCAAAATTCAACATATAACTAATGTGGTACTAAACTCGCATCACACCTTCTCCAAAATATTTTTTATTATTTTAATACTAAAAATATTCTTTATCTATAACAATGAGAAACTATGATGATGTCACTATATAGGTATTCGAGAACTTATTTTCCTCTCTCTCATATAGATAGGTGACCAACGAGGGTTCAAAATCTATTAGAACCAACATTCATATTTTTATCTGATTAAATCGTGAATTTCCTATGGATCGTTGGTGAATTATTAAGTTGTCAAAATCACTCAATCATCAGCAAAAAGCTCGTTAGTGTAATTCGTGAAGTATCATTATTAAATTTATTGAATAATTTATGATAAAAAAGTTATAAATCTATCAAGTAAATCATATTTGATTGATCAACAAATAAGTTATTGTCCAAAAGAGGACGATCTGCCATAAGATGAGTCACCTTCTAAGAGCATACCAAATGTGATGAAGAGCTTCTTCTTATTGTGAAGACTTGAGGATAAACTCCCTAACACGTGTCCCACCTCTATTCAGCTCTTTTTTATTAGGTGACAATCACTAAAGAGTTGCAAAGTAGTTATTTTTTTGCCTCGCCGAGTGAGAGCTGTCGAGGATGATTCAATGACTCATTTCATTTATCTCTAGACTTCGTAAGAAGATCTAGAAATTACCTACATCATTTTTATCTAAGAAGAGCTTTTAAGGATGTGGACATTACATGACAATCCTCTCAAATGCTCAAGATTCTAGTGCATCGCCGACGCATCCCTGCCACAATGTCGAAACTTTATTTTATTATTTTTTAACTAATTTAACTTCCACTATCATTTTGTGGACTTTAAAAAGAGATATAAAAAATCATCCATATCTAAAAAGAACCTTTGAGGCTGTGGACATCGTTCGATGATCCTCCCAAACACACTAAATTCTGGCGATTGTTGTTGTAAGGTTGAAACTCTATTTAGATATTTTGTATGATTTAAAATTTTCAAACTACTCTTCATTCAATTACAATTCTTTGGGCTTTTACAGATCTTAATTTGACTAATTAAATCATATGTAATCACTTATGTAAAAATCATCAGTCAAAACTTTGTTTCTACTCAATTTGCATTTTGTCAAGCATTGACATCATCTTAACGTCCGCACCTTTATTTATTTATTTTGTAAATTATAAATATCTTTTATTTTCATTTCTTAGTCTAAACCTCATAAAAAATTATATTCCTTTGAGATTTTTTTTGAAATATTACCTGATATTATATTACATCTCTATAATCGACCTAATTTTTGAAAACTATTTTTAGAATTTTTACTAAATTTTAATTAATATATTTGTTTAGAAATACTTTTAAATATTTAAAATTAATATTTTCTAATTTTATAAATTTTAAATTTGCATGATTTATTATACAACAACTAAGTCACGTCAAACAACCCATACCTAGTAATTTAACTTTGTTGAGGACTAAACGGTTACCAATCTGAGTAGATTGCTCAATTCCTTTCACTCTTCCAATAACTGCAAGATTGTGAGAAGAACCTTTTTCCCTTTGCAAAGCCATTGCCGTTGATAATGATCATTGAATCATAAATACTCTAATACCAATTGAGGATTTACCTTTACAATCCTAGAAAATGTTAAGAAGAATATTCAAGAGAGAAAGAAAATCAAGATCCACCCCCTTTGTGTTCTCCGCATAGGTCCTTATAAGGGACCAGGTTGTACACCTTGTAGAGTAATGTCATTAAAGTAGTTACCAGTTGACAGCTGCCTTCATGGCAGCATCATGACCGTAATAAGCCCTTATAAATGGTCGTGATTAAAAGAGACAAGAAGAAGAGAGAAAGTTCAAAATTAAAAATAAAAATTGAGAAATAAATGTAGATATTCAGTTTCATTGCGGCATTTTAACAATTTTACAATGTAGATTTCATGGCAGCATCATGACCATAATAACCCCTTATGAATGGTCGTGATTAAAAGAGACAAGAAGAAAAGAGAAAGTTCAAAATTAAAAATAAAAATTAATAAATAAATGTAGATATTCAGTTTCATTGCGGCATTTTAACAATTTTACAATGTAGATTTCATGGCTCCAATTTTTTTATTGATTTTGCATGCTCATCTCCAACATTCCCTACCATTGACCACAAGGGCTCTGGCACCTACCAATATCACCTTTGGTGTGTAGAACCAGCCCATGTCGGCATTTGTCACCTTCATGTTCATAGTTTCCCTCTAGTAGGAAGAGGAAGATCGAATGTAACACTAGAGTTTTTTAAGATTTATGCAATTATTCTTTCTGGGAAGATGCATTGATTGTCTCTTCTATACCCCAAAAGACTTCCTTCTTTGCCTTCTAGATGTCAAGAGTTGGAAATAGAGACCCTCCCCCCATGTCTTCTATGGGCCACGGATCTTAATTTTAATTTTCTCCATGCCCAAAGGATGTGGCATTTGTTTCCTACACACTGGAGGAGGTAGAGAGAGAAAGAGAGAGCTGAAGAAATCTTGGGTTATACATGGTGTTCTCCACAGCCGCGACCTCCCATCTGGAGGTTCCTCTCTTGCTGAGAAATTATTTGCCCTCAAAAGCGATCAATTGTGTGGCATCTCTTAGATCCACATTCTGTTCGTCTAATGTTATCGAAGATCTTATCTGTCTCCTTCCTTCCACACAGATTTCTTTCTGTCCCACGCATTTGTGATTAGTTGACTATATGGATTTAGCCTGCAAACATTTTCTCACTTCATATAATGGGTGTTTGCATTCATCCCATCGTCAAGAATCAATTTCCTCATTGATCTCTGATCTAGACGTTTTATTACCTTCTATGATTGATCCTCATGGTTCTCCACTTTCTCTCTCTAAATAGTGATCAATACCCTCCTTCATTTGCAAGTCTGAAGAATGACTGATGTCGAACAAATTAAACCCCTCATGTTTGACAATGGAATAGGATGGATAAAGGTACAATGTTGGATAAAGAATCTTTATCTCTAGTCTCAAGTTGGTCGTCTCCACTATCGTAGGAAGTGGATTGATGATTCCCAGCGATAAATCATAGATGTTCATCCCAGAAATCGGGCTATTTATTTACATCACAACTATCATCCATGATGGATTACCCTATTTTTCTCAGTAGACTCCACTACATATGTATACGTATAAACATAGATGAAAATCCAAATTTTTTGTTTCCTATACCAAGATGATGCCTATTATTCTTGGAAACCTTAACCTCCTCAAAATCAAGGAAGAAGGTAGTTCCTTGAACATATTTTGAAGCTCTCTCTCTCTCTCTCTCTCTCTCTCTCTCTCTCTCTCTCTCTCTCTCTCTCTCTCTCTCTCCCTTTCTCTCTCGTTGTCTCCCCTCTCTTCTCTTCTCTCTCTTGGTCTAGAGAGCACATCTAAATGATGAGGATCTAGAGGTGGGAATTGTGCCGTTATTCTAGAGATTTACTCACAGTTGGGTCTCTGGCGTCTTCAGGTAGGGTTCGCTGGAAACGACTCGCCCATTGCCATCTTCCCCAGCGTAGTTAGGTGCCCTGGCCACACTGGTGAGATGATCGCATGGGCGAGAAGGACACCTACGTAGGCGATGAGGCGCATTCAAAGAGCAAAAATTTGACCCTCAAATACCCCATCGAGCATGGCATCATCACCAAGTAGGACGGCATGGAGAAGATCTGACACCACACCTTCAATAATGAGCTCTGAACGACCCTCGAAGAGCAACCAATTCTCCTCACCAAGGCCCCGCTCAATCCCAAGGCCAACCGAGAGAAGACGACCCAGACAATTTTCAAGATGTTCAACATTCTAGCCATTTACGCCGCCAACCAGGCTATGCTCTCCTCTACGCAAGCGGCTACACAACAGGTGAGCAAGCCATGTCCTCTGTTTCCTTCCCATAATGCTTGACTAATACTCAATTTCCTCTATTTTTTTGGGATCAATGATCGGTTGTTATCTCCAGCTTCACTGATTTGACGTGCATTTTTTAGTGCAATAACAACTATACTTTGGCCATATCATGTACAGGGCATTGCACAACTGTGGTTCAACATAGTAACACGATGATTTGACCATGAAACATTTTAGAATAGTAAAGCTGTCGTCTAATATTTCTATGAAAAATGACAAGTTTCACAAATGGGTTTTATTTAATATTTTACCAGCATAGGATCGTGTTTTTTGGTGATATTTTTCTGTGAAATAACAGCAAATAAAGTGCCTCATTTTTATTCTTGACCAATATTTGTTACAATAAATTTGTGCACACTCAGTTCCTGCTTGTTCTTGATTCTTCTCGGCCCCATGCATCCATATGGATTGCATTCATGCGTGCAGACATCGTGCTTGACTCCGGTGACAACGTCACACATGCAGTCTCCATCCTCGAAGGTGATGTCCAGCCTCACGCCATCCTCCGCCTGGACCTCTGTAAGGGTGACTTGGTCATCCTTCATTTAGCAAGGCCCGTGTGGGCCACATCTCTCTTTATTGGGCTTTCACTTATGATTGTTTTATATCCAAAAAATAGTTTAGTTCAACCGTTTTTCTGTAACCTGTATTTCAAGGGAGCTCGAGGAGAGAGAAATGTAAAAGGAAATAGACAAATCTAAGGCACATGAAATCTAATCCTCTCCAATGTCTACAAAAGGAGTTATGACATCATCTCCCTCATTTTTTCTCTCTCCTCCACTGGTGACTGATATTACTACTTTATTAACTTTGTTTCTACTACATTTTATTCTTTAGACCTTGTCATTACTCTTTTCTCTATTAGTTTATTAATTGTGAGGCGTATTTATCCTCTTCATACCACAGTGATCAAAGTCTTACTTTATTATAGCTCATTCTACATTTTCATTATTATTTATATATTGGAAGACTTGCTAGACTTGTACTCTTAAGTTTTCGCTAGATTGACAAGTCAATTCAGGCCCATTAAGAAGCTATTTCAAGCACTATTTTCTAATAACCTTGCTGTTCGGGACCTGACAGACGCCCTAGTGAAGATGCTGAAATAGTGCGGCTACTCCACCACGACGGCGGAGCGTCAGATCGTGAGGGACATGAAGGAGAAGCTGGCCTACATCGCGCTCGACTATGAGCAGGAGCTGAAGACCGCTAGGACCAGCTCCAATGTCGAGAAGAACTACGAGCTGCCGGACGGGAAGGCCATCACCGTCGGCGCCAAGCAGTTCGACTACCCCGAGGTCCTTTTTCGCCCGGCAATGATTGGCATGGACGGCCCCGGCATACACGAAATCATCAACAACTACATTTGGGTCGACCATGTTTCCCGGCGTTGACCACAGGATAAGCAAGGAGATCACGGCGCTGTCGCACAGCAGCATAACAATCAAAGTGATCGCACCGCCGGAAAGGAAGTACAGTATCTGGGTTGGGGGCTCCATCTTGGCCTCCCTCGGCACCTTCCAAGATGTACGTACTGAATACACCCTTCAAAACGGGATCCTTTGCTCTGTCCTTGTCGTTGTAGTTTGGATTCCTCCGGGTCTCACAACCAGCGGCTGCTATCCCAGATGTGCATCTCGAAGGCGGAGTACGACGAGTCGGCCCCTTCGATTGTGCACGACAAATGCATATGAGCGAGAAAGAGAGAGAGAGATCTGGGACCTACGTTGAATTTAACTGTCTTTAGTACGAACAGTGACCTTCATTTTGTCTACTCTTGATATGCTCGAATAGTTTGACTTCTCGAAACTCCGATCTGTATTCAGCCGAGACTTTGGGTTGCGAAGGGACTCACAAGGGCCTCACCTAAGAGCCCCAAACTTCCCTGCCGAACTCACTGCTCCGCCTTCAAAATGGACCGCACACTCTCTTGACTCAGGACTCGGAGTCGCTTTGACCGCTTCGGGCCTCTAAAAGTCAACGGTGATGATACATGGCCCTCCGATTCGATGACGTCACGTGAACGGCCGCATCCTTCCTGATGACTTTTCAACGGAGTCGGTAGGAACCGGTCGTCCATACCCGGTGGGTGTGATGCAGCCGCTGTGGGGGAGGAATTAATTACAAGCAAATGCTGCGAGGCTGGCTTCCAAGTGATCGACGGCGGAAACCAGTGCACAACGAATGCGCCCAAAGTCAGCCCCAATCAGCCCCGTCGTCTCGGGATCTCATCCTTCCCGGGAAGAAGAAGAAGAAGATCCATCGGCGGCGAGGTAGAAGAAGATTCATCTTTCGCGTCGATTTCTCCCGCGGCGATGGTGCAGGGTAGTATCAGCTGCTGACGATGAAGGTGAAGACGGGGAAGGTCCTTGCGGGGGCTGTAGCCGTGTCCCTACTCATCCTCCTGCTGATCCTCTGGCTATGCTTCGGCTTCACCAAGGCCTTCTTCATCTTCGCTGGGATCGACTCGGCGGCCATCCTCGCCATCTTCATCTGGGCTATGTTCAAGTACTCCTCCCTCGACCGCCGCCTGTCGATGGCACGCCGGACGGCCCTTGATGGCGAGGAGCTCCGCCTGCAGTACAGTATCCTCCGCAAGGTCGCCGGCCTGCCGACCCTCTTCCGCTACGAGCAGCTCGAAGCCGCCACCGATGGCTTCCGCGCCGTCCTCGGAAAGGGCTCCTCCGCCTCCGTTTTCAAGGGCATCCTCGACGACGGCACTGCCGTCGCCGTGAAGCGCATCGACGGGCAAGAACACGGCGAGGAAGAATTCCGAGCGGAGGTCACTGCGCTGGCCTCCGTGCAGCACCTCAACCTGGTGAGGCTCCTCGGCTACTGCTTGGTCCCCCGTGGGCCACGCTTCCTCGTCTACGAGTTCATCGAGAACGGGTCTCTCGACAGTTGGATCTTCTCCGGCGACAGCGGCAGAAGCACCTCCGCCGCCCAGCGGTTGCTCCCGTGGGAGCAGAGATGCGCGGTGGCTCTGGACGTGGCCCGGGCCCTCGCCTACTTGCACCATGACTGCCGATCGAGGGTCCTCCATCTTGACGTGAAACCGGAGAACATCCTGCTGGACGAGGTCTTCCGCGCCTGCGTGGCCGATTTCGGGCTGTCGAAGCTGATGAGCAGGGACGAGAGCCGAGTGGTGACCACCGTGCGGGGGACGCGTGGGTATTTGGCGCCGGAGTGGCTTCTCGAGAGCGGCGTGTCGGAGAAGTCCGACGTCTACAGCTACGGTATGGTACTGCTGGAGATCGTAGGCGGGCGGCGCAACGTGCGGCTCGTCGGCGACGGGCCGGCGTCGCAGAGGAAGTGGTCGTATTTTCCTAGGATCGTGGCGGAGAAGGTACGGCAGGGAAGGGAGATGGAGGTGGTGGACGAGAGGCTGCCGGCAGGGGAGGTGGAGGAGAACCAGGTGAAGGCGATGCTATACGTGGCGCTGTGGTGCATCCAGGAGAAGCCCACGCTGCGGCCGACGATGGCGAGGGTCGTGGACATGCTCTCCGGGAGGGCTCCCGTGGAGGCACCGCCCGAGACAGAGATGGTGGTGGTGGACCTTCTCGCCATCGACCACGATGACGCCGGCGACTCGGCGGCGGCGCCACCGCACGCCGGCCAAAACCGGCCCATGTCGGCGTACTTTGCCTCCCTGTCCACATTGTCCCCCCGGTAGGTAGAGGGAGATCAAAATTAACAGTATAATATTTATTTTATTTTTTCGCGATTTTTTTTCCAGGAGGACGCGTTATCCGTCTATTCTGTACGCGATAAAGCTCCATTCTTTGGCTTCTAGATCTCAACAGCTGCCAGCAGAGACCCACCCCTCGGTGATTCCATGGCCCATAGATCAGAATTTCCCAAGTACCCCCAGGATGTGGCGTTCCTTACCCACTTGAGGACAGACGAAGGAGAGAGAGAGAGAGAGGGTCCTTAGGCTCCAATGTTATTTAATGAGTGTAGTCCCCGATAGAAAATCTCGGCGAGCCCAACTTCCAACCTCTTTCCTCTAGGTCGGACGCGACCCCTGAAAGTGAGGTGGAATTGGGACCCCAGCAACCACAGACGGGCACGTGGTCAAGGCTTTTAAGCAGGGGCGAGTTAGGGCTGGGGCCTCATAAGTTGGCCCGGAGAGAGAAATTGACCTCACTTGGAGCCCAGTCTCTATCCCCAAGACGGGTTGGAAGAGCCACGTCTCCGCTTCGCAAGCCCCATGGAAGGGGCCCAGCCCATTGACTTTTACGAAAGGCTACGTGGGCTTTTGAACTGGTGAAAGTTTCAACGCTCATGCTGAAAACAGCGACCCAACACACTTTTCCCGAGATTCACCAGCGCGGATAAGCATGACCCGTAGAGCCGGGTCAAACCCACCCTCGGGCAATCTGATGCTCTTATTCAATCATTAGAACATTGTCCAAAAAGGGGACATTATTTTCCATATTTGCATAGTTTTAGAGTCTGGAGCACAGAATGCGCGGACCAACGAGGACATTTTCGGCATACCAAGTCTTCTTGACGATCAAATGGTTCAAGATCCAGAGTCAATCTTTACTAGATTATAATGCTTCTTTCGGCTCTGCATTGAGCATCCGCAGTTAATATCTGAGAATGATGTTGCCTCATCTCTCCAAGACAGAATGCCGATGATTGGACAAGGCAGTAGGACCCACGAGCACAATTTTCCTGGACCATATAAAATGCGCCTGGCGTGCTCAATCTAGCAATGTCGGGCCATTTTTTTAATAAACAGTCTCTAAACTCGACGAGAGAGAAGATAAAGAATCGGACGCCTACATGACGGGTTGCCGACTCACCTAGCGGCTCTCATGCCTCCACTTGCCCTCCAGCCTGGCTATTATTCTTGAGTCGACTTATTATTAAAAAAAAATACTCACTATCAAAAGTCTAGATTATGCTTTGTGATGATTCCATCATAGCCCACATTCGGCTAAGTCTAGCTAGAGAGAGAGAGAGAGGCGGTGACTTTGGCCGGGCTATACCCACACCCAGTGAAACCCATAAATCATGGAGGTGAACTGGTCTTCTATAAACCATGGAGAGAGATCCTCGGAGCTCCTGACTTCCACTGGGTTTCACAGTCATGAGGTAGCCGGACACTTTCAGTCCATTTTGGGAAACTCACAGGCTGGACGGGGCCCCTCTCCTGATCACGGAAGCATTCCACTCCAGGATCTGAAGGCATTGTGGCTCGGGTGGGGGCATTGGGAGATAAAAAGAGGAAGATCTCAGTCTCTGGGTTTGACACCGATTTGGGCACCAGACAATGGTGCATGGGTTCTCAACGACTGTGGGTGAGAACTGTGATTCTTGATAGTGTGGATGAGCATTGGTGCCTCCAAGTTCTCTATCAGCCCCAGATCTCATAAAAAAACCAGGTTTTTATCGGGCTTCTGAGCTCAGGACATACCAACATCAGCACACCGAGACATTATGAAACCGGGGAATCATTTCCAATGAGCATGAGAAACCCGAGATTGCACAATCGCTGAGAGCAAAGTCAAAACATGAGGCAATGGCAAAGGTTTCATGTGGGGAGCTCATCCACTTATCTAACTAAAGAGGGGGCGAAAATTCATATGATGCTGTTTTCAGGGTCATTAATGAACTGCCGATGTGAACCTTTCTTTCTAGGAGTAACCATCTAAATCATAGATGAAACATGTATAAGAGAAAGGCATAAGCTCAGGAAGAACACCTGCTCTGGGGAGTGCGCCGAGTGAATCCATGGACTGCTCAGCAGACACCCCACCTTCTGAGTCTGAAATATAGAGGGCCTTATGCACAAAGACTGAAGGGGGTGAGGAGCAATCCTGGGAGGAAACATGTACCTTGGAGAGGATGAGGATTATACAGGCTTCATTCATGTCCCTTGGCCTTTAGAAGTATTGCTGTATGGTGTAAGAGAGGGGAATGAGGGCACAGACTTGAGAACAAACTTGCGGAGCTTCGGGCTGCGAGAAGAGCTGGGAATCATCTCATCCGGGTACTTGTGCGGAGGAGACACTCTCTTCTTATTGGGTGACCCGACCTTCGGTCCCCTGTCGGGCATGCCGTCATCTCTGAGGATATCTGGTGTGTCGTCATCGTAAGCATTCGGCGCCCCACAGTCTGAACAAGATTCCAAAGCAAACTTGGTCTGACAGAAATTGGGCGCTGGTGTGATGGGTGAGCTGCGCTTCAATGGGGGACTTTTACGTCCTCGGAGAACTGGTTTTGTTCTCTCTCGGGGGTCAACGGTTGAGGCATTTGTCAACGGACTGAGGCTGCAGATGTCTCCAAATCTGTCCCATCTGGGTGAAAACACGTCCATTTCAGCCGCATCGTAAGCGTTTCTGCCCCTGGCTTTGCTAGCGGGAGAGAACTGGGAGCGAGTAGAGGCCGCGGATTCAGGTGAAGAGAGGTATTTTCGAGCAGGAAACTGGGATTTTGACACGTTAATGCCACTGTTCCAGCAAGCAACAGCGGAGAGAAATGAGTATATGCAACGATAAATGCCCATTAGATATCCGAGTTCAAGATCTCGGGGAGAAGGGGGGGGAGCTTACTTGGAGCCTTCAACCATGGGAGTGAAGGGGGAAAGATGCAGGAGTTTTGGCATCTCGGTCTGGACATCCTCTTCCTCTGCAATGAGATATACACTTCTTTCGTATTTTTCATTCGAAGTTTTTCTATGATCAAATTCGCTGTACTCGGCGCCTGAAAAGCATTGCATTACTTGATTTCAGACGTAGTCCAATCACCATCATGAAGCATTTATACGTCAAATAGATGAGAATTTAGGAAAAAAGGACATACGAAGTAGCATGAAGACCACATAAAAGCTGAGAAAGGAGAAAAGGATACGACTGCAAAGAGGAGGGTAAAACCAGACAGAATCCTCGTCACATCTACCAAGGTAGAAGACAGGCAAAGGAGAGAGAAAACAAAAAGAAGAGGTTTTCCTTATCTTTGATCACATAAAAAAGGCCAACCCGAAGATGATATACATTGCTTCCAAGCAGTAGGAAACAAACAGACTAGCCATATTAATCTTAGTCCTCTCTCTCTCTCTCTCTCTCTCTCTCTCTCTCTCTCTCTCTCTCTCTCTCTCTCTCTCTCTCTCTCTCCCCTCGTCCCCCCTTCCTCCACGTGGCCTTTAGGGTAGCTTCCAAGAGTATTAGCCACCAGTCAAGCTCAGAGAGACTACGGGATACGAAGAGCTAATTTTATAGCAAACCAATAATACTGTCCGAGTGAAGAGCTCACTCAATGTTGGACTGTATTGCACATGATCTTCCACATGACATTCATACTTCATGCCTTGTAACTAAAATCCATGGTTACCTCATGCAAACTACAAAATTGGGCTCTTCCACATGTGGGCAGCCTCGTCAGCCAGTTTTCGTGTTTTTTTTTATTATTATTATTATTTTTTATAGCGGGGGAGGGGAGGGGTTGGTGGGTGTGGGGGTTCATATTCCAACCCATTCTCTATCACCATAATATCTTCCAAAGGGATTTAACAGTGACTAGCTTTCTAACATTCTATATCCCACTTATTTTATCGACTTGATTTTGATTTACCATGGTACACTGAAGGATATAAAGCCGTTCAACATATTCAGAATTTTCTCTCTCAACAGAGTTCGTTCTATTGTCCTCCAGAACTTCCAATTTTTCTTGCCACCTAGACCCAGCTAACCACACCTGTTTAAGCTAAAAATTTCAAGAAATGCCACTTCGAGGACGGAATGAACACTTATCGATAGCTGTCCCCATGTTGCAATCGATGCCATCAACTCCAAACAAAAACAGTGTGGAATCTAGAAAATACATAATAATCAATTGAATAAATGAAGAAAAAATAATAAAAAGGATCAAAATAAAATACCACAACGCCAACAGGAGGTAAGTAAAGAGGGCATACATTAATGAAACGGAAATAAATAAATACAAAGTTTCAAAGAATGAAGGCTGTAGAATTTGACCTTATCATCAACTCGTAAGATGATTTCGCGTTTCATTTATTTTATTTGTTATCGGGATGTTTGAGACGTATTTATTTTTATTGAGCTCAGTGGTATAGAGTATGAGGTTATTTAAATTTAGATCTTCCTGGCGACCATGGTCTTTCAAAATGTAACAGCATGACAACAGTATATCATTGATTAAATGTGCCCAAAAACATGAAGTGCATAATAACATTGTTTACTTTTTTTTACTTGATCTGTGCACTGATGATTTAGAATATCTGTAGCGTTACGTAGACTTATTTCATCAAATATAATAAGGATCATTTTTATGGGATTTAAGTACCTAAGCACCCTCATTAACCATCCCATAAGAAAGGAATTTCATTTCACTCGAAATGAGACACTCTACAAATGTTGGATTCAGCTCATTCGAAACTTTTTTCCCCGCCTCCACTCAACCCATTATGGACTGGGTTTTCAAATGGCCATCTGAGACCTCATCATCAGTGGCTTGAAAAAAATAGGCGGTAAAATAAAGATACTTAATAGTTCAGATGTGATTATAGAAAATTCATCTAAATGTATATATCGGTACATTATACTGAACTTTGAGGTCTGTAAAAATTTCCATGCGAATCCAACACTAATGACTTTACCTCAGCATCTTCTTGGGGAGGAACGCAGGTGGGTTTCGCAGCAACAGGCAATTGCAACAATGCTTTTGACAGTGACAGCAGTGGTTGATTTTTATTTATTCGCCAGCTCTTTCTCCAGTCATTGGAGAAAAAGTCAGGGACCTTTCCAAGCCTTCAAGGAGCCAAAACTTGGCGAATACAAACGAGATTAGCCAACTTCCAATTTAAGTTTTTCCCATTTTAATGGGGAATTTGATCTTCACTACACTTCAGGCGCAATCAATTTTTTTCTAGCCCGGTTTTATGCAATTTAGTCGGCATACATCATAACATTTCTTCTAGTATGTTCATCATCATAGCATCCAAAATATGTCTCTTATTTTTTTCATGAAATATAGAATCCCATTCGCAAAAGAACTCATTGATAGACAGAATAGTCACCACCACTTTGAAGCGCAACTTAAATCAGGAGAGACACTGAAGACTTGAGAATAGATTAATAACTATGTCCGAGTAATAACTAATGCAGTGAAAATAGAGAATTTAGAATATCAAAGGCTTGTAGACAATGGCAACATACCAAATGAAGACGATTAAAGTATGATGATCAGAGTTGGCAAAAGCCAATCCAGTAGGTGAGGCAGCGTGTCCGGTCCCCATTCAACTAATTTATGAGCAAACCACATAGGGACAAATGAACTGATTTATGGGCTAAATCAATCTGAAAGTTTATTCTAGAGGTGTGGCTAAAATTCGGGATGATCTGATATAATCTTTTTTAGATCAACCAGTTTCCAATAGTGAGACTATTGGATGAAGAAAATGGTAGTTTGACTAATTAGCATATGACAGAAGAAAAGAAGAGTAGAGAAAAGAGTAAAAAATAAAAAACTAAATTAGATGTGTCACAGGTAGATGAAGCTTGGAGAACAACAGCTTGTCCAAGTAAAGACGGCAGCACTGAGGATGAACGGAGATCTGAGCTAGCTGAAAGCATTCCACTCAGGCTTACTGAGGATGAATCACTAGAGCTCACTAATCATTTTACACAGGACGAGGTGAAGGCAGTTTTTTTGAATTTATCAAGGGACAAACATCCTTGCAGATGGATTTCCCATAATTTCTTCAAAGCCGTTTTGGAATCATTAAACAAAATTTGGCAAAAAAAGCAGTGCAGGAGCTCAACGAGGAGAAACATCATTTGAGCACCCAGAACATAATCAATGAGTTGATGAACTCTAAAGCCATTTGACTTGCTAACCGTATATTTAAAGTTATTGAAATATTGCCAGCTGTACGGCTTGAGATAGTGATTAAAAGTTGATATATATGTAAGAATCAGAGAGCCTTCATCAAGGAAAGGCAGATTAAGAAAAAACTTTCAGTAGTTTATGAGTGTATTGACGTCATGAAGTCTAAATAATGGAAGGATTTTGATTATCAAATTGGACTTCGAAAAAGCATATGACAAGATGAGATGGGATTGCCTTTTAGAAGTGTTCAAGAAGACGAACTTTGATGACAATGGCTTTGTCGAACGTAGTCATATGTTATCATTGACAGATAAAACTTTTCCTTACTCAGAATCGAGTCTACATTCCCGTCCATCAAGGAACTGAATAGGGCAATCCCATAGGCTGTTCCCACTTCTGTGGCCAAAGTCATGCCTTAGGTATTCTCCTCCTCAGGTTCGTTAAATTCATCAAAAACCCATAGATCATTCTGGTTGTCTGCACGAGCAATGTATAGGATTAATGATGAACCCTCAACCAACTTTCATAACGGAAGAGCTCTTTTTCATAGTGACCCTTTCTCTGTTTTATTCTTCCAAGTTATAGAAGTATTCAATAAGATTTCAAGAACAACCAAAGCTTTAGGGCATGCCAAGACATTATATTCCGGACATAGAAGCTGGGATTTTCGATTTTCAAAGCCTAATATTGAGATGACATTATATATTTTTCATCAATGGAAGAAGAAATGTTAGAGTTTCTTGAAGACGAATTTGATTGATACTGGCTACGAATATTGATAATCTAGAGGTCCGATGGCCTCCATTGATACCGGGATGAGGTATAGGAAGCTTGTATTCGCCTCATGTGGGATTAAATCTCATTACCTGTAACATTCTTCTTGGGGTCAGTAGAAACTAAAGCCTGAATCTGAAGGCAGATTAAAGACAATAGAACAGTAAATTTGCCAGTGCTTAGTAAGACTGGCTTTCCAGCTTGTAGATCTACTATTTCTCTTTACTTCAAACCATAAAAGTGCACCAAAATAATTAGAGATTATTCAATTTAGAATAATGTTAGACACAGATTAGCATACGGTCAATTGGGAGGAATAAGGAGGTTATGGTTAGAGATTATTGACTCGAAGCACTAAAAAGTGAAAGCGACTTTAGAGACGACAACCTATGATTAACCTAAATAATTCTAAAATGTTGAGATCCATTCTGCAAGTTCAGTACGTAGTGTTGGCTGGCGGTAATTTCGTTTGAGGAATAGTCTAAGGACATTTTCGACAGACGGATGGTGTGGGAGCTTTTCCTATCATGAAAAATTTCAGGTGATTCCAAGTATAGCAATTAGCTCTGGCGCCACAATGATCAAGTCTTTTGACCATCCTGTGATCGGTAGGCATTACCATCAAGGTCTTGCAAGAAACCTTCTCAAAGAAGACACCGGATACTGCCATATTTCTTATGCGCATTGCTTAATTGGAGTTCGCCCTTAGATATCTTGTAAAGGTAAAGAAAAATCAAACAAGAGTATCTTGTGATAAGGTGACTTTTCTATCTTGAGAGCAACGGTAACAGAATTTGTCTCCAACTTCTAGATATCTTGGTGTTGTGAGTTTTTCGAGAGATAACAATAAACCTCATAACTGATTCGTGGTACTATGAACTCCAAAAAAAAGAAAAAAATTAATACCCCAAGAACATTGAGCACATGTGCTTGCACTTCAAACCTTTAAAGGAATCGAAGGCATTTTGAATGCTCATATCATCTAGAAGTAGAGAAAGAGTTTCGAAAGATTTTATGATCAAGATTGGACAAAAATTATCCCATGAACTTAGGGCATATAAAAAGAAATAATTTAAGTCAAATTAACGACAAAGAACCTATATCCATAATATTAGAAATTACATACCATCTTTTGTGCCATAGCTGTTTTTGCATCCTTCACACCGGCATCCCAAAGAACACCCAACTTTGGACTTTAAGACAAGTTGTAACCGGTAGTCAGAGTATGTCAAATGTAGGATATAAGAAAAGGCAATTAATGATGCAATTGAAGAAAAAAACCTGAAAGCATTCACAGTATTTTTTCAGACACTGAGATCTCTTGCAGTTGCATCCTCTTTTATGTCTGGCAGATGCAGGAGTGTGTTTGTCATCATCCTGATAGGTCAAAGTTAGGCCACTATAGTTCTTCATATTTATGTCAACTGCTGACAGGAACACTTACCCCACTGACTCTTGATGCTGCAGCATCATGAACTACGACTTTGGGAGCAAATGCTAGCGGATTACGAGTCTCTATCTGTTGCCGAGTTTCCAAGACAGTATCTTCATAGTCTGGACGGTTCAAACACCCTTGGCAGGCGCAAGTATCAGTGCAATACATTCCCGCAGCAAAACAGTCACAATACCTGGAAAGCGAAACGTTTCCCAATCAATTAGGGGATAAGTGAAACATTGAAAAAGGTGCATGTCCATTTCCTAGCTCAGAGAAAACTTACAACTTCAAGCATTTCGATTTCTTGCAATTGCAGCGTTTGCAGCCATCATTCTCAGGTGATTTTTTACTGCGGAGCATGAATTAAGACATAATGCAAGTGAAAAAATGAAGATGTCAAACTTGAAAAATGAATAGAAAAAAATTACCTTTTCTTCTTGGGGCTCATCTCATTTAAATCCTCGGATCTCCAAGAACCTTCGGGATCCCTTTTCACGCTAGAAGGAGCAGCGACTTGGCTAACAAACGTTGGTGGCAGGCAGGTTTTCAAAGGATTTACTATCAGTGTGTATTGCAGGCTAAGAGAGTAGTTCGACACTGTAATATCCAGATTCTTTTGTTGATCGTGTTCACTTTTATCAATAGAACTACAAACCAAAGCAGAATGAGAATTCACATCTGTCTGAACGGAAACATTGCTCGTTAAGGTCATAGAAGTTGAGCAACCTTTAGAGTCAATCATATTCTGATCACTGGAACAAAGTCCCTTTTCCAACTGTGAAGTCAAGGAATCTTTCCCTAAATCTCTGTCCACTAATTGCGTGTTTACGTTGCAATCCTTAGCAAGAGCATTTCCAACGCTATTTAAATGTAAGCCAATACCAGCTGGTCTCGGATCCGTTGCAGAGGAGCTTCCATTCTTCTGAATTGACAAATCAAACCTATCCGCATTGGCTTCTGCAGTTTGATGCTTACAGAAAGGTGGTTTGCACAAAGCATGCGCAGAAGAGTCGGGATCTTTCTGAAAGTGAGATAAATCAGGTGAAAAGTAGGCAAGCACGTTGTCAGAGGCTCCAACTGATTCATTGTGTGATGCATTTCGCGTTTCCAGGTCTAAAGAGCCTGAAGGAGACTCAGCTTTTAGGATCCTCTCATCAATGTTGCATAGGCTTCTGCTGGATTCAAGGTTCGTCACTTGAACAGCAGAATGCATAAATTCAAGGCGTCTCCGCATTGCATACACAAGTTGGCATCCCTCCTACATTGAATCCCAATGTTAACAGTGCGGTATAGCTTATGTAGAAAACTAAGATCTTAAGATCAATATTTTAAAAGCACTCGATTTAAAGGAAAGTATACGAATCATGAAAAATAAATGTCTTGGAGGCCAAGTGTACTTTAAAGGATTCAACTAAAAGAATAGAAAACTTAAAGGAATTGAAGAGAATCCTCACAGCATATTACGATGTAACATTAAGATCTCAATTACGGAGTCAAAGACAGGCAATCCAGCTGTTACAAAAGTTCACGAGAAAAAAATCATAATTCATGCTAAAAAAGTCTGATTGGAAATACGCATGGACAAAAAGAGCCATAAAGAAAAACTCTGAGCTACTATATTCATTTGTAAGTACAAAGTAATTTAAAACGAATAACATTACAGGAATTCACATAAAAGGTCCGTTAGTCTCGGACAAAGTTGATGTTATCCTCGATGGACACGCAAGTCGGTAAGTTTATCAGCGGCAAGCAGACTACTTCTACCAGAATAAGTGACTTTGGCTGTATCGAAGCCAATATCATTCAAACCATATGTAGATAAGAAACCTTCGTGAATGGAACTGCGTTCAAATTGGTCCCTCAAAATCTGATACGAGATCAAGTAATATGGGACAATTGGGTTAGACTTAGCAATTCCACTGTGGTACCAACCAGCTCGAATTTTCTTTTCCATAATCAATCAAAAAACTCAGGACCATATTGTCATATGCCAAAGACTAGGAACGACCTGGAATAAGTTTGAAGGTTTGTTGGCCAATCAGTTGAATAATGGAGGTTACTCCATGCAAAACATCATCTGCAGTAAGGCTGTGTCAAGTGACCTGGCTATATTCATTATGAATTGATATTATACCAGGTAAGAAACCACAACGTTTCTTGCAATGTAAAATGGACATCAATATGCCGCAATATAGAGTGCTTCAGGACTTTTTCCAGTGATGCATAATTTGGGACAGAGGTCCTATGCTACCCCCAAACAACCCGTATGTATTTATTCATCTAGGGTGTATATGGATTGCAAAGAGAGACCTCACACACCAAAGCCACAAAAAGGAACAAGTTGAACCAGCATTGGAGAAGAGGCCAAGTTGTCCTAAAAAAAGTCGCATCCTTCTTACATTGATAGTGCTTCAATTGAGGAAGACAACAAATTAAGACAAATCTGGGTGAAGATGCTTTTGATTGCAGGGAACCAAGTAGCTCTTCTATTTATTCCTCCAGAGGCATTTTGTCCATTTTGATAAAAAAATTCTATATTTTTCTAAATAGAATACTATTCACATCTAATCAAGGAGTCTAGGAACATGATCCTCAAGTAATGATTTGCTTGTGCGCTTATTAGTTTTACATTTCTCTTTTCCCTCAGACTTCTTTCCATGAAATATGCCCCACGTCAATAGATAGTTTTTTTTCATGAAGAGATGAGAGGTCACAAATCTGTAAGAGGTATTGGGCCATCCAGCTCCAAAGGAATTAGCAATGAGTAGATTAAGCCCATCTTTATAATAATAAGTTTACTTTTCTAATAATCAACAGAGGAGAATTCTTAAAACGCCCCTCCATGAGCAAGCCGACTTGGAGCTATTTCAAGTAGACAATATCGTAGGTGTGTTCATCATCGGAATAACTATTGGCTTTGATACCATGTCAGAGTTATTGGAACATCCAGTTCAATAATCAATGCAGGACTGCTGTTAACAAACACATACCCATTGTGGCTTTGAAGACAAACACGCTTGTTCATTGGAAACTCCAATTTTGATGGATGAACTACAGAGAGATGTGGAGTTGCATTGCTGGCTTTCATCCGGAAGAGCAACCTCCAACGATTTTGGTTGTACCTGCGAGTTACTGTCCCATTCCATACTCTGATCCCTTTCAGTTAAAACATCAGCATCATTAGAGCAGTCCAGGGGAATGGTAGATTTTTCCTTTTTGCTAAACTCTGAATCATCTTCCACGCTCTCTGGCACCACAGAAATATCAGAATTAGCAGTATGGCCCTCCGTGAGCTGGAAACCATGCAAATCAGAAGCAAGGACCTTGGAGGGATTATACTTCATGGCAGTCTGGGCCACCAGTTTAGTGCAAGGACTCAATTGTCTATCATTATTTTCACAACAATCATCAGCAACATTTATCGAATCTTTGTCCTGATCACAGTTCATTTGTATAAGTGGGATGTCCAGTTCTGGATTTTCTTCTGCTTGACATACCATTGTTGGCGATTCCACACTCTCAAGTTCACCATTCTTAATATTCCCAACCTGAGGATAAAACTTCTTGCTTGCCTCTGTACTGCTATTACTGACAACTTCTACAACTTGTGGAGGATAATGAGCTGGAAACTTATCAAAATAATCGTTTGTTTTTCTGTCTCCTTCTTGATAAGAGAGGATCTCATTGATATAGCCTGAAGAATTACAGCCTTGAAATTGAACAGGTTCAACTTTAGGAGTTTTGTTAGGACTACCAAATCCACCCTGAGAAGGCAGACCTAATTCAATGGCCTGATCCAAGCAAGGATTCGATAAAGCTGAGGAATTGACAGAATCTTCAACTGGATCTGCGAAAAATTCATCAACGCAATCTGATGGACTGCTGCAAGACAGAAGTCGGGTGGGATGTTCACAATTAGTGCTCATCGTGCAAGGAACCATGATTGACTGAGAGGTGTCACCTCCATAGTGAGATGTCTTCTCTAAGATCTCCCTAATATTACCAGTATATCCTAGAGAAAACTTCCCTGAATCAGGAGACAGATGCTGAGATCTGCACAGACAATGCATAAATAAGCAGATGCTGATTCTCAAAGGAAAAGGTGATTATCAATCAGATGAAAATAATGCCGGTATGGACATCACCTTTTCAAAAATTTATCCTTCCGTACTGGATTAACGTGTGGTGATCTGAATACAGGTGATGGAGACGGAAAGCTAAGCTCCCGAATTGCAGAGGGAGCACACACATCACTTGTCAGCTTTATCGGTGACAAATTGCTAACATAAGTAAAAAAGGGTGACTCCTAAATGACAAAACGCCAAGGTTAGAAACCTGCATTGCAAAGTAAGATCAAGACTAACAGCAACAGCAACAGCATCATCATCATTACCAGCAAGAAAGAAATCCCAGATTAATGTGGAGAGGTAAAACAGGCCACAAAAACCAATGAAAAGAAATTTTGATGTCCAAATATCCTAAACATTATTTTTGTGAGATTGAAGCCATAAAATTCGTTGTCAAGGTATCACATAGGCAACAGCATAGACAAAAAGGCAGACATATTGATCACATATCAAGTCAAATTAGCCAGTAGGCTTAGCATCTTTTTGTAAACCTCGATTTTTCTGCAAGTGTCATATCAGGAATGTTGCTCAGAGAAAATTAACATTGGCATGCCATCCTCAAATAATCATTTTCAGATGTTTATAATAAGGTAAAGTTATTAGTAAATCAAAGAATGCTGGTAAAATTACATCACATGTATTTAATGACAACACACCAGATCTCATCGTTAAGCTCAATAACCTAACGTGGTCAACGCAAATAACTATCTTTATTAGCATCATTGAAGTTATCACTCTACAAGAAAGGAACTAGGATTGTGAGATATGAACAAATATGGGGGAAAACATTTATGTAAGACATCTAAACACGAAGTTTTCCCCAAGATAAAAGGCCGTGTAATATCTGAAGCAAGTTTCCTTATTATACCAAATAAACGATCAAGTGCTTGAAATTATTTAAGTAAAGAATATGAACATTTCTTGTTTTTCGATTCATATGAATAAAACGTTTATGGACGTCAATGTATCAAGTTGGCCTGAGATAAAGTTGGTATAGAAAAAAAGATTTAAATTTTATATTATAACTTAAAAATTATTTCTTTTAGATATAGATGTCTCTTTAGAGCATAGCATGTCTCGATACCTTGAGAAGCAAATAGCTCACCAATATGCTTTGGATTTTCCTTAAGAACATGCCTTGATACCTAAGTGAAGGCAATAGCTCACCACCATGAATCGATTTATCACCTTAACAACAACGGGTATTTATTTTGTATAAGCCGATTAAAGTGTTGACAATAAAAATAGTAAAAATCAAAAAAATCAAAAAAATAAAATCGAGACAACATATGACTCGTCAAACTTCCCCCACCCATTATCCCTAAATAAGCATAATATTACGGGCATAAACACCCTTCTTTATTATAGGGATGAACATCCTGAATGTCCCTCAGATATAGATGTATTCCCCTAGAATTAAAAAAACCTAAAAAGCGAGCCTGATCATGAACAGCTCAAGAAGGAAAATAGACACAACGACGAAACTTCTCAGAGAAACAAAGAAAAGGTGACAACGAACAGGAAAGGGAACCAAATCACATACGGGAAAGGGAAAAAATAGGAAAAATAGTTATAGGGCGCCGGAGTAACACTGAACAGACAAAGAAGCAACAATGCGGGGGAACTAAAGGATCAAAGAACGCGAGGATGTGGTAAAGAGAACAGAGCAAAAAAGCAAAAAAAAAGAAAAAACCTGGACACCAGAAGGAGAGGCGACGGTGGCGCTGAGGGCGGCGGGTGCGGGGACAGTGCTCTCCGGGGAATCCATGGGACGAAGGGACGGCGCTCCCTACGGTCGCTCATTACTGCTTCCTGCAACCGATCGGAGAGTGGGGCATTTTTTTTCCTTCTTTCCTTCTATTTTACTCTCCCAACGAAAGATTTTTGTTTTTTCTTGAGGACGTAGAAGAGCGGGGGAGTGAGGCAGGATGTAACCTCTCAAATCGGCTTGCGCGCGAAGTAGACAATTCCAAAAATACCCCCATGCTCGGCGGCTGGACCGACGGCCACGTGCCTCGGACCGGGCAGTTTCATCGGAGTGCCGTCACCACCCACGAACATTACATCCTACGGTCCAGAATAAAAGAAATAAAAGAAAAAAATACTCTAAATTTACTCATTCCTGATATTATTATTCACTAGAATATTAATCGACCAGTTTATAATCAGATCGCGTGCTCTTTGGAGAAAACCGAGGGATTTCAATAATATTTTAATTTCGATGTGCTCTTTGGAGAACATCGAAAATTCATCCTAATAAACATCTGGGTACATATTCCAAAACGATGGGTTATATACTAATAATAGTAATAAATATTAAGAGGGTGTTATTATTATTATATAATAAAGCACACTCATTAACATCGTTAATGCCTAATGATAAAAAACATAAAAAACCATGGCGAAAATCCTGTACACAGGCGGAAAGATTAAATATTTAAGAATGTAGCTCCCAAAATTGTAGATATTTGGTCAACTAAATATAATACTGCAAAATATCTTATTTTATTATACTAATAATAATAATAATAATAATACTAACAAGGGGATGTGACCCACAAACTTATCATAAATTAATCGTTAAACATGTAGATTATTCCTTATTATAAACCATTTATGATTTATAAATCAGATTTTTCATATTTAGTGCACAAAATTATAATAATTATGTGAAAATAAATACTACTAGATTGAAGTATACATTTTTAATATATAAATATATATTATATTCACAGAACTTTATGCACGAATGGTCATTCATCAAGCATCCACTGCAACGCCTAATCAAAACAAACTATGTATCAATGTCTGGGGGAGAACACAGTCACTGCTGTACTCTTCAGAGGTAGGGAGGCTGTGAATCCGGGAAATAACAAAAGGAGAAGGAAGTAGAATCCTCAGTCAAAAGCATCATCGTCGTCATCTGGAAGCGGCTGAGCGGCAGCAGCAGCAAGATCAGCCTCATGCCTGCAGAGAAGAGAGCGTAATGAAGAATGAAGCCTATAGATTAAAGAGGGCGTGGCAGGAGGGGAATATGCTCACTGTTGCTGCGCAGCCAAGTCGATCTGCACTTCAGGTGGGGCGAGGGCTGGAGACTCGACGAAGTGAAGATTGGGATCCCTGGGGAAGAGAAGGGGGTTCACATGGTTAGGGTTGAACAAAAAAAGCAGGGTGTGAAGGAATAATGCCCGAGAGGAAGGGGACGGTTCACTGTACCCTGCGAGCTTTCTAGCAAGATAAAGGAAGGGTTTCTCAAAGTTGTAGTTGCTCTTGGCAGAGATCTCATAGTACTGCAGATTTTTCTTCCTGTGGAAAGTCACTTGCTTGGCCTTCACTTGCCTGTTCTTGACATCGACCTTGTTGCCACAGAGGACTATTGGGATATTCTCACACACCCTGTTTCAAGATTTGACGACATTCAGAATGGTTCTCTCGATCAGGAGAGAAAACAGTTTGAGAAAGACGTCACGAACCGGCACAGATCGCGATGCCATGTGGGCACATTCTTATATGTCAACCGAGCAGTGACATCGAACATGATGATAGCGCATTGCCCGTTGATGCTGTAGATGAAATATAGTAAACCATTAATAACCAGCAAGAATGCATGAGGTGATTATCATATAGTATATCAGGTGCGGAAATGAATCCCTATTAAAATTATCTCCTTTGCATCAATGCTTTCGGTGAAACCGAAGCAGCTACTTTTATCCCTGACCAGCGAAGATTTAGCTTCAAATCATGAAAAGGTCCCATCAAACAATCATTCCAACAAGGTGAGAGACTTCCTATAACCCAGAAGATTTTGTAACCAGCCACCTGACCTCACCCAGTGGGGATAATGCTACTTTTGAACTGTGGTGCAGGGAACTGCATTGATGTTACTATTGTCACATGGCTCTCAACCAGCACTGGCAGGAGTGATTTCATCAGGGGCACTTATTGATCTGATAATGGGACAATTCATTGGTCACCCCGTGTTCTAGATATATCTAGGTGTCACAACCCCAAGGGCTGCAATGAAGTTAAAGATCAAGTCAGACAAGCAAGAGAATATGCTCGAATTATTGACTGACTCCAGGTCGGGAGAACCTGGGAAGAACACAAGCCAAGAGGAAGGAAAGAGGATATTCTTTGCAATAAGTCAATAGTAATAGGGTTCTTTTCACTCTCAGGTTCAGCAGTGAAGATGGTAAAACATGCTCCATTCCAATACAACTATAATCGACGACTCAACAGTCAAGCGACCAAAGTCCTTGATCATATGACCCATAAGGAAAAAAAAGTATTATCCACTTCAGTATAAAAATTACAAAAAGTTACATAAAAATCTGCGATAACAGTCACGAACTCATCAGAAACAGCCCAACAAACGGAAAACGCTTTTGCATTCTGAAGAACAATGGAAAACACAAAAAAACTGAATAAAGCAGCTTGTTCAAGCCTAAATCAATACTAATTGCGGAAAGAATCACGTTAGGAATAAGAAATGAGAATAAAAGTACCTAAATCAAGCACATATGACAAGATGTGATATATACAAGTTGTCATAAATGCAAAAATAAATTACAGAACTTACTAGTATCCATCTCTAAGGCCACCGAACTTCTCTTGACCAGCAGTGTCCCAGCAATTAAAACGGATTTTTCCACAATTAGTGAAGAAATCCAAAGGGTGAACCTCAACACCGATGGTCGCTGCAAAATAAATATTAAATGAGATAAATGACATCTTAAAGGCTTACCTTCTAAAGATCTAAATGACGCCGGGACACATTAACATAAAAAAGGCACATACGTTCGTATTTCTTTTCAAACTCTCCAGTGAGATGCCTTTTCACAAATGTAGTTTTCCCTGCAAAAAAATTAAATTATTAAAATTTTAAATTGTTAAATCAGAAACCTTAGCAACTAGCTATGAGCATAAGGCGCCGGAACACATGCAACGGATCAAGGATCGAGATTCAAAAAGTGCAACACGAGGAGAAGGACTTTGCGTCCGGCATCATGAAACATAGGTCCTAGATATTTTCCATAGCCCATATTTCCTATTCTAAATTTTTCAGTCGAGCATCACGAAAACTCTTATAATATAATGCATGCCCATTATTTAATTTCAGTTCCTATTTGCTTACACAAACGTTGGGGGAAACCTAAACATGAAACGATTCCCCAAATATGAGCGCTGCTTGACATGTATATGGAGCCGAAAGTACATGACATTGAAAATTTTCACCTTCGTCATCTTAAAGCATTGCCATTTCCTAATGAAAATATTTGACACCATCCCCAGGGAACCCAAACAAACGAACGTAGAACGTGCATAAAAAGAAAGATGATATGCTCAAACGAAACTAAGAGAGAGGCGCCACCGGTTCCTCCATCGCCAACGATGACGAGCTTGAAGTTAGGGCAGTCCACCGCTTGCTGCATTGCCACTGCCTTCTAAGAAGAACAACAGACAACAAAAACCCCGGTCACAAAAAACCCGGCGACACCCGGAAGACGCGTCATGCGTCGCCTGGGAAATGGAAAAGAATAGAAACCCTCACGGGAGGACGATGACGCCCGAGCAAACCTAGGAGCTCCTTGACGCCGCCTTCCTGCCCACCGACCTGAACACGGGAAGAGCTCGAGGAGGAGAGGGAGGGAAAAATAAAACAAACGCAGCCAGGTGTAAAGCCGGCGAACCCTATTAAGCAGATCCTCTCTGCTTCGAATCCACGCAGGTTTCTCGACCGTCCGATCGAACAGACGACGTAGGCCAATCTCCACGCGGGGTTCACCGTATGGCTTATACGGATTGCGCAAACTAGACCGTCTGATCAGCCCATTACCGACTCTGGGACAGTTTCGAGTCAAGCAAATCCGCTGAACCGGGTTTGATTCTCGAATTTACTATTTATTTCCATAATTAAGTTTATTTAACTAATTCCATCGGAAGACCGCCGAGTCAGGAATCGGACCCACTTCACACGTCACCCAACCGTTGACCTCTTCTCAGAGAGAGAGAGAGAGAGAGATAGAAAGAGAGAGGGGGGGAGACAGATCCGTTGGCCCACAAGTTGAAGCGTAATTGAAGGGACAGGTGTGAAGTGGTGACACGAAGCCCGATACTATAAATTTTCGGGCCCTCGAGATGGTAGTCATCATCCGACAGTTGGTTACAGTTGAAGGACCCTTTTTGCCCCATCCCTCGCCTGCTGGTGCTTCCACCTCCCGATCCTTAGAATGTCGAGCCAGGACATCCGCCACAAGGCCAGCGAGGCCATGGGCCAAGCCCAGGTGGGAAGCTCCTCCCTCCCCTGTCGATTGCTTGATCCTTTCCACCTCCACCGGATGCTGTCGATGGACGAACGTCTGGCGGCTTCCAGATCTCCGGAAGCCGGACGGTTTCTAGTGCTTTTTCTTCCAGATCTTCTATTCAAGAGATAACATGTTTTCCTTTCCCCCCTGCGATGGATTCTTGCAGGCGAGGAAGGAAGAGATCGCCGACAAGGCGTCGGACGCCTGCCGCTCGGCGTCCCAGTCCTGCCAGGAGGCCAAGGAAAAGGCCGGCTGTCTCCTCCAGCAGGTACGCACAAATCGTAGGAAACTTTGGAAAAGCCCTGGTCAGTCCATTTCGCTTGGGGATTCTTCCAGTCTCGTCGTTCGGTAGGATTTCGAATATTTTTCTCTCAGCTCATTCTCTGATTCGAGCTATTTGCTTTGGCGATTGGGGCCTGTAGACCGGGGAGCAGATGACGAACATGGCGAAGAGTGTCGCAGATGCTGCTACCAGCGCTCTCGGCGTCGGCAGCGACAACAACCCCACCTGCAGGCGCTGATCGCGTGCGTGCCTCTGGAGCCCGTTCGTCGCGTCGTTCGCTATGGCTGCATCGACAGGCGCGATGATTTTTGCTTGATTCCCCTCGAAGTCCACAGTCGCCTCCCCAAGTGAAGGCTCGTCTTCCTGTTTGTTGTTCGTCTCTTTTTATTTTCCCGCCCTTTTGGTAATGCTCTGGGGCTTCGTCGTGCACACGGTTAAGATCGTGGGTAGCAATCTCGACGCCCTAACTGCCACTAATAATACGCCGATCTCGGATTCCCATTCGCGCCATTCGCCAGATCCACGTGTCACAATAAGATCACCCCCCCCCTCCGCGTTCACCGACTCGGAGGGCTTCACGCTAATTTCTTTTTTTTTTTTGTAGAATTGTAGAAATAATATGTGGGCCCACTGAGGACGGTTCGCTTTCTTCTGTTTGGGGGTAGTTCCGTCTTTAGAAAATGATTTCCTTGCGTGGCACTGTCTCCGATCCCCGTCTTCGTGGAGAACAACGGGAGAAGGTGCGGAAGGAGACTCTCGACGGCAGTCGCGCCGCAGATACGAATCAAGAGCGAGGGCTCGCTCGTCCTCCATCTCTTCTCTCCACTGGTGTGGCTTTCGTTCTCCAGCGCTGCATGCGAAATTATAACGGTGAGGCGGAGGGGAGACGGAGGTTGGTGGTACGTGTGAGCTGCCATGGCGCTGACGGGTGTGAAGATGACGGAGGAAGTGTGGCTGGCCTGTCTCAGCCACGCCCTCTCAACGGAGAGCGAGGAGATCATGGGACTTCTCCTCGGCGACACCCAGGTAAGTTTCCCCGTCAATTTCTATTTCCGATTTACTTTTCTTCACGTCTTTCACGGCGAGGCGGTCTCGGCCTTGGTCTCCGACTTGGGTTTTCTGTATTCGTAAGCGGTGATCGACGGTGGTAGGCGGGAGGTGCTTTGGCGTTCAAGTAATGTGGAGAATTTTTGTCGTTCTTATTCCTCGCATCCTTCTTTTTGTGACGTTAGGGGCGGTATCTTCGAGCATGGCAATAATAATAATGGTTTGTTTATGACCGGGTCACTTATTTGTCTCCGTGCTTATTCCTATGTACGGACATTGACATCAGTTACTACAATTGCTGGAGTTGCCTATATGCTGGATCTGCGTGTTTTCGTTGTGTATTGAATAGGCCTTTGTTGGAACTTTTTTTGATGCTTTTAGAGTGGAGGTAGTTTCACATTCACTTTGGCTTTGATAGACGCCTATATGAAGCTTAGACATTGACATCAGTTACTACAATTGCTGGTGTTGCCTATATGCTGGATCTGCGTGTTTTCGTTGTGTATTGAATAGGCCTTTGTTGGAACTTTTTTTGATGCTTTTAGAGTGGAGGTAGTTTCACATTCACTTTGGCTTTGATAGACGCCTATATGAAGCTTAGAAATGCATTTTCTTCCTGTTCGTTCATCTTCTTATGGTTTGAGGAGTTTAAATTGAATAATCTTTTACCCTTCACGGTTATGAATGGTTTCCTCTCTGAAATAAGTATATTGAGGAAATTATTAATGAAACACGTTAGTATTTTTCTCAGTTTTTATTTTTTAATCCTGATCTGGATATCTTGGTCATATTTATGGCATATGAAAGCATACTTGTATGAAAAAAATGTATTTCCTGTCAGATTGACTCTTCATCTGTCGCCACATGCCATCTCATACAGCATCTATTTATCTGTGTGTGTGTGTGTGTGTGTGTGTTGTGTGTACATCTATATAAATTCGATTTCCTAGTTTGAATATTTGATGGAAGTTTGGGTTTGATAATAGCTGGAGATAATTGGATTTTACTTAGTCCGAACCATGTCATTTTTTTAGTCACAACAACTGTCATCAAAGAGCAGTGCTGGAGATGAATCCAATGCCATTTTCTTTCTGGACTTTAAGCCCGTTCTTATGAAATGATAGGCTAATTATTTGAAGCTCTGTAAAATATGACCTATTTCGTATCCGAGTATAAATTAATGTTAGAGGACAGATGTAAGTTGATGAACACTTTTCATACTCATAATCTTAAAGCAGCCTTATCTCATTGAACTAAAGATCATTTATTTGTTAAACGTGACTTGGACAATGTAAACACGGTAAGCTCTTATTATCTGTCAAACTTTCTTTAAACTGTTGAAGAACATCACTTTTCTGCATTAGTCAACGTGATTGCCTTTACTAGAGTCATGATAGGTGTTATTTTAGACGAAAAATGCCGCCATTTTTTGGAACTAATAGTTTCCTCAAATGAATTTTGCCAGCATGCGGCTGATGGAAGTGTAATGGCTTTAATTTGGGGAGCCTCACCTCAGGTGAGGTCTGACCGTCGAAAAGACAGAGTTGAGACTAATCCAGAGCAATTGGCTGCTGCATCAGCGCAAGCTGAGATATCCAAAACATTTGTCATATTCATAGTATTGAAACTCTCTCCAGATTATTTTGTAACATTTTATGGGATGTAAGGTGTTTAAACTTGACCTAGTGTCACAGAATGACACACATAACAGGACGGACAACAAGGGTAATTGGATGGTACCACTCGCATCCACACATTACTGTCCTGCCATCTCATGTTGGTAAGCCAGAATTAGTGATGCATTTGCATTCTTTCCCTGGAAAAAAAATGAATGTGAGTTTTTCCTAGGCTGCTAATATTTATCTTGTCTTATTGCCTTCCTACACGTTTCTTAACTTTTGATGTTCCGCAATTTTTTTTTGCTCAAGTCAATCTGGTTGCTTTCTTTTTTTGAGCTAAGCGCATGCTTTCTGCCAGTGTTAGTGACCATTAAGTGGCAACGATAATTTAAGGGATTCATAGTTACCTTGCTTGTATTGGCAGCTCTATTCCATCCTAGTGTCTTACTGGCTCAACAGCAACAAGGGTTTACATATGGGAAATATGTTGTCCTTTCCAGTTCTATCACTGCTGCATTTTTGCAGCTCTCTTTGTTACAATGTTGTGTGGATCAACTGTAACGTGATTGATTTTTTTCGTTCCACTCAATCTCACTGGGTTCAGAGCTTTTTCCAGGAGGAAAAATAATGGAGTTAATCTTTTGATTGCAGAAAATTCGATGTTTCTTTTTGGAAACTTCATCAAAGGGCATTTTCTGATCACATGGGTGATATACTGGAAAAAAGTGCACTCAGTAGACTTGATGAAAAATGTGATGGGACAGTTCTTGGATGGTTAGAATGTCCTAAATTCAGAAAGCAAAAGGGGAACAATCCGTTTTTTAATTTCTATGTCCTCTTTTTGTGAAATCTTTGCTATATTTTAATAGATGGATACAGTTTTCTGAAAGCTGATAACGTCTTAGTGGATGGATTAAACTGTTTCCATAAGCAAGCAGGTGTCATTACCATATTTATACGATTGTGAACAAACTTGAAGTACTTCTATCTTATGGAAAGTAAATGCTAGGCGTCCTTCGTTTAGGTAAAATTAGACTTTTATTGAGTTTATTGAAATCCAGCGGTTCATTCCTTGGCAACCAAGGGTCTGCTTCGACTATGTTGGCTTTACTTCCCTCAGTTGCTCACTTTTTCCTTTTGGACATATCTGCCATGGCTGACAATTTTCGTGGATAAATTGTCTGGAATTGATTCTCATTTAGATGCTCAGGTGGAACTGAGTTTTTCAGAAAAGTGGAGATTTAACCACAAGGGGATGGAGAATTTGACACAACGTCCATGCTTGAATTTTGTTACACGGGACAGAAAATTCAGATATCTTTGATTTTTCCCTTTATTTTCTGATAAATGATTTCGAATAAATAGCTTTGGAAGCTATGATCGAAAATTAAAATCGAATCTGTGGCTGTGTGGTATGTAAATTCGCTTCTGATATTTATGTCAGAGGCACAGTTTTTGCTATCTTTCCAGTGTCTCATAAAGTTCCAAGTAAAAATCTATTTTTTTTCTGTGAACCTAATTGACGCAATAAACTTGTTGATGGGGAATATTCCGTGTTCATTGCTTCAACCAGCTCCATGATCATGCAATTAGTCTCTTGAATCTTGAAATAGTTACCCAAAGGCATTTTGTGTAACGTGTAGCCAGTGAAGCTTTCAAGTGAGCCAGGTATTGACTTGCATTTACCATCGCGCTGACTAGGCACAGCCAGGCTGAGCGAAATCTGCGTAATTCAGGTCAAGCCTTTGGCAGGACCATGCCCCCATGCCCTCATGCTTGAGGGGCTCCATGAGCTGCTGATGAAAGGCCTAATACTGAGGGACGTATTTTTTTTATGGGGTGTTCTTCTGAATATTGAAAGAAATATGTTTCTTTAGTTCAATATGCTTCCAGGGTTACTAGATAGCGTTTTGCTTGATGCCTTGTATGACGTTTCCAGCTTCACTGATGGGAAACCTACAGACAGATTTATTTTCTCTCCAATATTTCATTAAATTTACTGAGTTGACCCCCTGCGAGTTACAACTAGCTAATGCACGTGCAGATATACGAACTCAGGCAATGTATCAGCTATTAGATTCTGGATTCGTTGGGTTGATATTTTCCTGTTTCAGTGAAGATTCACAAAAGGTGTGGGCCAAAGTTTTCTAACTTGTTACAATTGTCATTGGTTTTTGTCCTCGTCCTACAGTGACATATGCTAATCTGAGTTCTTTCAGATTGGAAAAATTCAGGTCATAGCTTTTCAGTCCTTGAATAAGAGTCAGCAACTCGCCTCAATAAAGAAGTCTTCAGATGTTGAGCTTGAATCATCCTGGAGTTCTGAGAATACCTTGTCAACTTCAGGATCTACATGGATTGAAGGACTGGAGAAAGATTCAGGGGATTCAAAAATGGCCAATGCCTCTAAAGTATGTTCAAGAGAAGTTTGTCCATTATTCTCCGTAGTGATTTATCTTTCTCTTATGTATCTCCCAGAAATGAATACATTTCTAGATTGTCTGCAATACCTCATTAATATCCCATTTTGAAGTACTGACGGATGATTCTCACCGTACATGGAATGTTGTTTTGGATGATTTTCATCAAACTGAATCCGTTTTATTTGAAAGGGTGAATATTAAAATTCTACTAAGTGTAGATCGCTCTGTACCTTTGTTTCGATATCTTTTGTTCCAGATTTTCTATTCTACTTTTTTTAATATTAACTCATACATCAGGCCCTAGTGAAATTCTCCGAAGGAATGGAAGTCTCTAATGCAGATGGGAGCTATCTGGGAGGGGAGAAGATAGAGTCAACTGGTGTTATACCCTATGATGCCAATGTTTCGAGTAAAATAGCTATTGGTATGGACTTACCAGACATGACAGCCAGTATGCAAGAAGCCCTGCATCGGTCAAACATGGATGTGAGGTATTATATGAAGATGCAGCCGAGCATATTAAAACTGTGATAGTTTGTAATCTGAGAGGCCAAAGTTTTAGTTGGCTGCATTCTTTGATCACACAATCTCGTATGAGCTGTTTTTGACTTATAAGTGGAGATGCTTGAACTGTATGCATCAAAGAATTAAGGAAGCTTATTCTTTGCTACAAAGTGAAAGCCTATGATATTTATTTTCAATCTTTCTTTTTTCGGGCTTGTGGATGGAAGAGGGGTTGGCGGTTGACTTTTGGATTATAGTCTAGCATATTATTTTAGTGCCTGAATGCCAACTCTGATTGTTTTCCTTTTTGTTATTTTTCTCTCTAATTTTAGTTTAGTTTCAAATTTTATTGGGCAAAAATCTCGAAGTATATTTTCCTCCCCAGTGAAATTCCACATCCGTTTTTTCATCATTTCATATTCAAACATGACCTCCCAAATGATTTAGCATATTATTATATGTAGTTCGAAAAAAGAAACTTCGTTCTTAGAAAACATGATACACCAAACCACGAAAATAGAGTGAGATTTAAAATTCTAAAATTTTACTCATTGAATTTTTTTTGACCATCATACAAATGCCGACTTTCTGCTTCTGTCAGAGATATTCATGCAGTTCATCGGTTGTGCTTGAACCCAATTTTGTTCAACTTTCAGTTGTGAAAGAACTTTTGACACATAATTTCTTTCTAGGTGAATTTTACCTTCTAAAGATGTTGTGTTCCCCCATTTATTGATATCAGTATTCTGAAGGCAACTTACTGGATCTCTGTTGGAGATAAGAGCTATCATAATATATGAATGGAATATAAAATTTAATATTGAAAATAGCAAACCTCACTGAAGGCTTAATCTATTGGACCATTGGACATATACCTTCTTTCTGAGCCTGCCACTATTTGTAGAATGATGCGACATGTAGTGGGGAGACAGATTGCTCCTCCATTTCCCTTGATAAGTAGTTCATTTTCAACAAGATGGAGTGGGTGAGATTGTGTAGGATTCAAAAAGAGCCTTCAGCTCTTTCTGGATTGCTAGACTCAGTAAGATTGTCTCAAAACCTGGTTGGTGTAGTACAGTGATGATGCATGGGGAGTCTTTGAGAGACCGTGTGTTTTAAACTTTCATAGACGTTTCCTTTCTTTTCAATGATATTGCAGTGTTAAACACCTTGAACAAAAGAATAGGTTCTTTGCAAGTTTGTATCTCATGCTACAATCTTCATCTCTCAAGGAATTGAGTGAAGGAAATCTTCAGTTTCTTTTCCCATAGATTTTGTATCATCTCTCAATGACATTGCTGTTTCTTCTGGCTTACTTATATATAGACATTGTAGTGAGTAGTAAACGCTGCAGTTGCCAGTCGGACTACTATTGTGTTCTTAATTTATGATTTTGAATAAAGCGGTGCAGAGTACATAAGGAAAGAGATTCCTCTTCAGGTTTTGCCTAATTGGTCTCTGTTCAAGTTTGATTCTCCCTTGAGCTCCTTCACTGCTGTACAACATGTACTTTTTGAGGAGGAACAATCAGCATATAACCAGTCACTGCTACATAATACGAGGTAACTGTTTCCATGCTTTACTTTCTCCAGTGATATGCCATCATCATGTTTCCATCTTTGATGATTTCCCTGTGAATCAGAGATGGGAATATGCACCCACTTGCATTCGTTCATCACACATCAACATACCAAGCCTCGCTGTGCAAGTTAATGGAATACTGGTCTGAACTGGATCCTGTTTGTTTGTTTCCTGCCCAGACTCTGTAGCAGCGCCACTTTCTTTAAGTACGTCAATTCTAAAATGTTAACCTGTTTCTTCAGCTTGATCCCGGCCATAAATGTGCTTCAGGACCGTCTAAAGGAAAACGAAATCCAGGTGCTTCAGCCATGAATTTACTTATATATATATATATATATATATGTTGGGAAGTGGTGCTAATCTTGTTTTGTCGGAACAGTTGGCTATGCTGACAGAAGAAGCCAAGTCCTTGGAGCTTGAGGTCCTCGGCAGAGAGAGCAGATCGGCAGCAGATTCTCAGCGGCGCTTGCAGTCTCGAGGATCTCGAACAACTAAGCCTACTGCCCGAGGAGGCTCACCTTCCTCTGACTTCATTGGTTTAGGAAGCGAGGGTAGCATTTCTGGGCGAAGTAGAAACGCATCCCAGCCTTAGTGCCAAGATAACCCTGCTGTATGTTTTGTGCATCCGTAAGTGTTGGAATTTGACATGGGGATTCCTCTTCTGTAATGTTTCACCCTTTTGAATCATGAGAAAGTTCATTTTTCATTCAATACATCAGTTCAGTGATTGTTTGCATATGATCCTCAAGATCTTGTTAGTAGGGTTTTGCCTGATCCTTCTCTAAATATTCAAGCGATCGTCTAATGAGTGTCACTTTACTGGATGCAATGAAATCCTCTTTGTACAAGGCATGTGGACAGGATTTGACATTTAAATACTTTATTACTGGGTGGAATTATCAAGGTTGGATGGTTGCAACCTGCTCTGCACTCTAGAAAATTAGATTATTAACGTATTTTCCATTTTTTGATTTACTTTAAATGCCCTGTAGCTCTTTATGCTTTGAAAAAAATGAGAAGATAATGCTAAAAGCAATTAACGTTGGAAAACTCTGAGTTTTTTTCTCTCGGAGTTCTTGTCTTCTGGTGTAATTAATATTCTGCATGTTTATCTTCTCTCATCTTCTTGCCACGGCCAGTGATAGAAAAAGAGGCTACCCACGCAGCTAACTGGTCCTCAGCTTTGATGTTCTTGAGAATGCTGCCAGCAATTCGTTCACCCTCGTAGTAGAAACAAATTCTCTTGATGTGCTTGAGAATGCTGGAGCTTTGATTGCTGCTCTTCATGGCGGCCTTGTTTTGATTGTTGCAGGTCGTGGGAGCAGAGGAGCTCGTGAGAGCATGAGTGAAGGGTTGACCGCAGTTTAGGGACGTGTGGAGGATTTCAATCGATCATCTGATGTATGCAACTTCATAGGAGCACAAAGTTCTTCCATCTTGGCTGGATTTTCCCCGCAAATACCATATGAATATGCTGTTTAGATGTTTGAAGTCAAACGTGATCCTTTGTCCTCACTCTCGCTCTCTCTCTCTGTACCACCGCAGCAAATTCGTCTCCACCCGTTGACCTCTGCGGCGTAGGTAATCCGATGAGCGAAAGAGTGTTTTTCTCGTGGGGCGGGGGTCTCCACAGATCCGGGGATCATCGCTACGTGGCCGACAGGAGCGCCGCCCAGCCGAGGACCGTAGCCGAAGGGCCCACCTGGGCATTGAAGACTGGAGCTCTTCCCAGGTCTCTCCCGTCTTAGACCCCCTCTCTTCCGCTTCCTCCTCTCCCCATTTCATACCTCCTCGACGCGGTGGAATGCTTCTCTCTTTGTTCCGATCAGGAAGATTATCCGGGCTCCGCCACGCCTTTCCTCTTCCCGTTCCGACGGCTCTAGCCCTAGCCCGGGGAAGCAGAAGCTACTGGCCCTCCTCCGCCGCCGGCTTGATGGCCCCCGTGGACCTCCGAGCCCATGCCTACGCCGGCAACCCGCTGAAGCACCACAGCGGTGATCCCTGCGCCCCAAAATCCGCCCTCGAGTCTCTCGTGGCCATCCTCCTTGGGGACGCCGGCGACGGGCGGCCGTCTCCGGAGCACAAGGTCTTGCCCCTCCGGAAGGGCAGGCCGCTGGCCTGCTCCTCCGAAGCGGCGGCGGCGCCGCCTGGTTCCTCTTCCTCAGCGTGGAAACTGGGGTGGCTCGCCCCGTCTCGATTCAAGGAATTCCCAGCGGAGTCGTTCGTGTATCTCGGGACGGCCCCCCCGGAGGACGGCGGCGCCCATTACTGGGCGTTTGATGCCTCAGAGGCCTTGGGTCTCACATCGGGGACTGGTGATGATGGATCAAATTATGTTGAACTGAGGACGCTGATGGTCGCCACAGATTGGAATGACGAGCGTACCATGGGAGAAATGGCGATAGCTGGTCATGTGAGCCCTATTCTCATCCCCCTCTCCTCTCTAACTCAGATTCAGTATTCTCTGCAAATCTACACTGTGTCAAATACGTTTCCATATATTTACTGATCTGGATATAAATTTCTTCTGTAATCTGACGAAGATTCAGCAGTTTTTAGGCAAACATTGTCTCTTTTTGGTTGGACGGGACCTTATACTTGGTGAGATATCAACATTTCTGCAATTTCCATGGGATACTCCATTAAATTTTTCGACCTGGGTTTGCATCATCTGCCACTTTCTCATATAGAATGAAAATGCTTGCCTCATTGCCGCATTCTATCCCACTCGGTCCTCAAGTGTTCACTTTCTCTTAGGGTTTCAACACCCTGTTAGTTTCTTGTTAGATTCATCATGGGAACCTGTCAATTCACTTCAAACACTCACTCCGCTCCTCAAAGTGAGGAATTTTTTTCTACCTCTTTTTGTTGGTTTGAAAAAACTTATATTTAATGTTCTGCTGCATCAAATGAACCCAGATATATTGAAACTTATTTGTTTTTTTTTTGTGCATATATTTTCCTCAATATATCTATTCATTTGTGTGTTATAATCACATATTAGGCAAAGGCGCTGCTAGAATGGCACAATACATCCCGGTTCTGCGGGCATTGTGGAGCAGCAACTGTGCCGATTGATGCTGGACGAAGGAAGCAATGCACAAATGACTCGTGCAAGAAGAGAACATATCCTCGTGTTGATCCTGTACGGTGCAGTCCTTTTCATTATGCTCTGCCTGCTTGTTGATCATATGCCACTTTGGGCATTGCACCTTGTGGGAATATCTATGACTGAGAAAGGAAAGAAGAAATTGCGAGGTTTCATTTACTGCATCTATCAAAGGATTCTCCTTCTGGTGACTTCCGCAGGTTGTCATCATGCTGGTCATCGACAAGGCCAACGATCGTGTGCTTCTCAGCCGCCAATCAAGATACGTTCCTCGAATGTGGAGCTGCCTGGCTGGTTTCACAGAGGTGTACACCTTTTTGAGTCCGTTTTTATGATCTTTGGTGTGATTTGGAGGGGGCCATGCATTCCCACTAACAGTTATGTACATATAGTTAGGCAGCTCTATGCATATGCGCATATATTGAAATGGACTAGAATTCCAACCTGGTATTAACCCTGTTTATAGGTTTTGTTTGTGCAGGATTAGGGTCGCTGATATCATTGGATATTTGGAAAATGGCTTATAAATTATTATTTTTAGCTCTATCTTATTATAGCGAATGATTACTACCTTCTTTGGCAGCCAGGAGAGAGCTTGGAGGAAGCAGTGAGAAGAGAAACATGGGAGGAAACTGGCATTGAAATAGGAGAAGTTGAATATCACAGTTCTCAACCGTGGCCTGGTATTTCTTTTATAAATAATTCTACTTTCCATCTACATTCCCAACATTCATCTTAACAGGCACGGAAGATAGCCTTGCAATGTTTTGCTAAGTTATTTTGGTTGCTTTGATAGCTCATTATACATAAAAATATTGATTCAGGTGAAATTATATGCTTCTCAGTGTTTGGTAATGGGTAATTATAAATTTTGAAATTATATCAACTCTAACACAGAGGTTTTGACCAAAAAAATGTGGATAACTAAAAAATGTAAAATTATATTACTTTTCTCTGGGGTTGATTCTCATTCTCATTGTGGTTTTTTTTTTTTTTTAGTGATCATGAGAAGTTCCAAACCCTGACCTGAGGATACTCCAAATCCCTGTTTTTCTTCCCCTAATTGATATTCTTCCATTTAATATTTTAATTTTAATTTTTTTAGTTGGACCAAGTAGCATGCCATGTCAATTGATGGTGGGGTTCTTCGCACACGCCAAAACACTTGACATTCGCGTGGACAAGAATGAACTGGAAGGTATTTGTGGTGCCAAGTTCTTTCAATTGCTTCTCCGTTGAACACATTCATTGAATGAGTGAGCTTCTACAGGTTTTATTTCTTCTGCCGTCATCATACCCCATTAGTTTTTGGAATTGCCAAGAGACCTTGTTCCTCTACCCCAAGATTATTTGATAAATATTTCTCCAACTTTCTTGGCCAATATGGCTGCTGAGTAATCTGTAATCTTATAACTTCCAGATGCGCGGTGGCACTCCAGGGAGGATGTGAGGAGAGCACTGGCCTTTACTGAGTATGAGACTTCACGAAGAGTGGCTGCCGAGAAAGTCAACCAGATGTGTAGTGGTGGGAATGAGAAAAGTCAGAGCTCGGAGGTGGTTTCCCAGATCGGGAGTGGAGAACTTGCTCCGATGTTCGTCCCCGGGCCCTATGCCATCGCCCACCATCTGATCTCTTCTTGGGTCAGCCAAGGTGCATCCGACAGCCTTGATTCGCTGTCAAGAAACTCAACCTCATTGTCCAGCTTGTAGCGTGAGACATTCACGAGTATGCTGTTATTCTTGGTGAGTAAAGATGAGGGGTCGTCGTTGCTTCTCGTCCCGTCTCAGTAAAAATGGGAGGGACTATGCTGTTATTCTTCTCTGTATGTTGCTATTTCTGGTGAATAAAGATGGGGCCTGCCTTGATTCAGAGGTCAACCCAATGAAGCTGGGAGAGAGTATGCTGCTACCTTCGGGGGTTTGTTTCAACTCCCAACTCTGCTTCCCTCCGCCATGTGCAACGTCTGTTTATATTTTCCCAACCATCAAGAAATAATGCCTCTCATATTTTCTTGTTTTAGCAATTTATTTACGTGACATTGGTTGTAGTAGCAACGGAGGAAGCCCATTTTGCAGTATAAAAGCTTCATACCCGTTGACTTTATATTTCTAACTCAGTTGATATATTCCATTTTTTTCACTTTTGTTGCCCGTGTGAAGATGTTCATGAAAAAAATCACCGTCTACTCTCCCATGAATCCTGAGAAAGCCATTGAATGATCCAGACTTTCATATGAACACGACATTGAATTCTCTCTCTACAAGGGTTTTTTTTCTTCTTTTCTTTTTACACTAGTATGTGCAGATTCCTAACATAGCCATATCACATACTGACCGGTTGGACCTCTAGACAGGGATTCCAACAGTTCACATTAAAAAAATACCCCCCAAACAGCATGGTTTTTGATCGAATGTACCTGTGAAACTTGGCTCAATGCTCAGAGACTTCGAGTTGAATGCGCCCACTCTATGGTTGACCTCGCCAGAGTCTCTATTGGGTCAACGCATCTCTTGCGGAGGGGGTCATCCTGGGGGAGGAGACCCCGCAGATCATCAGAGGCGACGATGATCATATTTACTGCCTTCACCAGAAGAACATGCAGGGTTATTCTTAACAGAGTTCTTGCTCCCTCCATGTCCCTCCTTCTCAGCGCTTCGACCGCAGGTATAACTGTGTGCTCCACTGTTGCCTTATCAGGTAAAACAGCTTCATATCCCTGCAGAAAGCATGATCAGAAGCAAACATTTCCAGAAAGAGCTGGGATTCAGATATACAAGCTTCATCAGAGGAAGATCCAACTGAAGTTCCAAGGTAAAGCAGCCCAATAACACATCGTGTCAGATTTCTAACCCATTTTCATATAGTTTAATCTACCTTCATGTTTCCCGTTAATGGGTTCATATAAATTCATGATTTAACAAACTGTAGGGCTTAGATCATCTATGAGATTGCAGGAGCTGCAAGGACAAAGAAGATAGCCATGAACACTGAGCATGAGATTTGTCTGAATGTAAGTGCTGTAAGACCAAGCAGAAGTTTATCAGGTAGCATTATGAAGAACAAACTGAGGATGTTTTGGATGGGATGATGATCATTAAACCAAGTACAGATATGATTTAAGATATGAAACTAATGTATGATTTAAGATCAAACTAATGATCATTAACCAATGAGCAGATATGATTTAAGATCAGGCAGCTATTTTTTTCTCACTTTTTTTACTAAATATATTATAGATTGAAGAGGTATTAAATACTGGAGATTGATTTTTCACAAGAAACCATGCTAAATACTAATGAAAACCATGCTAAATAACAGAAAGGTTTTGTTTTTTCCCCGGATATCAATAAAACCATGCTAAATACTAATGAAAAACACAGTTTTACTATAACAGAAAGGTTTTGTTTTTTTTTTGTTTTTTTTTTTACCAGATTCTGAACCTTCCCTTGGTAGACGGCTGCAGTCAGCACCGAGCCAGTCGCAAGAACGCCGATCCGGACATTGCTCCCAGCTTCAACCGGCCTCAAGCCAGCCTCCCTGAGCTCGTTGGCCACACACTCACCCATGTGAAGGAAGGGCACGGAGCAGCCTTCGGAGACCTCCCGGTGCCAGTAATGCGATGCGTGGCAGGGCATGACGATGCACCGCGCCCCAGAGCTCTCCAGGAAGAGCCTCTTCTGCCGGAGACCCTCCACGACGCCCTCCCGATCCACATCAACGCGGGTTTCTTTTCTTGATCTCAGAAAACGAGGGGAGGAGCCCTTGGTTTCTCTGAGTGAGAGCTTCCTGCTGAGTAATGGGTCACTGCAGACGATGAAGGGGAGGTACTCTCCTTCTTCTTCTCCTCCTTCAGAGCTCCATCTTACGAGTTTCTCTAGGAAGGCCACCGTGGAGACGGCGGAGGCGCCGCCTAGGACGCCGATGATCGGGCGCCCAGAAGACGAACCGGCGGAGCTTCCCGAAGCGGAAATCTTGGGCTCCGTCCGGCTCCTGCCGCCGTTGGAGGAATGCAGGAGGACGGAGGAGGGAGGAGAGGCGGCGGGCCAGGTCCTGGGGGCCGGTGGCGGCGGCGCTGCCGCCGCCCTTCGACCGGTGAAACCATTGCTTCCAAGATGAGATGGCCCGCTCCAAGAGTGGAGCCCCATCGTCGTGCTCCTCCCTTCGAGCGCCCCCATCGGAAGAAGGAACATATCCCGCCTCCAGATGCCCGTCCCTACTCATCCTCCATCTCCCCTGGAGATCCTCCAACAGACTCGACCACCCGCCTCAGAATCAGTCGATCGCCATGGAATGAGCTCGGGGGCAGCTCCAAAATTCAGCAAGAATCGATCTTGGAGAATCAAGACCCACCATGGCTTTAATGGTTCCGGGGGGAGCAACCAGCTCCTTGTGGGGCGTGGGGCTTCTTCTCCTGAGGATTGCTACCTCATGTATTCAATCGAACAAGCAAAAATATCCCCTCCCCTCTCCCATCCACCCGCGCGAGACAAATCATTGGAAAAGAACAAAGATTTATCGGGGGGAGACAGTTATTTTAATATGGGCCAGACACAGGGAATCTTCGACTCTCCGTCGTCGCTTTTTCTGATCTCGCTGTCCCCAGTGTTCTTCGCTGTCTTCCGATGTGGAATGATCCCACAGTGGAAGCGTGAACTCGATTCAACTTCATCTCCTTTTAATCGGCGTTGAGATGGACGACTCGAATCAAGTAGGATTTTTTGCGCCCAGGCCAATCAGAGCTGGGTGATCACGCAACCAGCCCACACAGTGAAACTGAGGAGCTCACGGCATTCTTCTACTAGTTGATGTAGAAAGACGCGAACCCAGGGACAGACTTGTGGGCAGGCGACGCGTGTGTCTCTCTCCCCCCCCAAAGAGTCAGTGGGGATTAAGCAGAAGGCCGACGTGGGCTGGGGATGATGACCTGGCATCTTCCCAGCCGTTGAGGGAGCAGACTGTCAGAGGAGAGCTAGCTGGAACCGGACAGAGGGTCGCTCTGGGTCTTGCTGGTCCCGGTTGGACATGGCTGCGCTGGCTGAGCAGATTTGGAGCACGTGTAACTCTGCGGGGAAGATATTCCCACGTGTTCTCCGCAGTCTCAAGGGCCGGAAACCTCCCTTCCTCTAGTGTGTGCCGTCGCCGCCGCCACCTCCGGCCAATAGCCACTGGCGGCTGAGAGGGGGAGGGGGGGAAGAAGAGGAAGAAGAAGGTGAAAAAAAGCGCTTTGAGACGCCGCCCGCCACCGCCAACTGCTGCCGACCGCCGCCGCTCGCCGCCGCGGATCCACCGATCCTGATTGGTTGTGAAAGTGCCCATCCCGCCGCTTCCCTCTCGCCGTGATCAAGAGTGACAAAGCTTCGCTGGGAAACGGAGAAACTATCCCACTTTAGAGAGGGAATCTACGTGGGTTTTTTTCCAAAGCAGTATGATCGAAAGTTTTGACATGAAAAGTTTTCTACTGAAATTCCTGCCTGGAATCGTGATTCTACTTTTTTTTTCCATTTTTCATTCATCATCGGCATGTTTCACTATGGAATTTACAATTTTTATGATCGGATGTCAGATGGAGAGCTCATCCTCGAGTTTAGACAAAGATGCCGACCCGAAGGCTGAGGATACGTTTGGCTACAACAGTAGCACTGCCAATAAGGCCCGCCTGCAGTCAATGCTGTCCGCGCTCCTCAGCGATCCGATTCTCTCTGATGTACCGAAGAAGCCAACCCTTGCAGATGTCGACACCTTGGTGAGCTTGGAACTGGGAAGCGCCATGAAAATATCAGTCATGAAGATGGACGGTACCTTTTTGGGTGCGCTCTCTCTCTCTCTCTCTCTCTCTCTCTCTCTCTCTCTGTCGACCTGTAAATTCCCCAGAGAGGTTAATGACCGTGTCTGATCAACTTATCCTTTGCTTCTTGTACTTACTTTCTTGTGCTTATTTTGCCTTTCAAAGTTATGCATAATTATTAGTGAGTTCAATGGTTTTACCCGTTGTTCTTGGCAACAGCAACAAAAAAATTTCTCGTACCTCTGGTGCTCTCAGATCCTATGATTCCTGGTGATAAGTAAGCTGGGTACTGGGGCGACTGGTTTCTAGAACTTAATTTGTACGCTGTTTATGTCAAATCCCAAACCATTTTTATGGTAAAAAAAAATAAACAGAAAGACTTCGCATGGTTCTATTTATTTAGTTTTTAATGACATGTAGTTAAGTGTCTGTGGCTAAACTATGGAGTTTTGTTAGATGTTGCTGTGCCCAATTCTGCCACCGTCAAGGACCTGAAGTTAGCGATAAGAAGGAAAACAGAGGAGATGCAGGAAGGACAAATGGGCCACCGCCACATATCATGGTATGTATTATGAACGGTCTCTTCTTGGCTGACTCTATTTTCTGATAATTTTTATGGCTTCATTTGACTTTTATGGGACCTTTTTTTTCTCTTTGCATTGTGGAGGGGGGTTGTGCAGAGCATCTCAATTTAATTGTGTTTTATAGCCGTTGACTTTAACATCCTTTATTGGAATATATGTGGGTTTGACTTGGCCTGATCAGATGCCTTTAAGAATAGTCCATGATTGGTTACTAGGAAACTGAGATTATAAAGTTGGCGTTGACATTGGTGGCCTGATCACTCTGTCACAGTGTCGACAGTCAATGAATGCCCTTGGGCTGCATGCACCGCTGTTTTTGTTTTCCTCGTGGAAAAGGCCCAAAAGTCAACTTGTATGGCCGGGAGTTTGCTAAGAGTAGCTCCATATTGGTTATTTAGACGATAAAGTCTTCTCTCCTTTGTTATTTAGAGGAGATAGATCAAGATTTCAATGGCGTGGAACCAAAGCCCGGTCCACCCCATCCAAGAGTCTGATTCATCTGATGAGTAGGGCCCATATTCAGGTTGTCCAGATCCTTAATCAGGGTCAAAGCCATTTACCGTTGACCAAGGAGAGGAAACTTTCCCCACAACCCTACTCTCTCCCTTTCCAACGACATTCCAGTAAATACTAACTTTTTTTAGTCATGATGAGGGGTATTTAAGGAAAGCGTGGTTCTAACCCTGGGGATTAATTTACGTTAAATAGATATATGCTCCTAGTTACTCGAGCATGTAAATAATTTACATTGAGTTTATATCCCCCTTGGTTATAATGGCGCTGATCACTGCTAGAAAATTCATGAACATGGCGCATTACAGGATCAGAAAGAGAGGAAGAGAATATAAGCACTAGGCCATCTGATTCATGCTTTCTGTAGGAATGTTTCAACATCAGAAATAATAAATAAAATCACAGGTTCATATCGGTTTCCCCATTGTGCTCATTTATGGTCTGATACTTCAAAATTCTAGGAAGGAAAGAAAGATTTTTTGCTTAATTGAGCTACCAACTTATGAAAGGGTTTACTTACATCATAGTTGTTTCATATGTGTATCAATGTATCTGCAGGAGGCACGTCTGGGCAAATTTCTGTCTCTCTCATCACAGCGACAGGCTAGTTGATGACGATTCCCTGCTTCAGGATCATGGCATTCGTGGAAATTCTCAGGTAACCTCCTCCTTTCTCGATGATTTTCTTGGAGAATCTGTAGAGTCTGTTCTACGAGTTCATGGTTTGATTACCAGGGACTCGTCATCTGTTCTTTGATTTCTATGGCTTTGAGAGGAATTAATCATAGAAGATTGCTACGACTTTATTTTGCATAATGTTTGCTGCTGATTGCCTGGTATCATTTCCATGTTCTTGAATCGACTGACGAGCAGTTTTCTGAATGTAATTAGTTTCTTGGCATCATTGAACTGAATATAATTCAATTCTTACCAGTTGGCATCTGACCAATTATCGAATGGCAGCGGATTTTCAGATTTATTTATTTGCGAATTTGGGACCCGTTTATTTGCGGATTTTCAGATTTATTGACCCATTTCCGTATCTGAATCCTGTTTTTATGCAGGTCTGCTTCACACCCTACGTTCTGTCGAGGGTTTCTCAGAGGCACTCTCGGCGAAGGAAGCACCGGTTCTTCCATGGCCTCAGCAAGCTCCCACCTCCCAGCTTGGGATTTCTTCGGCCTAGTGATTGATGAGAGGAGCCATCGGGGGAGGGTCCGATCTTCCTTCTTGGCCCATTTTGAGAGGGAAATCACACAGTTTTCACTAGGTTTCATCACAACCTTACCCGCGATAGGAAATTATCTAGGAGGTCAGAAGAGCGAGAGAGAGAGAGAGAGAGAGAGAGAGAGAGAGAGAGAGAGAGAGAGAGAGAGAGACGTCTCTTCCATTGGGGCCTTACGGCCTTTGGGCTCAAAATGTTGTCCCAAAATTAAAAACTGCACCTTTGACCTCAATAGATCAGCCCTACTCTGTGGCCCCGCCAGATAATCCACGGTTTTCGCAGACTATTGTTTTCAGCCGCCGAAGTAGTCAAGTGGCGGTGGTACAGCATCCCGCAGAGGGCAAAGTGGGCTCTTGGGCCGGTAGAAAATGACCCCAAGGTTTAGGGCATCTACCTGTTATCGGTTACTTCTCTCGACCTCCGGCGATGATCCCACGGGAGCACTCGAAGAGGGCTCGGTTGCGATCGATTTCTCGTGGCGTCCGTCTTCCCTTGATTCCGCCCAGCTTTTCGAGATCTGAATTCTGACCATACCCAGTATGGTTTTCGTCCCCTAAAGATGGAGTTCGTCCTCCTCCTCGTGATTCTATAGAGATGAGCGCTTTCCATGTCGCTCCGTATAGGAATTCGGGGAGCTGATATCTGTGAGCTGCTGTGCTGTTGCAATGGAGGCTCTTCAGGTGGTTTCGTCGGCTACCCAGATCATTTCCTGCATGGTGGGAGCTGTTAGGGCACTGAAGGAAGCATCCACAGCTATTGATGAGGCTCCAAACAGAGTTCAGAGCCTGGAGGTTTTCGCTTCCGAGCTCGAGAACCTGGCCAGGCATGCCAAGCAGAAACATGGCCACAAGCTCCATAGCTCTAGGCTGGAGCAGCAGATACAGAGCCTAACTGGACTCGTTGAGCGGCTGCACCCCAACATTAGGAAGATGAGGAGGATCGTGTCCAAGAGCAAAATGAAGAACATGGCGAGGATCTTTTGGTACTCTGTTGCCGGCGATCCGTTCTCGAGATTGATCGACTTAATTCACGCCGACTTGAACTGGTGGCTCGAGCTCCAGACGATATCAGAAAATGTGCAGAGAGCTATTGATTCTACCGCAGACAGCGTCTCTCTTATACACAGGATCAATGTCGAACAAGGGTACCCAGAATCCAGCAAGTGTTTCCATGTCCGAAGATTACTAGAACAGGAGGATTCCCGCCGGGTGATCTTGATTGTGGGTCTCTCCGGCATTGGAAAATCCTGTTTGGCCCGCCAAGTCGCTGCTGATCCCCCAAAGGCGTTTGTCGATGGTGCCGTCGAGCTTGTTTTCGGGCAGTGGTGCAGCAGAGCATCCTCTCACGGGAGCAAAGCCGAGTACCACAAGCGCTTGTCCAAGAAATTATGTAGACTCCTGGTGAAGCTCGGTTTCATGAAGGCCAGGGAAGCTCCGACTTTAGATCTGGAAGACGTATGGTACATGCTTCAGGCGGCACTGGCTGGGAAGAGCATCCTGCTGCTTCTTGATGACGTTTGGGAGCAGGACATTGTCGAAAGATTCACAAAGCTGCATGATAATCGCTGCAGATACTTGGTAACAACGAGAAATGAGGGAGTCTATGAAATCACAGAGGCTGAAAAGGTTGAGATATGCAAGGATGATGTCATGGAGATGAGCAAGGAGATCCTCCTTTATCACAGCCTGCTTTCCCGAGAAGAACTCCCGGTATGAACTCCAGACTCCATGGTACCATTTGATCTCGTCTATCTTTGCCTCTAATTTCTTCATGAGTAAGTGGGTGGCATTTATCGCAAGATCTGCCTCAAAATTATGGACTGATACATAATCTAATCTGGGAACACAGCAATTGATCCAAATATTCCAAATTCACAGAGAGAACACAAACTTGATCATGATTATTCCTCGTTAAATTTCTTGATTTCGGAAAGTAGATGGATGATCCCTCAATCAGTCTGGGTTTCTCCATCCGCAATCCTTGTAGACAGAAGAAAAGAAAAAAAAATGAAGAAACTGAGTCTCGTTCTGAACTTTACTCTTTCTTGTCAGGCTGTTGCAGAGGCCTTGCTGGACCGTTGTGGGCACCATCCTCTCACCGTTGCTGTGATGGGCAAAGCCCTGAGAAAAGAGACAAGTGCAGATAAATGGAAGAAAGCTATTGGTAACCTTTCCACGTATGCCACGTGTGCACCGGGGCCAGTTTCCTATGTCAACGAGAAGGAAGCTGAGAACACAGTGACCATCTTCGGATCATTTGAATTTAGTTTGCAGGATATGCCAGAGGATTCTCGGAGGCTTTTTATGATTCTAGCCGCCATTTCATGGGCCGAACCCGTGCCTGAAATCTGCTTGGAGGTTCTCTGGTCTGCACTTGGGCATGAGACCATCTTCCCCCTGGTGGTCAGCAAGCTGGTTGAGGGCTCCCTTCTAATAAAGACTAATCCAGAGTACCATGTCCATGACATGGTTGCTCTATACCTTGAAGGCAAGGTGAACGGTGCAGTTGAAACCCTCCTGACAGGATCCTCTGATGAGGCTGCAGCAGCTGTCGCTCCGTGGCTTTTTGTTTTTGGTAAAGATGAAGTGAAGAACTGTGCTGAGGAGAAGATGAAGGTACTTATTAGTTTATCTCATGAAAGGGAGGCCGTGGTCGCATTAGAGTCGATGGTTCAAGCTCTAATGGCGAGCAAGTCCATCTCTGAGTTAGAAGCTAGCAGGAAGAGCTTCAGCAGCATGGTTGGCCCCAAGTTCGCCGAGTTCGTTTCCTCTGGTTCTCCAGCCACTGTTGCCGCGCTTGCTAAGGTCATCAGAGACCTATTTGCAAAGGAGGACTATTACGAGTACGCTCATTCCCTGGAGAACACAGAAGCCATTGATAAGCTGCTGGAACTGCTAAGAAGTTGCAGTGACCCAGCGACTCAAACCAGCTTATTTCATTTGGTTGCAAAGCTTGCCGAACATGGGAGTTGCAGAACAATCGGTAAGGTTCTGGTGAGTGTCCCCATGGATCATCTTGCAGAACTGTTGTCGCCCAATGCAGAACAATGGCACGATTCTGTTTTTGGGACCATAATGTCCTTCATCAAAGCTGGGAAATCTGAGGCAGTGCAGATGATGCTTGACTCAGGGATTGACAGAGGCCTCATTGATCTTCTGGAACGGGGCTCAGAGGTTGCTCAGCACCACGCCATAGCTGTTCTAAAAGCTTTCTACGAGATGGGCGGGCTGCGCGGACGTTTCCAGGCCGGTCAGCTGAATCTTCTTCCCTGGGATGCAAGACTGAGCCTGGAGAGATTCGTCTTGTCTGATAGATCCACAGCGGCATCGCCAAGGCCTCAGACGGAGGAAGAGACCTTCGATACGATTGTAGGTGGAGACCGTAAGCAGATCCTGAAGGCCATGCAGGATCTCATTCCAATCATCGAGAAGGCTGGGAATCCGAGAATCCGGGAGATGATATTACGCAGCCCCTTGGTAGAAAGTTTGGCAGACATGTTGAGGAATGTGAGTTCCGACCAGGATAGGATGGAATCGGCCTTCCTGCTGACGACACTGGCTTGCTCAGGCGGAGAATCAGTCCTGCAGAGGTTGCTCGATCACGATGTTGTTTCTGAGCTGGTGAAGATGATGAATAGCCAGGTAGTGGACGTGCAGGATTCAGCCTATACGGCGCTCCATCAGATTCTGTTCTGTGGGGAAGAAAACAAGGTTCTGAAACAGATCCTGAAGCCCGGCCAGATGGAGAAGTTGGTTCAGTCTCTCAGCGGTAGATCCTTCAAGACCAAGGAGCTGAGCATGCTGCTGATCCTCGATTTAGTCGAAATGGGAAACAAACCCTGCGTGGAGCGGATGTTCGCCCTGCAGGTGGTGGAGAAGCTCGTCAACCTGGAGAAATCAGGCGGCGTCTTCAGCGGTGTCCTCGTGAACTTCCTCAAGGGGCTCGACAAGTGCAAGAATCTCTCTGCCGCCGAGAGGCAGGTGATGAGGCAGCAGGTCGTCAAGAAAGTTAAGGCCTCCATCAAGGGCCACAAGATCGAATCGAGAATCATCGCCGCAGTCGAGGATTACCTTTCTGATGGATCCTGGGGTTCGAGCAGCAGCAGCCGCAGCTGCAGCCGCAGACCAAAGCGGTAGCTCCATCCTCCGCCCGAGCACAATCTCTCAGACACACATTTGATCGCCGTCATTCGTTTCCTTCCTCTCCGTTGACGGTCGACGACCTGCCGCCATTGATGCCGGCAAAAACCCCGGTAGAAACCTACCGCATGGACAAGGAGACTCCGAGAATGATGACCCCCCTCTCAAAGATTATTTACTTGCGGGTTTATATGTAATTTTACACATGGTTCCTAATTTTCCATTTATTTGGGTGTATTTAATTTTCGAAGGTATATACTCAATAGTGTTTCGACCATTAAGTGATTTCTTTAAAGTCATTTTTTCAGGCTGGTAATGGATCAGATGGGGAAAGGACCATTTTAACGGCACAGGCCCATATGTGAACAAGCTGGGTCTACATTGAGCCGTCATCTCCGGCCCATTTGAGCCCAACATTTACTCTGGTTGGGTTTATATGTAATTATACACAGAACAGAGGCTCCTCAATTTTCCATTTATGAGGTGTATTTACACAAATAATGATTTCAGAGGGTGGGGGAGTTATTTGGTCAATAATATTTCCGCCGTCATGAGGCGGGCTGATGATGATGGCGACTGCCTTCAGGCCCAAGAAATGGAGCTGGAGGCCGACGTGAAGCATCATACGATGATTTTGATGATGGATAAGCTGCGGACTGCGCTGAGGGGGATCCCGATGGGCGTCCAGCCCATCATCGATGGCTGTCAGTTCTCCTATTTATTTATCTGATGATTTGGGACTAATTCTGACAAAAACCCAGATCATTTAGACCTTCGGAGGTTCCATTTAATAGATCGATCTTCACCCATTTCCGTCTATCGATCATGTTTTTACGTTCTGTCTACGGAGTAAGCATCGGCTCTTCCATGGCTTCAGCAAGCTCCCACCAACCCCAGCTTGTGATTGATGAGAGGAGACACCAGGAGAGGGGGCCTGATCAGACAGTTTTCATCAGGTTTCATCGTAACCCTTGTCCGTGATAGGAAATTATCTTGGAGGTGAGCTGTGAAATCAGTGCCTATGGACGGGTCAGAAGAGAGAGCGAGAGAGAGAGAGAGAGAGAGAGAGAGAGAGAGAGAGAGAGAGAGTTTTGTGGGTTCTTTGGCCCCACACCGTGAGGGAAGTCACATAAACTTTATTTTTGATTGGTGAAAACCTTATCTTTGATCCAATATTATCCAGGATGCAAACCATGGATTTAGGGTATAGAGAGAGAGAGAGAGAGAGAGAGAGTGATGTTCACGTGAGAGGGAGGTTGGTGAAATGATTTTCGGCTTAAATTATGCCCATATTTAATGAAAAAGAACATTACCACCAAGGAGGAAGTTCAACATTGTATTCAACTATGTATCTGCACTTCAAAGTAGATATAACTCCATTTGAGACTACTATATGAATATAAAGTCAAGTTTTCAAATTTACATAGATCAAATGTTAAAATTATATATGTATTTGTTAAGATACACTTGAAAATGAGTTTTCTTCAAGTAAGAGAGATTAGTACAACTTAAAAGTTACAATCAAATATGAGATGGAAGGTTTCTAATACAGGTGGAGAAGTATAGTAGGATTTGTATCAAAATAGTTGAAAAGTTATCCATGTTATGCCAAATGGAGTTTCTACTCAATTCAAGTAGACTGCAAGCCTAGGATGTATGAAGATCAAAATCAGCTCAAAATAACACACATTAAGAGGTATTCCCATTTTAATTACTAGAGTTAATTATTATAACTAATTTTTGGCTTATAAATAACCCCCCTTTAGCCCAAGAGGCATTATCACTTGTTCCATCAATCTTTTTTAAGTTTCGTCTATTTCTAGATACTCTCCCTTTCTACTACTAGACTTCAACATCTATGTGAACTTAGGGTGATAATTTTTTATCATGTGAACTCACAAGCAACCTCTTGCGAACTAAAGGGGCCAAGTCTCTTCATTCTGTGCATTCAGATGAAATAGTTTTCAATCTAAACATGTTCCTTGTGGATTCAAAGTCGTGATTTTGCTTTAAAATTAATCAGACATAGGTGAAACGTGATCAAATGATCAGTTTTTCAAATTTTCATATATTTGAGATAAATATAGAAAGCTCAGAAACCCATCTCAATTTTATATCTTCTACGGCTCAAAATTTGGTACGAAAATTAAAAGATACACCTTTAGCCTCAATAGTTCAGCTCATGGCCCCCTACTTTCCTGGGTGGCCCCCCTCGTTCCCCTTCTCCTCATGGCATACCCCTCACGCTTGCACGCGGTGGTCAACGATGTGTGGCACACTCCCATGGCTCGGCCGGGGCCGTGGGCGGCTTCGCGAGATAGCGAAGGTCTTCGTCGCCGCGTCTGTCGCGTAGTAATGCATGAAATATTGTATCCAGTAGGCCCGTCTATTGCGGGTTGGTCTCCCAGTTCTCACCGAGAACTTCCTTACAACACTCTCCTCTCCCCCTACGACGATCATGTTTGCTTTATAGAACGTTTTCCATCGTAAAACGCCTTGTGATCGCTTCATCTCCTGTGGAGCGGTTGCTGCAGGTGACGGTTTCGGCGTTGTTGGGTCTCCTCTGTCGCTGCGCTGCCTTCCGCATCCTGCGGAAGGGATCTCGTGCCTAGAGTGGACATAGTTCATCTTCCTCTTTATGACCCCTACACAGATCAACCGAGCACGCGCTGTGCGGTGAGAAGTTCTCAGCCGACAATTTCCACTTCCTGCTGCATCTAAAAGCCGTCTCCTGCTTTCGTGGATCGGTGCGTGTTGTCTCACCTGTTCCTCACACTTGCCAAAATGGCTCCTTGCGGGAACTTGAGGAGCTGATCTCTATACACTGTTGTGCCGTTTGGATGGCCGACGTTCTTCAGGCAGCTGCGTCGGTTATCCAGCTTACTACCGCCATGGTAAAGACTATTAAGACACTGAAAGAAGCATCTAGAGCTCTTGACGGGTCTCCAGAGGGAATTCAAAAGCTGGAGGATTATGCATCCGAGGTCGACGCCTTGGTCGGTCAGTTAAGGAGAAGACACGGTCCCAGACTCGATAACTCTACGCTAGAGAAATAGATACAGAGTCCAACTGAACTTGCAGAGTGGCTGCGTCCCAGGATTAAAAAGATGAGGAAACTACTGCTGAAGAATAAAATGAAGAAGATGGCGAAGATTTGCTGGTACTCTGTTTCAGGCAGTCCGCTAAAGAGATTGATCGAGTCAAGTCACACCGAGTTGAGCAGGTGGCACGAACTGAAGACGACATTAGAAGCTGTGAAGCCACCTATTGATTCTATTCCAGATAACGTCCATCTTAAGCACAGAATCAATGTGGAACAAGGATATCCAGTATCGGCCAAGTGTCACCATGTCTGAAGATTACTAGAACAGGAGGATTCCCACCGGGTGATCTTCATTGTGGGTCCCTCTGGAATCAGAAAATCCTGTTTAGCTCGCCAAGTCGCCTCTAATCCGCCAGAGGCGTTTGTCGATGGTGCTGTTGAGGTTGTTTTTGGCAAATGGTGCAGCAGAGAAGCTTGTCACGGGGACAACGCTGAGTACCACAAGCGTTTATCCAAGAAATTATGTGGACTCCTTGTGCAGCTTGGTTTGATGGATACCAGGGAAGATCCGATCTTGGATCTGCGAGAAGTATAGTGCACCCTTCGGTTGGCGTTGGATGAGATTAACATCCTGCTGCTTCTTGATGACGTTTGGGAGAAGGACATCGTTGAAGGATTCACAAAGCAGTCTGATAATCGTCGCAGATACTTGGTAACAACGAGAAACGAGGGAATCTATGAAATCACAGAGGCTGAAAAGGTCGAGATATGCAAGGATGATGTCGAGGAGATGAGCAAGGAGATCCTCCTTTATCACAGCCTGCTTTCCCGAGAAGAACTCGCGGTATGAACTCCAGACTCCATGGTACCCTTTGATCTCGTCTATCCCTACTTGCCTCTAATTCTTCATGAGATTATATCATCATATCGCAAGGTCTGCCTCAGAATTGTCAACTGATTTATAATATAGTCTGGGAAATCATTAATTTAGGAAAGTAGATGGACGATCCCTCAATAGGTTTGGGTTTCTCCATCCTTAATCCTTGTTGACACAAAAGAATAGAAAAGAAAAGGCTGAATCTTGTTCTGAATTTGCTCTTCTTTGTCATGCTGTTGCAGAGGCCTTGCTGGACCGTTGTGGGCATCATCCTTTCACCGTTGCTGTTATGGGCAAAGCCCCGAGGAAAGAGATGAGCGCAGATAAATGGACAAAAGCCATTGATGATCTTTCCACATATGCCACGTGTGAACCAGGGTCAGTTTGGATCAACGAGACCATGTTTGGATCATTTGAATTTAGTTTGCAGGATATGCCGGAGGGTTCTCGGAGGCTTTTCACGATTCTAGCCGCCATTTCACCGAACCCGTGCTTGAAATCTGCCTGAATGTTCTCTGGTCTGCACTTGGGGATGAGACCATCTTCCCCCTGGTTGTCAGCAAGCTGGTTGAGGGCTCCCTTCTAATAAAGACTAATCCAGAGTACCATGTGCTGAGGAGAAGATGAAGGTACTTATTAGTTTATCTCATGAAAGGGAGGCCGTGGTCGCATTAGAGTCGATGGTTCAAGCTCTAATGGTGAGCAAGTCCATCTCTGAGTTAGAAGCTAGCAGGAAGAGCTTCAGCAGCATGGTTGGCCCCAAGTTCGCCGAGTTCGTCTCCTCTGGTTCTCCAGCCACTGTTGCCGCGCTTGCTAAGGTCATCAGAGACCTATTTGCAAAGGAGGACTATTACGAGTACGCTCATTCCCTGGAGAACACAGAAGCCATTGATAAGCTGCTGGAACTGCTAAGAAGTTGCAGTGACCCAGCGACTCAAACCAGCTTATTTCATTTGGTTGCAAAGCTTGCCGAACATGGGAGTTGCAGAACAATCGGTAAGGTTCTGGTGAGTGTCCCCATGGATCATCTTGCAGAACTGTTGTCGCCCAATGCAGAACAATGGCACGATTCTGTTTTTGGGACCATAATGTCCTTCATCAAAGCTGGGAAATCTGAGGCAGTGCAGATGATGCTTGACTCAGGGATTGACAGAGGCCTCATTGATCTTCTGGAACGGGGCTCAGAGGTTGCTCAGCACCACGCCATAGCTGTTCTAAAAGCTTTCTACGAGATGGGCGGGCTGCGCGGACGTTTCCAGGCCGGTCAGCTGAATCTTCTTCCCTGGGATGCAAGACTGAGCCTGGAGAGATTCGTCTTGTCTGATAGATCCACAGCGGCATCGCCAAGGCCTCAGACGGAGGAAGAGACCTTCGATACGATTGTAGGTGGAGACCGTAAGCAGATCCTGAAGGCCATGCAGGATCTCATTCCAATCATCGAGAAGGCTGGGAATCCGAGAATCCGGGAGATGATATTACGCAGCCCCTTGGTAGAAAGTTTGGCAGACATGTTGAGGAATGTGAGTTCCGACCAGGATAGGATGGAATCGGCCTTCCTGCTGACGACACTGGCTTGCTCAGGCGGAGAATCAGTCCTGCAGAAGTTGCTAGATCACGACGTTGTCCCTGAGCTGGTGCAGATAATGAATAACCAGGTAGTGGACGTGCAGTATTCAGCCTATATGGCTCTCCGTCAGATGCTGTTCTGTTCGGGACGCAAAACGCTTCTGAAACAGATCCTGAAGCCCGACCAAGTGGAGACGTTGTTGGCTCACGCTCTCAGCGCTGGATCCGTCAAGACCAGGGAGCTGAGCATGCTCTTGATCCTCGATCTGGTCAAAATGGGAACTAAGTCCTGCGTGGAGCGCATGTTCGACCTGCAGGTGGCGGAGAAGCTCGTCAGCCTGGAGAAATCAGGCGGCGTCTTCAGCGGTGTCCTCGTGAACTTCCTCAAGGGGCTCGACAAGAGCAAGGTTCTCTCTGCCGCCGAGAGGAAAGTGATGAGGCAGAAGGTCGTCTGGAAAGTCAACACATCGATGAAGGGCTACGACAATGAATCGAGTATCATCGCCGCAGTGGAGGCTTACGTTTCTGGAGGTTCCGAGGCTTCCAGCAGCAGCAGCAGCAGCAGCAGCAGCAGACCATGAACCGATGACTATCTCTCAAACACAACTAATACTGGCCGCTTTCTCTAGTCTAGTTGATATGTAATTTCACACTCCGAACCCCATTTTCGTTTATTGGGTGTGTTTACAGAAATTATATTTTTCGGATATATTTTAATAATACTATTTTAGCCGTTAACTAATTTTTTTAAGGCAGTTTTTCGGGCTGGTAGCAGATCGAGTGAGGGAGGCCCATTTTAAAGGATATAAGGTCCACATTGGAGAAAAATGGGCCCACATGAAGGCGGTTCTCTTCGGCCCATTAGAGTCCCCTGCCGTTCCTGCCGTTCCTGCCGCCCCCAGCGAGGTCGGGATTAGATCTCCAAGATTTACTCTGGTCGGGTTTGTGTAAATATGCACACTCAACCAATTTCTCATTTATTGGGTGTATTTAAAAATAATAATTTATTTAGGTATTTATGAATACTTTCAGTCGCTAGATAAATTTGTTTAAAAGACAAATTTTCTGACCGGTAAACGGATCGGATGGGAAAGAGGCCCATTTAATGGCCCAAGCCTTCAATGGAACAACCACATGAGGCGGTTGTCTCCGGCCCATTAGAGCTTCCCCTCTCTGCCTTGCCCACCCCCGCTGCGAGGTGGGGAGATCTCCCCGTTGTAATATGGCAGGCCACCGGGAGGGGCGGCTGGTGTTCTTCGTCTTTCCTCGGAGGAGAGGTGGCGAACTTCGTCGACTCTAATGCGGCGGCAGACCCTCTGGTGATGGCGGGGGCGGGCTCGGAGAGCGAGATCGTGAGGAGGAACACCGACTGCGTCTACTTCCTAGCGTCCCCGCTCACCTGCAAGAAGGTACAGTTGGCTGTGGATGCACCGCTTGTGTTCGTGTGTCTCCGATGGTTTCTCGATGAAATTGCGCGTTCCTTGGGTGTGGTATGGATTCTCTGGGAGTATGAGTTGCGTGTCCCGCGGTGATGCGGAATTGGTTTGGATTTTTTTCTTCGTTTACACTGTTTGATTCCTCTGGTTGTCTTGAGTTCCCTTCAATGTTTCCCAGGGTTTCTAATCAATCGGCATCAGACTTCTGCGTCCTTTGAGGATGTTTTAATTCATGACATCGTTTTTCGTGTGCTTTTTATGGAGGATTCTCTATTGGTTATGGCGAGCATGTTTTTCCATGTACGATCCATATGACCCTGGTTGTCTTGCACAATTTCTCCTGCAGAATTATGTCCTTGCTCGTTTATCAGTCGTGTACTGGAGATCGCTTAACTCAACTCGAGATTAGATGAACCGAAATAATATCTTAGATTGAGATCTTGATACCACGATTTACTATAATAATAAATAGAGTCAATGGAACGAAGAGCCACTGCACTCATACGACAACATGAGAAAGATTTTTGAAGATTCGGAAAACATTAGACTAACGATGTCTACTGTATGAGAAATAATTACTAAAGATTTGGAGGAAAAGAAGTGGCCCTCAGAGCATACACCTGAGGGGTTGAAGGCAAAGTAAGAATATCAGACTGGTCTTCAAACCTGGCCCATAAAAAGTCCGACTCTGGGCCAGTAGGTAAAGTTTAGCATTGAGTTTCAATGTCTTGGCGAGCGTTTCGGATGCACAGCCTGTTATTTCGATTGCTATGATGAAAGTTATGATCGTTATATTTTATAGTCGTTCAAGACATGGAAATGCCATAACTCTAAGTCATTATATTTGACTGATAAATTCATACTCGTGTTATCTGTTTCCATGATTGGCAAGTTATTTTCTTGAGAAAACTATGAAAAGGTGTTGAGGTTGGGGTGCTTTATTTCCATTAAGTCAATGTATTAATTTATATATTTTTAAAAATATATCTTTTATGAACTGATGTGTAAAACATATTACAAAAGTAATAGTTGATGAGTACTTTTCAATGACGCATTCAAAATAAAATGAAGGAAAAAAATATTTTATAGGGATAGCAAATGGGCTCATATGTCTAAGATTAGTTATAGTACCTGCTTGAATCAATAAAAACTCTCACGGTGTTCCTATGCTACGATCTGTTCCCATCTTTCTACGTATTCTTTAAGTTGTACAAGTTTATTCTGACTAATAAGTATACTTATTTTTCTTTGCCAGGGAAGTGAATGTGAGTATCGTCATAGTGATATTGCAAGGCTTAATCCAAGAGATTGCTGGTACTGGTTTAGTGGAAATTGCCTCAATCCAACATGTGCTTTTAGACATCCAGTAAGATTTTTAATTGCTTTAATGTGTGCAGAAAGTATGCAATAAAATGTTATACCTTAGTCTATGAAATTAATCCACTTTTTATATGCACTTTGTCCTGGTTTAGTTTGAAAGAGGAAAAAGTCATCTTTATCACTCAAACATTTTTACTGTCATTTTACTACCCCATTGAACTGATGTAGTTATCCAATCAAATTTAGCATCATCATAGAGAAGGATGGCTGCATATGTGTGCGTGCTTAATACCTGGGAATGTAATGTTTGGCCAATGTGAAGATTTGTTTCGAACAACTATGAAGGCTGCAATCTTTTTTGCTTATAAGATTGTGGGCTGCAATGTGGACTTTTTGGCGAAGGGAAAATATGCTTTGTTGCCCAATCCATATTTTATTGGATCTGAGAAGTCTCTATCCTAAGTATTAAAATGGTGTGCACTCTGAGGACAAGGTGTGATAGTTCATTAGCAATAGATGATCATAGGAGTTGAAGAACCTTGAAGCTCTGAGTTAGGAATCCAGAATTTTGAAGTAGACCTAATATCGTTGGAGTGAGGAATATATGTGACTGTAAAGCCTCATATCCAATATTGTCCCTCTATCTCATGTTGTTCTAAAACTTTGTTTTGGATCACGATGTTGGATTTTAGGATCCTATTTGAACCAAAGACTTTCCCGTCACTCCTGGAACTTGCTATCAACTCCCACTCTGATATCCACCCGAACTGTTTCCGCCAATGTTGTCAATAGCATGCATACTACTTGATTTGGGGAAGTTTTGTCTTCTTACCATCCTATATTGATGATTCGTGGGCAATGGTCGATGTTTAAAGTCGGTAAACACAAACTGCATTTATTGGACTCATAGTTGTATTGCAGGGCTTAAACAAAAAATATGGGCGTTCTTATGTAATGATCTTTATTGACTTGAATGTTCTTGGAAAAAAAAATTGAATTTCTTTAATTGGATTGACGAGCGTGTTGTTGGCAGCATTGCATGACTTTTTGAGTGTTTTGGTGCTCAACTTAACGATTGAAAATTAATTCACGGATTGAAAATTAATGAATGTTTTTTGAAAATCCGGGCCCCATTAACATCACAAAGCCTGATTTCTTTCTTAGATATATTTTCTAAAGACCCCCGTGAGTTTTTTTGCCAGTTCAGTCATAATGCATGGAAATACTGGACGATAGAACGCCTGCTTGTAGAAAACAAAAAAGTGCCAGGTTCATCCGTGGTCAAGAACTTTCCAAAAAAATGATCTTCATTGACTACTCAACTTTACTCTGTCGGAAATATCTCTCTAATATCGTTTCAATATTCATGAACTGATTCTCTCAGTGTTAGGCTTATCCTCTTGTTTCGATTGTGACACTCGATAGAATCGCCAAGATTAAAAATTAAGCCACTGCGCACTCTTCTTTCCTCTTCCTGCAGCCACTAGAAGGATCATCCAAGGCATCATCCGGCTCGGCCCAGGTGCAGCAACAATCAGCTGCAGCCACTACAAGGACTACTGTCCCTTGCTACTTTTTCTTCAATGCATTCTGCAGGAAAGGCGACCAGTGCCCTTTCTCCCATACTGTGGACGAGATATCCCCCGCTCAGAAAGCTCCAAGGGCTGTTTCTAAAGAGACCGACGACGGACCAGCCACAGCTGACCTCCCTCTAAAACCCACAGAGGAGGAGACCATGGATAATGCCTTACAGGAGATCAGCCCCTCTTTGGAGTCTCTGGGGTCTTCTACTTCTGACTACGAGGGCTCTTCTGCCATCAAGCCATCTGAGAATCCATCTCCCAAAGTCAACTACGTCGACCAAAGGGAAGGTTCCTTCTCCGATCACAGCTCCGATGGTCTTGGAGAAGACCACGCCGAGGCAGAGGAGCGGTGGGAGTCTTCGCCGGGGTTTGATGTGCTGGTCGACGGTCGCTCAGAGCAGCTGGCATATGAGGACGACGGTGACTACCTTCAGGCCCAGGAAATGGAGTCGGAAGCGGGGCTCCACGGCCAGATCATCCATTATGACTACGAAGACTCTGCAGCTTATGATGCAATTAATTATCGCCCATATGAAGGATACGACGACTTTGACGATGGATATGCTGCAGACTGTGCCGAGGGGGACGAAGAGCAGATGCTCTACAGGAGGAAGAGGAGCCATGGCGTAGAGCCGCAGGGAGCAGCAGATCTTCGCGACCATCTGAGGAAGCTCCGGAGGGTTGACTTTCATCACCCAATGCCGCTTGGTCCCCGAGAGGGTGGCTCCTTCTATTCTGCAGTATCAGATAGCAGTGAATTCCCTGAGAAGCGTGGCATGGCTCTTCTTTGCAGTGATGGATTGCCTTCAGAGCCGCAGTTGGAGGAAAGGTGGAGGAAGGCTGGTGGCCCAAGGTACCTAGACTATGGCCGACAGAGAGAGAGTAGAGAGAGAAGAAGAGAGAGACTGGAGAGGCGGCCCTTGCGCAATGGCCGCTTCATCGAGCCCGCCGCTTTCTCTCTGATGAAAGATCAAATGCACCAGGGGAGACCCAGATCCAGGAACCCCCTCCCTCGGCAGACCAGAAGGGGTGAGTTGACCTCCGCTGACTTTGAGGGCCCCAAGCCGCTGAGCGAGATTCTCAAGGATAAGAGGAGGTCAACGCCAAGGAGTGAGTTGACCTCTGTGGAAGGTCATGGAAGAGGGTCTTCGGTTGACGAAGAAGAAGATGACGAGGTCGATGAGCACGAGAAGAAGGTCGCTGGAATACTCGCTTGATTGTAATGAAGTCTCAGTCTGGTTCTCCATCATCGGCGAGGAGAACGTTGTTAAGGTAGTGGTTCCCTTGGTACAGAGTGGAACTACAGTTGCTTCTTCGTCTTCATTTTATCCTCTCTCTCTCTCTCTCTCTCCATCTCCATTCGGACATATAGTATATATTTATATATATAAATAGAGAGAGAGAGAGAGAGAGAGAGAGAGAGAGTGATTTTAAGTCGGTTCTCTTTCTCCCTCTGTGCACGCCCATACTTTTCCACCTCTAATTTTGCCCATGTTCTCTCTCTCTCTCTCTCTCTCTCTCTCTCTCTCTCTCTCTCTATCAAAGATTGAGAGTTGAGGTGTGTCCGCTTCTTCTCCTGTTTTTTACCCAGTTCTTGAAAGGATCCACGCACTATTTGTCGCGTTCTTCCATGGAACACGACCGTTTAAGCGCCACACTCACCCCAGCGCACACGCGGTTAACCGGTCGACCAAGGTCGCATTCATATGCCACGTCGAATTCCACTGACGGGTTCTAGGACGATGAGTAGGTCAAGCAACCCTAGTCAACTATATATATATATATATATATATACCATCCATTTACATAGAACTTGTATTATCATAGCCAGTGTGAAGAAGTCTACTCAATTAGTCAACCATCAGTATCTTCTATTCATTGGATAATCGTGTTCGACTGCCCCACGTAAGAACAACCGCAGGAATCAGTGGGTTTGACCTCGATTCCTCCTTGTTGGCAATTAAAATCAGACTTTTCTGATGATTGCCAAGAAATCATACCCTTCCGATCTTAATCTCCCTATTTTACGTTCAAATTGCTAATTAATATTTATATATACAATTTATTTAAAAAGAATAGCAATATTATACCTATCAAGAAAACATACCGATAAGTTATATATTTTAGATATAATGGCCTTTGAGTTTTTTTTAGCCAAAATTTTGAAGATATATTTTCATTTATGAGTACAAAAATCAGTAATTAATTAATATCAAATAATATCGACTATATATTTTGGTGTATTTAATATTGCACACTTTAATATTATCTATTTTTTAAAGAATGATAAAATTCATATGATACCCGTAAAGAGTAATTACTACATGGTTGATACGATATTATAATAATGTGCTCTGACTTTGAGGGTTGACTATTTTCTCAGGTGGGCCCGGGTCACAATTAGGCAGCCCATTGACAAAGATAAATTTGAATAAAAAATTAAAATAATTAGAGGTCGTGGGTAATATCCAGTCGGACAAAACAGCGGCGGTGGACCTTGTGGGGATCGCATGTGCGACGGTAAAACGTCGTTATGACTATAAAAGACTTTGACTTTTTGCGCCCCCAACGGGGCTCACGAGGGCTATCTGGAAGCCGATCTCATCGGACAGTGATAAATCCGCCGCGTGGCCAGCTTGACGGCCTTTGGATTGTACTCGGGACGAGTATGGCGGCTCGGGAGTCCACGACGAAGGCTTAGTCTCCGTCCGATGAGCTTAGATCGACGGTCTATATTGTTCGCCGAAATCCCGATCCCCACGCTTCCAGTTCCAGTCTTCGAGAGCCTGCCGGCGAGAGAAGGGAAGACGACGGCCGGAAGATCTCTCTCCCTCTCCTCTCTCTCTCTCTCTCTCTCTCTCTCTCTATATCGCTCCATCTCTGTCTCTGGGGAGATACGTTTTGGATTTATCTTTCTCGGGGTGAATCTCGGTGATTTGCTGTACGCTGGTGGCGCTCGGGGGAGGGTGAGAGAATGCAGGAGCAGGGGACGAGCTCGTTTCAGTCGAGCAGCGACAGGTCGTCGAGCTCGGCGGCGCATCAGACGGAGGTGAACGGAGGTTTGCTCCTTCCCCTTTCTCCCTTTCCTCTCCACCAGCTTGAACCGAGATTCGGAATTTTAGAGCTCGACCAGGAATCGGTGACTAGATATCTTGATGCGTTTTTCCGATGTTCGAATTCTACCGATGGCTTTCAATCTTCGTCGCAGGCGGTCCGATCCCACCCCCAAGAGTCCGTTGTTGTTTGAGAGGGAGAGGGTTGAGGGCCGCCTAGCTTTTAATTTCTTCAGCAGATTTTCTGAAAGAACTGTGTTCTAGCTTCAGTCGTTCTCCCTCTCTCTCTCTCTCTCTCTCTAGAGCCCGGATTTGAAAACCTGTGTAAAAATAGGGTTGGAGAGTGACGACGAGATAAGGCGAGTGCCGGACTTTGGAGGGGAGACAGCAGCGGGGCCTTCCACCTCGGGGCCTCGTCAGGACCGCACCCGAGCCTCCTCCGCCGAGGCCGGCCAGCAGCGGAAGAGGGGCCGCAATCCCGCGGACAAGGAGCAGAAGCGCCTCAAGAGGTACGTTGATCTCTCTCTCTCTCTCTCTCTCTCTCTCTCTCTCTCTCTCTCTCTCTCCCTCTCTCTGTCTCTCTCCCCCTTTGTTCTTACTCGAAGAATACTAGCCTGTGACTGAGAAAATCCCAAAAATAATATGTTGTGGTTGTATTTGTCTGGGTCTCCTTTCTTGTTCTTTGGGGTTTTGTTCCTGCTCTCTCTCTCTCTCTCTCTCTCTCTCCCCTCTTGTTCTTACTCGAAGAATACTTGCCTGTGACTGAGAAAATGCCCTAAAAATAACACCTTGCGGCGGTATTTGTCTGTGTCTCCTTTCTGGTTCTTCCGAATTTTGTTCCTGCTCTTTCTCAGTTCAGAGTAAATATAGTATCTGTTCTACGACGGTGCATCGAAATCAATGGAAACTTCCTCTCTTTCTCTCTCTTAAAATTCTTTGGTGGGCGCAGGTTACTGAGGAATAGGGTGTCGGCGCAGCAGGCTCGGGAGAGGAAGAAGGCCTACTTGACCGACCTGGAGACGAAGGTCAACGAGCTCGAGAAGCGGAACTCGGAGCTGGAGGAGCGACTCTCCACCCTCCAGAACGAGAACCAGATGCTCAGACATGTGAGTTCCTCTCCTCCATCGATCGCCCTTCTCCATCCCTCCCTCCCTCCCTCCCTCCCGCCCGCTTGCTCGATCAAATGCCTTCGAACCTCCTCTCCTCGAGATTTCGTCCGATTTCATGTTATGATCAAGAAGATAAAAAAGAAGAAAAAAATTGCAAAAGGAGAACATCTCTGCGATCTTTTTCAGAAAGCTCCCCGATTTGATCCGCCCAGTTCGAGAATCTGAACAGATTCGAAGCTAGCCGATTTGATCCGACCCAGTTCGAGATTCTGAACAGAGTCAAAGCTCGCCGATTTGATCCGACCCGGTTCGAGATTCTGAACAGAGTCAAAGCTCGCCGGTTTCTCACACGGTTCTTGTGGGCAGATTCTGAAGAACACGACGGGCGGCGGGCGGAGAGGATCGGGCGGCGGCAGCGCTGAAGGGGAGGCCTAGCTTGCGGGCGAGCGGGGGGGTTGTGCTTGGACTGTGTGTCAGAGACGATGTGATATATAGGTAGAAGGTGTGGCCCGACTAACTCCGCCGCCTCGGTCTCCTCGCTGTGGCGGCCCGTTTCTAGTCGCGTCGACTCGATTCTTTCTCGTCCGTGTCTTCTTCCTAAGCTCTCCTCCCTCCTGTGTAATCTGTCTTGGATTATCCTCACGCATGCAATCTATGACACCAACCCCCCCCCCCTCTCTCTCTCTCTCTCTCTCTCTCTAAGAAAATGTGTAGGGAGATCAGATTGGACGTTACTAGAGATTTAGTTCATTTCACCAACAAAATTAAGGCGAGATATAGAGGGATAGATTCTAATCGTGAAGAACAACAATGTAACCTGAAGACAAGCTTACCCATTGACTTGAGCCCATTTCACCAAAAAATTAAGACGCAGAGACTCGATGGAAGAGAGAGAGAGAGAGAGAGAGATCACTTAGGATGGGATTCCTAAGAGTCACCATGAAGAAGACGTGTAGCTAATACAACATCACCAAAACGGGAGTTTAGTTGGACGAGAAGAGACCTCACATTATCAGCTGATCAATCACAAGCCCATCGCTCTTACAACTTCACCTAGGCTAAGAAAAATATCACAAATTAAAAGGGGGGGAAAAAATGAAGGGAACAGGGAGACACACTAGTGAGATATCGGAAAGGGTCCCACAATTCTTCAGCTCTGCTCCTCGCCCTCTCCAGCTTCCCTCTCCTCCGCCGCCGCAGCCATCAGCTCGTCGAAGTTCGCCGTCTTGCCAAGCAGAATCTCGATCTACATTGAAAGAAAGAAACCCCACGAAACGCAGGGTTTTAGATCCTGAGAATTTTCACAAGGCAAAAAAAAAAAAGGTCGGATCGGACCTTGGCTTTCTGCATGGGTCGCCCTCTTGATTCATCTTTGACCTCCACAGTGGAAGTCGTGATCTCTGCAGGAGTTTTAGTCAACGGTTAAGAAGAAGAGAGAAAAACGAGGCATCGAAGAAAAGGAAGGGGGGAGACCCACTCTTCTCGACAGCAAGTCCATTGTTCTTCAGAATCTCGGCAATGGTAACGACGGTTGCAATGGCTGTGAATTTTCACAAAGAGAAAGAATATGTGAGATCTTGAGCAGCTTGGAGAAGTGTAAATGGTATACAGTTGCCAGGAAGAGAAAGAAACCTTGACAAGGTCAAAGGGAGGAAGAAGGTTGACTATGAGCACAGACAGGAGTTCTAATAATAGAACTCGGATGTCCCAAACCTAATAATTTTGGTTCTAATTTATTTCTCCTGCCTATCTACGACCCTAGAGACGGAATTCAAACCACCGACTGCATTATTCACGGGTGAGCTGGCTAAGCCGAAGCCATTGCCCCGTTGGGGCCAGTTACTCCTGCAAGATCTGAGGGATCTACTCTCCATAGCACTTGACCATATATGCAAATCAAGGAAAGAAGGAAAATTGAAAGGGGAAAAAAAAAGAAATACGGGGAGAAAAAGAACTCATTATCCTTGGAACTATTTTAACCGTGTACTGTCTGTTTCGTAGTTCACAAAAACCCTTCAGGCGGTTGCTATTCAATCCAGAAGAGAAAACCATGTGGAATTCACTTTACAGGGGGGAGGGGATGAACGAATAGAAAAAATTAATGGGTTTCGAAGTGTGGCATTAATTCTCTACTAGTATCTCCAAACATTGAATGCAAAACTCTACAGACGAAGAAGGAAAAAACTAAGAGAATGAACGTGAGCTACACCCAAAGAGAAGGAATAACAAAGCCTAACAAAAAATTAAGAATAAAGTAAATAACTGTAGGGAGGTCGACATGGAATTACAATATTTTCAATATCCGATTTCAAGAAAAACATTGGTTTCCAAGAACATGGACTTCTCTAATACAGGAGACATGGGGAAAAAATCACGCTAAGCTTCTTGCATAGAATCTGATCATCACTTTCTAATCATCCCTAGCAATAGAAATGGTAAATATTTACCTCAAATTTGCAGGCGTCTGTCCCAACTCTTACCACACAATATATTCCAACAGTAAAACAAGGCATTAGCCTCTCTAACTTAGGCTCAAAATTATGACGGCTATCACGACGTAAGCCCTGAAAATTTTTCTTCATAAGCCAGAAATTACCCCTTCACATATAATCAGCTTCCCAGTTAGATTGGTCTTAGAGATAGGAATGTGTTCAAGGTTAATATTTTAATCTACAAGTCCCTCCCGATTGTTCCCCAATTGTCAACTTGACATGATTTTAAACGAAATTGTATAGCAAACACACCAACATGAAAAATATTGATGACGAACGGATATATTCATCAAATCATTTTCCACGGCCAAAAAAAGGTTCTACGAAGAAACAAAAAGGTTCCATGGACAAAAAAATTATAATATGCGTCATCTTATACACATCTTCCTGTGGGCATCAAAGTTACTTTGGTGGCCCTGGGGAAGATAAGAATCGGCTAATATGCGGCAGCGACATTTCCTGATTCTGGGAATGTGATCGTTCATGCAAAGAGACCCATCTCGGCGTGGTACATAAAATTCCTTAGAAGCAGAACAAAAAAAATGATGAAAGTAAACCTGCTCAATCGATGTGAATCAAGACATGTGCAGACATGATCAAAGCTTCACCGATGATTGAAACATTGAAATGATAGAGAAAAACTTCTTAAACTCTTTCATTATTTAATTATAATATTTTCTCATTACGAGGCCTCCTATGATGCACACCACAATTTTCAACAGACATGCAAATGACGTTGTCGTTTGATAGGCATAAATATAACTTGATCTTCACAAAAAGCATCTCGGCATTAACCACTCAAAATGGACCGTGCGAAGTCTAGGAGAAGAAATAGTACCCATTCCCAAAGCAGAAAGCTCCACCTCGTTGTGCTGTTGCATGTATCGCTGCAGAACAGACGTGGTGTTACAAAGACAGAAATATCACAAAGAATACCATAATATTCAATAAATTACTAAAATATACAAATATCTGCATTCTACTGTGACAGTAGCAAGCACACCTGAGATTACTGTTCCACAGGGAGACGGTTGCGAGGAGAACATATGCTCATAGTAAGAACGAAAAGGGAAAAAACTACAAGGTATAGAAGAAACAAATAATGTTTAAAAGCAAAACAGATCATCTGTAACGACGAAACGCACTCCAAATGTATACCAGCCCATCCATGAAACTTCGGGACAATGAAGATACAATGGTCAACGAAAAAACAGGTCTGAATCAGAAACAAACATCCAGATAAGAATATATATCTTTCAGGGAGCATCCTTGCGTCTGCGTTTCCCATACCTTAGCCAGGTTGACATAGAAGAAGAGCGGCTTCTTCGTGTTCGACACCTGGATCCTATTCTTCTTGTGAGCATCGGCGATGTTGATGTTTCCGACAGCCTCCGTAATCTCCTCCATCTAAGCCGCTGCCTGTCGCCCCGAAGATTACCAAGATGTCACAGAGGGGCCAAGCAGAGAACAAGAAAACCCTAACCCTAGCGGCACCACCTGAGGCGAGATATAATAGAGAAGGAAGAGAGAGAAATAAACGTGAGGAGAGTAAGAGTAAGAAAGACCGAGGTAGAGAGAGAGAGGAGAGAGAGAGAGAGAGAGAGAGAGAGAGAGAGAGAGAGCGGGAGAGTGGGACGCCTGCTGCCTGATCCTGGCGACAGACGCTTTGTGAAGCGTCTGATCTAACTCCAGTGAACCTCTAAAACCGACGTTGACTCCTACCTCACTGATCGGACGGATCACAGCGTGCATTCCAAGTTTTCGTATCGATAATCTTAGCGATTGTCCAGGGTCCATCATCCACCGTAGACGTGTCTCGCCAAACAGGAAAACTCTGGATGAGAAGAATAAACGCCTGAGATCGGCTCTCGCCTACCCACTGATAAGAACAGTGGTGATAGATGAAAGAGTCAGATCCAATGGTTGACTTGGAGCTCCCCGATACCATCAAAATATTGAATATTATTTTCAAGTATTATGTTGAATCATATTTCTAAATTATTTAAGTGAACATTTAATATTCCCACCAAGAATGAAAAAAATAATTTAAAATATTTCAGCCAATTAATAAATGAGAATAAAAATGGGTAATAATGGGTCTAGATGAGAAACGATGAGAAAATTAGGTTTCTTTACAAAGTAAGTGACTCGGAAGATGTTGGAAAACATGAGAAATTTAGGGCTCATGGTTTATGATGCAAAAATAAATAAATAAATATATATTTAAATTAAACTAAATCAAAGGGTTTCATTCTATAAAATGTTAGAGAAGTTAATTTAAGTAGATTATATCAATAAATAAAAACGAGGAAATATTAAAAAAACTCCAATTTTTTTTATTGAAAATAGGATGGTATGAAGTATTTTTCAGGTCATGAAGCAGAAAATATGATAATTTAACATTTGTAGAGTAAAATAAAAACTAAAACTGAATTTAGTTTTAAAATAAAAAACACTACAGTAGAGTAAAATAAATTTTTATGGCGTTATTTTCTATTAACTAAAGTTTCACAGGGAAAATTGTCCTTTTGTATAAATAATCAGTACTAATATTTTGTGATACTTTTTAGGAGTGTTGCGTGGTGACGTATTTTAAAAAATGTGCTCATTTTATAAAACTAAAAGCTCATAACTTTATGGAAATAAAATAATTAAAATTTAGTAAAATAAGAAAAAAAGATGTATTATTTTTCCAATCAAGAAGATATTTTCATGATAGCAAGTGCAGTGAAACGCTAATTTAATTATGTTAATTGGATATATTTACGAGAAGGAAATAAATACAATTTAATGAAGTAAATAAATCATTATTTCATTTCCAGATATTAAAGAAACAACGGGAAACAGACGCGCTTCGCACACTGTAAAAGAACGGTTTTTGAACCGACTACCCCGGTAGAGTTGCTGCGTCGCCTTTCTCTGTCGTTTTTTCTATTTCTTGGTTGCTTCCGCCACCTTCCTCTCGTCGTACGCTTCTTTCTCGCGGGTCTTTCTGCGTTTGTGACGTTGGAGAAGGAACAGGGTCCGGGGAGAGGGATCTGAGGCCCCCTCTCCTGACGTTCCTTGAGGGAGTGGAGGGGTGTGGGGAGAATGGGAGGAGGGAGAAGAGGGAACCCTTTCCTCGCGTAGCTCACTCACTGATCTTCCGGTTGGCGCTTAAAGGAGGAAGAAAAACGAGGGGGATTGAGCTATCTGAGCGTTGGAATGGACAGAAAGGCCTCATTTGTCGTGGTTTACGAGTTTGGCTCTCTGAGTTGGCTTCGTCGAGCTGATCCTTCCGTGTTCTTAGGGTTCTGAGAAATCAACAACATCCACATTTTCGTTCAACTGAAGGGTGTTTTAGGGAAGAAAGTAAGTTCTTCTTGAAGGTGGGTTTGCAAGGAGTTGGGCTGTTATTGTCTGTTTCCTTGGCCGTGATGATGATGCTGCCTTTCGGACGCGAATTCTTCGAGAAATAAAACAGCCCTCAATTCGAATGGCGGATCTGATTGATATTCCCTTGCTCTAATTCCGCTGGTTCGTCTGTCGGATTCTCAGACCAGAGCTTCCCTCTGGTCGATCCGGAGAGGGTTTCACCAGTACCTAGGAAACATGTCGGGCGGCACACCTGTGGGGAGCGGAGGGCATGTTAGACATCGGCACAGCCAGGGTTACCTGTCAAGTGGGGACGATTCGGAGGACGACGCCTGTTCCAAGCCGCCGCGTTCGCTGGTGATAGACCAGGCAAAAACTTGGACCCGGGTCCTCGAGAATATCCTCTGGATTGCTTCAGCAGCCTTCATCGTCTACTTTGGTGACTGGCATTCGAATTTGATTTATGTTGTGTGGTGCGACGACCGAATCAAGAGGTAAACGGAGATCATTGCCTCTGCTATCTTCATCGTCCTTCTCTTGAGGGTTATCCTGTTTTATTATCATCAAATAGTGATTCATGTGAAACTCAATTTAACTGATCATATAGAAGCTTGATTTTATTTATTTATTGCGCTTGAATGATGGCTGCGTCTCCTCAGCCATAGAAGGATAGTCAGCTAGATGTTGGCAAGAAGAGCTTGGTTGCTTTTCTTAGCTTATGGAAACTGCCTTGACTCCTGGATCATAATGCTGATATCGAGACCATTTCATCGTCAACTCCATTTTAGTAATGTAAGGTTTAAACATGGCAATGTTTTTTTCAGATGCTGTCTTAAGGCTTGTACTATTTATATTTGTTAAATTCACCCTGTTTTTTATGTTTCCCAATGAAATATGTTGATATTGTATTGTTTTATGGATAGACTCGCAATGTATCCGTAGGAACATACAGATTAAATGTGGGAAAAACTTTGGGATTTTCGGACTTGGGTCTGCAATCATTGTGCGGTTATTTTATCTGTTTTTTTCACGATAAGAGGATAATCTATGCTGTTAGTTTTATTGCATCACAGCTTTTGGGTGCTTGTTCTTTCCTCGGGCACTAGTGCCTCTAATCTCTTAGTTATTAATTCTGCTGTTTAACGTATATTTTCTTATAATTGTTCATCCAGACGTGAGAATTTTCTTGTTCGTGCTCGGTATAATTTATTATAAATAACATATCCTTGTCCCACTCCCGTGGTTCTTGTCATCTGTCACTACCTATGGTTTAGTCTTATTTGACTTCTAATTCACCAACTGACTGACCCTATCGGGTTTTTTTATATTTTTAATGGATAAATCCACCTTCCATTAGTTTTTCTCTAATATAAAATCACAGGCCAAAGAATAATTGCTTCTTGTCGTTCAATATTATTTCCAGCTAATTTCCTCCTCCCCACCTTTTACAGGACGCCATTGTACATTGGACTTGCGAGTATCCTCTTGAATGTCGGAGTCATATGGTACACTGGAGTTCCAGTGAGGTCATTGAAGAAGGCCAGTGAGAAGCTCGAATTGCCTCCCTCCTCCGCCCCGCTGGTCGCTCTAGTCGGCGTCCTGTCGTTCTCATTGTAAGCAGGCTGGTCTTTCTTGTTCACATTTGAGGCTGGAATCCGCCACAGAATCTCATATGGGTTCCCTCTCCCCCCAAAATTTTATTATTTCCAGGATCTCCTTTGCCTTGTGGCCCATCTGGAGCTTCTTGACTCTTCCTCTATTGGTAGGGCTGGCTACTCTTGTAGATGATCGATGGTCTATAGATCCATGTGGGTGCCATTTCTAATCAACCCCTTGTATTTATTTCAGTTCACATTGTTCATGGCTTCCATGGTAATCTTGACTTACTTGCCAATTCGGCCTCTCGGGCCGCAGGCTTTTGCGCTTCATGCCGATCGGATCTTGCCATTGTAAGTCAATCTGCCACCGTAATCTAGCATTTGGACGACCGGGGATCAACAGACATCAATGGAGGAAGTGGCTGATCGGAGAGTGGTGCCATCCTCCGAGGATCATGATGAAAGAATATGTTGGCCCATCGAAGAATATGTCGGCCCTTTCCTCGTGGTTTATGTGACCAGTTCTTGGCTTCCTCGGATTGTATTCTCCATGATTTTTTGGTGTTTGAGCTGATCTTTCATCTCTTGTAACATCTAATAAACGATGACTGAGATCACTTGTACATGGTCGGGGAATGAAATGGGTTCTATCATCTGTATTGGCTGTCTGTCAGGATGCTGGTCACTTGAATCATCATGGGGTTCTTGATGCAGCTGCAGAAGATGAAGATCAGATACGATGAATTTCTCATCTCTGTGTCAGCATTTTCTCTGCAGCGTCAAATGGATGATATACCTAGTGGATGTTGATGGTAGAAGAGATCTATTTTCTCGATATTTTACTGTAAATTGTTAGGAAAATCTTTGTTTGAATATGTTACACGTCATTTCTATGATGAAATTATTGAGTCCTGGAGATTATCCCTCGGCCATATCATAAAATAGCATCCTTGGATTAATAAGATAACTGCATATTTTTTTGTCGGGAACATGTTTGAAGTATCTGAGCATTGAAGCAGAGGCAAAGCAGCATGTCCGATGTGTGTTTTCTAACTTTCCAGAAGGTATCCAGGAAGAAAAGTATAAGTCAAATTTTACTTTATGGTTAGCCTTCCTTTCCGAAAGTAAATGGCTAATGCTCTCTCTCTCTCTCTCTCTCTCTCTCTCTCTCTCTCTCTCTCTCTCTCTCTCTCTCTCTCTCATCTTTATCTATCTATAACTCAAGCTCCTTCTTACCCTTTTTGGGAAAATGAGGAAAAAAATAAGAGCACTGCCCATTTTCTTATAAAACTATTTTACTTATTTTAAGCAGAAATATTGGGTCTAATCCAACTGGATTTACATTACATTTTTTTGGTAATGTACAAGAAAATCATCATCAGATACATTCACCAAAAAAATATAAATCAAAATAAAAGAAACAAATTAGAAATGTGTTGGCCTAGAAAGCAAGAGGTGTTTACTAACCTAGATTGACTTGGATGAAATACAGAAAATCTTAAGAGAAAGAAAATAGATCTTTTCATGGATATTTGGCATGCTACATATGTTAGAAAATCAATGTATAGTTGACTATACACATCATAAGATAAAAGGAAAATCAAATCATTTCCTAGATAAACTTAGTCAAAAGCTGGTTCAATTGGCAACATGATTACAAAGAATTCTATCAATTTAAATAGATGTAAATATCAGAGATTATAATTCCAATGTAAAAGTAGTTGTTGCCCTAGATAATCTCTAGTTGATTAAATCCTAGAGATTTTAATACTGATGGTTAAATTTTTTAGGGTTCTCTAAAAATAGTATTTTGGAAGAGCTTTTAAATAGTATTTCAACAACAATTTAAGTCATTCCACTTTCTAAATCCTTTCATCTAAGTTCTAGTACAAGAGCAATATCACCAAAGTTCTTAAAATTAATTATTCATAAAACCAAGGATGCTCATCCATTTAGTATTAATATTGATTTATAAGATTTTTAGTATAATTTTTAATATGAAGTCATTATGAGAAGTGCTAATTACAAAGAAATAAAATAAGCTAATGTTGAATTTAGAGAGATATAGTTATTAAATCTGTTGTGAAAAAGAATTTTTAGCATCAAAACTTTTAGCTATAATTATTTGAGTGAGAATAGCGAAAACCAAGAGAATAGTGAGAATAGTGGTACATTTTAGTAAGTGGCTATAAGAATAAGCAAGAGAAGACCAAATCACTATAAATTTGAATACTCATTTTAGCCTCTTGCTTTGTGTGTGAACCCACCAAGTCATCAAGTCTATGAGGATTAGTGTGTCAACTCAATCCAATTTGTGTTGACTCACTTAGCACATAATTAATAAAAAGGATTTTAAAACTTCAACAAGTTGGAATATATTTTTAAAAAATAATTCACATCCCTTTTTATTATGTTATCTGGCCCACTATGGAACCAACAGTTGATAGTGGATGTGCCATATGTTACCATTGTTTTAATCACATACTACTTATCTTGTCCAAGTTTATTTAGGAAAGTGACATGATACGTACTAGAAATGAAATACAAAGATTCAAAACTATATTAAATATGCATTAAAGCAAATAGAGGTACAAAGAATTCATATGCGTGAAGGTCAAACGCAAAAAAATATACTTAAAAAAGTCTCTTTGATGTTATAACTATATAGGTTATATATTTCAATGTCTTATAATAAAAATAATTCTATGTGATCCTATAAACATAAAATTACCTGAATATTGTTAGTAATGGTTAAATTTGATGATTCAATAGCAACTTAAAATGAGACTAGATATGATATTTATGTGCAATATCCTAATATCCAATTGATAATCTAAAAAGTTGCCAATACATGAAGTACTGGAAGTATAATTCTAAATGAGATTAAAAAAAGGTTATCCTTCTATGCAATTGTTAATGGCTTCAAATTGGGTTACTTAGTTGCTTTAATGACCTTGGATGCTCCATTAAGTGTCGATTGATATAAATTAGGTGGCAAATGATTGTAACCACGTTGACTACTATGTTACTTTTAATTTCTTCTAAGTTAGAGATTAATCTATCAATTTTCAATTATATTAAAATTATAATTTTGATAACTTTAACCATCCTGACCACTATATCATTGATAACTAATTTTAAAGTAGACTATGTAATAACCTCAAACATCCTCACTATTTCATTCATTCCCAATTGATTTTAAATTATATGACTTAATAATTTTAACCATCTTCATGAAGCATGTCACACTAGTTTGTTGATTATCATTGATTTTAAGTTTGACAAGTTAATATATTTAGCATATTGATTAGTTATAGGAAATAAAAACTTTTCTATTGTAAGCGTGCAAAGTTAGGGTTGATGATAACGAGGGGGGTGCGGAGAGAGGCGACATTACTATTTTCCCATAATTATCATTTCACGCAACTTTGAATTAGGAGAGGGCTCCCGATAATTTTGAGTCGGGTAAGTTCAAAATTATATAGTTTTTCACATTCATACATTAAAAAAGAAAAAGAAGAATAAACTTGAACGTGGGAAATCTGGCGTCGGACCCTGACTTGTGCCTGTACAAACGTAGCCCCTTCTCTCTCCTCCGTAACTCGTATGGAAGTCTCCACCCATCTCCCCCACCCCCCATCCCCGGTGTGGGTGCAAACGCTACTCATTTCCCTCTCTCCGGCGGCGCTCTCCGGCTTGCACCCCCCAGCCGGTGGGCAGCTAATAACATCTCCGCCAGGGTAGAAACCAAGAGAGGGTGAGCCCCCGGCTGGCAGCGCTACATTTCCAGCGCCATTCCGACGTCTCCGGCGACTACCTCCGGCCCGGGCGCGGCGGGGTGGGGCTTGATAAGGGTGGGTCTCCCCCCTTCTTCTTCTTCTTCTTCTTCTTCTTTTTCTTCTTCCCGTTGACACCGACCACCCCTACTTTTAGGTGGTGGAAACGTTCTCTCCTCCCACTGCCTATAAAAGGCTATCTATCTATTAAGAGGAACGTATTCTCTGTGGCTTCCACGCCGCACAAATGACCCAGACGACTCACGGAGATTAGTGGATCCTCCGAGCCTCCTGAAGCCCCCCCTCCTCCTCCTCCTCCTCCTCCTCCTCCTCCTGGTCTCATCACCTCTCAGATAATCACCATGGTATGTTTCAACTCGCTTGTTTCTCTTTATCATGTTCATTTGCCCTAATCACGTCCTCTTCCTCCTCCCCTCCGGATATCATGCATTGGAGTCGCATTTTCAGGAAGTGAAGAGGTGTTGGACAATCACAGAAGATTCACTGAACTACAAGGGCTTCCCCGCCGATAAAGCGGTTACCGGTGGCTGGGTTCCGGCGTCTCTCATACTGGGTCTGTCTTCGATAGTTTCTTTAATCGCGTCCAACCTCGATATTTTACGTGTTCTTTAATTATTCCTCTCTCGTATCCAATTTCCGATTCCCTACGCGGATTTGCGAAGAAAATACGAAGAAGAAGACGATCGAGTATTAGAAAAGAAGAATGGACTGATCTAAGCCAGGTGGGATGATTCGTGGCGAGGGCGGGAACGGGCCCTGATGGTTCTTGCCGATGAACAGGGATCGAGATATGCGAGAGGTTGTCGACGATGGGGATCGCCGTGAACCTCGTGACCTACCTCGGGGACACGATGCACTTGCCGAGCGCAGAGTCGGCCAATATCGTCACCGACTTCATGGGGACCTCCTTCCTCCTGTGCCTGCTCGGCGGCTTCCTCGCCGACTCCTTCCTCGGGAGGTACAGGACGATCGTCATATTCGCACTGGTCCAAACCCTAGTAAGCATTGAGCAAAACCTACACACCCACGGTCTGATCCAAGATCGATTGTCAACAGACGCGAAAGACGCTTATTTCTTAGGCTTCAACCCTGATTTTTAGTTTCGATTTTCTTGGTTGCGAATGATCATACAAGGGAACTGCGATGCTATCTGTGTCGACGAAGATCCCGTCCCTTCGGCCGCCGCCATGCATGGCCGGCGTGTGCGAGAGGGCCAACGGGCTGCAAATGGGAGTCCTCTACCTCGCACTGTACACCATCGCACTGGGCACCGGCGGGCTGAAGTCGAGCGTTTCCGGCTTCGGAACCGACCAGTTCGACGAGAAGGACGAGAGGGAGAAGGTCCAGATGGCCTTCTTCTTCAATCGCTTCTTCTTCCTCATCAGCACCGGCACACTGCTGGCCGTCACCGTGCTGGTCTACATCCAGGACGAGGTCGGCCGGAGCTGGGCCTACGCCATTTGCTCCATCGCCATGTTAATCGCCATCGTAGTCTTCCTCGCCGGGACGAGGAGATACCGGTACAAGAAGAACAAGGGGAGCCCCATCGTCCACATACTCCAGGTTCTCCTGGCGGCCACCAAGAAGAGGAAGCACCCTTTCCCTTCGAACATCGACGCCTTGTATGAAGATTGCAGTGGGACTGCCAAGATCTACCACACCCATCAATTCCGGTAAGAACAAAAAATAAAAAAGGTTCTTCCATTCATGTGTCTATCAGAAAAATAATATAGTTCTTCTTTTTTCTTATGTAATAGTTGCCTTGATAAGGCTGCGATCACAGTCCAAGGGGATTACAACCAGGGTGCTCCGTTCCCGAACCCATGGAAGCTCTGCTCGGTGACCAGGATCGAGGAGGTAAAGATGATGATCAGACTGCTACCAGTGTGGGCAACCACCATCATCTTCTGGACGACGTACGCGCAGATGATCACCTTCTCCGTCGAGCAGGCGTCGACCATGCGCAGGTCGATCGGCCACTTCGAGATCCCTGCGGGATCGCTCACCGTCTTCTTCGTCGGCGCAATCCTGATCACCCTCGCCGTCTACGATCGGGTGATCATGCCCCTCTGCCGGAGGTGGAAGGGCACTCGAGGTACTTCGTTCTATAGATAGATAGATAGTGAGAGAGAGAGAGAGAGACGTGAAGCTGTGCTGAGTATTCAGTGAGTTGATTCCTGATGTTGCAGGGTTCACGGACTTGCAGTTGATAGGGCTGGGGCTGATCCTATCGACGGCCGGCATGGTGGCTGCGGCGGTGGTGGAGGTGATGCGGCTGGCGGTGGCCCACAGAGTGGGTGGTGGCGGAGGGGGGCCGCTGCCCATCAGCGTCTTCGCGCTGATTCCGCAGTTCTTCCTGGTGGGCGCCGGCGAGGCGTTCATCTACACGGGGCAGCTGGACTTCTTCCTCACCCGCTCCCCCAGGGGAATGAAGACTGTAAGCACCGGTCTCTTCCTCTCCACGCTGTCGCTGGGCTTCTTCGTCAGCAGCATCTTGGTCTCCGTCGTCAAGAGCTTGACCAGAGAGGAGGGCGGCGGCGGGTGGCTAGCCGACGAGATCAACCAGGGGCGGCTGGACTGCTTCTACGGCCTCCTGGCGGGACTGGGGGTCGTCAACTTCGTGGCTTTCTGGGTTTGCGCCGCCTGGTACAAGCCGCAGAGGTCGACGCCCAAAACCGGCTTGCAGATGGAGAGCGTGACCAAGAGCAACTCAGCCGAAGACGGCTATAATTGACAGGCAATGACTCGAGTGAACGGTGAATCCTTCCATTTTCTTTCTTGTCTAATCCCTCATTTTTTTCGCCTCATTAGCCCCTTTTTCTTTTAATTTTTAAAGTTTAATGATCGATTAAACTGCATTATTTTCAAATATTACTTTTAGTTAACTCGAATTTATTCGATTGTTATTTATTTTAATATATTTTACAATTTAATTTCATTAAAATGTGTAATTGAGTCATATTCTTATCTATTTTTTTAATTGAAATAAACGGCAATTTATTCTTTAACCACAAATTTCTGCGCAATGTGGCAAATATCAAGCCTAAAAGGAAAACAAGACTTCGCTCAATTCCTCTTCAAAACCCAGTTTCTCTTATCATTTTACGTCAAATGATCATTACACGAAATCTTCTCTCTCTCTCTCTCTCTCTCTCTCTCTCAATCTCACTAAACATTTAGTCTTTCTCTAAGTATTTTGAATAATGTTTGGATTACTTAGATGGAATGTGAGTGAATGTTGAGATAGCTCACAATCCAGTTTGTCCAACCCCCATCTAATTCATTCAATGAAATTCTTTAGATAGACTCTTAAAAAACGATAATTATAGTTCATACATTATATTAATATTTTATTAAAAAATAACCATGCATTTTCATCCGGTAAACTACATTTTATTAGTTTACTACATATTCCTACACAATGTCTCAAAATCGTCCCCGAAAAGGAAAGTTAAAATGGGCTTCCATCAGATCCGGTCCACTAACTTCTAGACCAATTTCCAAGCGATTGACTGCTGTTGTCAGATCTCAAAGCCTTTTCTTCTACTAAAATGAAATTTATTATTTGACTAACAAATTCCGTTAAATGTTTTGAAATTAATTCCACAAACAAAGTAGTAGACTATGTCTGGCCTTTGCTTTAATAAGGTTTGACCCATCAACCTACAGCCCATTTTCATTGTCACTCTTACTGTCACCGACATGAAAGTTTCTCTCTCTACATATATATCTACATATCTATATATCTGTATATATATATATATATATACATGGATATACTCTTTTCCATCTTTGTACAAATTCCAAGCATTACTTTCCTCATGCATCTTCTCAAAGAGCATTAGAGATAGCACACAAAACAACTCACGTAGCCCAACATGTACCAATTCCTTTGATATTTGCCAGATCCCATCAGTGGCTATCACAGGGCTCAGTAATTCGTAAGGACTAGCTTCATACTTCCATAATGGGGCAGAGCAGCTTAGGCACAAGAATAACCAGACAATGGTGTAACAAGATTACAGCCTTTGCCATGGCAATCTTCTTGACCGGATCTGTTCTATTGGGACAGCTAGGGTTTCAAGCGGACAGGAAGAACCATATGTCCCTTAGGGTTTCTCACGAAAAGCTTCCAATCTGTACAACAACCTGCAAGATTATGACCCTGACATGAATCTTCAAGCTGATTCTTGTTTCTGCATTGAGGTTCCATTGGAGAGGTTCAACAGTTCTATACCAATCAAATCTGATGTATGTTGTTTAACAGTTTAGCTTCCAGTTTAGAAAAGATCCAGCAGCACAAGTTCCAGTATAGTTTCCGGGCTCAACCCGCTCATTAACACAATTTATTGGGAGAAGTTTCCAAGATGTAAACATTCTTCATGAGAATTTTCGTCAGCCAAAGATAGGATTTTTGGAGAAGATTGGCAGTGTGGAAGTGGGCTGATGAAAGAGGAGAACCTTGCAATGGCAGGACTGAATTATAGTTGGCTTCCACAAGGTAGGCCTGGAACTAATAGAAATGAGCCCAATGATTCAAAGCCCGTAATAGAGCTTGATGGGACAGAAAAATTGGATGGTCGACAGAGACAACATAGACCCCCGTGGCTAGCCAGCCAACCACCACCACACCAAACATTCTCCATTCTGGATCCGCGTTGATTCATTGGATTGGGTCAAAAGAATGATATATGGAAAGTAAGAACAGTGGTTGCATTGTATTGCCTGATATCAAAATTGTGGGCATATTTCCAAACCTTGTAACCTCGACTCAAAAGGCTTCCAGATTCTCTCAGATTAACAAAGTCCAAGTGTAACCCATCAACTCACCCATTTTAAAAGATTTTTTAAGCTTTTAGATCACATTCGTTCCTCACTCGGATTTCCAGTCCAAAAATAAAATAAGGGAACATTACCATGACAAGAAGCTGATGATATCTACTTCTCAACAACGATCTTTCCACTTTCAGCACTCGAAAATGTGCTGTACTTCTTTCAAACTCAGCAGCATGTCATCTCCCACTAGTGAAGGATTTTTCCAAACTTATGCTTTACTTTCACTTTTTCATGGTGAAGAATCCCAGTTATTAGACATTCAAACAGTGCCATTCATGCAAATGAACCAACTACCCATTCAATTGATGAATCAAAATTTCATTCGAACCAGTTCAGAATTTACAGTTTGGGAGCAACAAACAGCATGCATATGATGGTAGATCCACGGCATTTTAAATTTAATATGCGCTAAGATACAAATAAAGGATGGTAAGAGAACAGTTTCACAATTCACAAGCAACAGAGGAATGCAAATGAAAATAAGAAACCAATGAATAAAAGTATATGCAAAACAGATGTATAAGTTACGGCTAAATAAAAATCAAAGACATAATTTTCTTCTAACTCAACAGATCTAGATGCTCACTTCACATTAAGGAATTAAATTCAAGGTTTCGCAATTATAAAATAGAGAAAAATATGCAGACAAAACGTTAGGGTCGCAGGAGATGATGATTCAGAACCAGAGTGTAGATACTGGAAGAGAAAAGGACTAGGAGAAGACAGCAAGATATCAGTCGACAGATATCTATTTCCCACTCGTTTGAGCGAGTTTGCTGTAGCATGAATTTTGATGGTTGGCATTTCTACAGACATGCCGCTGAGAAGGGATCGAAATTCCACAAAATGACCATGTGTGATAAGAATTTATGAAGTTCCTGTTGTCCACATACAGCACTGGGGAAACACATACCGAGATGAGTTACAGATGAAAGGTCTAGGAGCAGAAGGCTCGAAACCATAAGAATGTAGAAAATAGAGGGAGCCAAGCCTGTTCTTCTCACAACAAAAAGAAAATTCGCAGCACCATAGGCCAAGTCAGCAGCCAACATGCCCATAGCCCTAGTCCGATCCAACGGAAGACCATTTATGAAATTACAGCAGAGCAGCTGCAATCTGTAAGAACTTAATCATAATTGGAAAGACCGATGTCATCCTCCTCATAATCCAGAAGTTACTGATCAAATATGAAGCCACGTTACACCTCCATCCTCCTGTCCCATTGCTCGTATGATTCCCTTTTCCCCTAGTAAGGATAACACGATTAAATAACTACCCCAAAAGATTGTATGGCCTCGGGCTGATCAGTCTTGAGTGTCGCTCTTCCTTCCCAGTCCGATCTCCCCGGATCCACCCTCCCTCTTTTCCTCGAGAAGCCGGCTACCAGACTCCTCATCATCCAGCGGGTGGGTGCTCTTCTTCTGCGCCTCCTTGGCCTTGAGCGCTTGCAGCTTAGCGTGGTTATAGTAAGCAACGCCGAGGAAAGCGATGCCGTAGCCAGCGAGGTTAATGGCTGTGACGGTGTCGCGGATGACGGACCATGAAAAGGCGATGAGAAGCCAGTCCTTGACTACACCGGCAACATTCATTGTGAGTGCAGAGGTCTTCCCCACCAGAAGGAACACGGCGAGGTTTAGGGCGAAGGCGCAGAGAGAGTTGGTGCCAAAGATGAATAGATCTGGCTTGAACGAGGGGGCATCCATGAGGAGGGGGAGCTCTACAATGAGCCAGGGAACGGAGAGGAAAACGAGGCAGCAGGGGGCAACATAGTAGAGGGAGGTGATGGGGTTGAGATTGATGCCCTTGGATGTGAGCAAGATCTGGATGAGCACGAGCCTTGTGGCCTCAAAGGCAACAGCTCCGAGCTGGAGAATGACGCCCCACGTATCAAAGTGCGCCTCGCCATAGGCGGCAATGGCGACCCCGACGGAGATGGATACCATGTTGATGAAAGACTGAGTCCTGAACGTCTCCTTCTTGAACAGGACGCCGATGGAGTACACGGCGACCGGCATGAGGGCCTTGAGCATTTGAATGAAGGACACGGAGAGATAAATGTAGGCGGAGTTGGAGAACCAGAGGGAAAGCGAGTAAAGAGCGCCGATGGGAACAACGGAGGAGATGTACAGCTGCCGAGACATGGCCGCCGGAGTCTCGACCAGCCGGATTCCCTTAACGAGGACGAAGGCCAGCGACGAGCAGAACGCCATGTGGATCATGGTGAGCGAAATTGGGAAGGGCCAGTTATACAGCTTCCGATCTAGGATGTACTTGTTGTAGACGATCACCGTGAAGGAGAGGAAGATCCAAATCCCTACATAGGCGTAGGACATCAGCACCTTCCTGAGCACGGACTCGCTCATCCCCCCCACCGCCGCCGCCGCCGATCCCCCTCCGCTACCAGATCCTCCCCGCCCCATCTCCCTCGAGCAGCCGGTGCTGAATGCCCTCTTCCTCTTCTTCTCCCCCCTGAGAAGAGGGCGATGAGGTATTTGACCACCTCTCCCATTGAAATGGCAATTATGTAATTTTATCCTGACATTCAAAAGCGGGCCGAGTTGTTTGTGGGTAAAATAAAGCCCGTGAGCCCACCGAGCCGAGTTAACCGGCCAAATTACGACTAATCAGCGCATATTCCTACCCACCGCCTGCCGATTCCACCATGGGGGCGCGGGATTTGGTAATAAGACGACAAAAGGGACCCTAGCCGAGACGTTGAAACCCGTGTCAGATGTCTCTCAGCCGTTGGATCCTCCTCTCAGATCCGACGGATCAGCGAGAAAGGAAGGTGTCATTATTTAACAATGGTGACGTGCCGAGTGACGGAAGATGCCGTAATTAACGGCATACCAGCCCACTAAGACACAGAGGGCTAACCCGTAATTAACGGAAGATGGGATATTAAAAGCAAATGTCCATAAATTTGTTGACAAATAGGAAAAAGGAACCGCAGCTGCCGTTGGCCTATTCCGCGTTCAGGATGGAGTCAACGACCCTAGGGCAGTGAGGTCACGTGGAAAGGAGTCTTGACTTTTCTCGGTTAATCAATTCCATGTCTAATTATCATCTCTCACTGATTAATAACTTAATATGTATCCGTATATATATATAAAGAGAGAGAGAGAGGAGGAATTAGAATTGGGATTAGTCAAATAAAGTAAGAAATTAAGGGGGTTGACCGATCGGGACGTAACGTGCGGAGCTCAACAGCTGCGATTTGAGGCGGGAACGTGAATGGGGATGGGACCTTCAACGACTGGAAGGTGCTCGATGTTTTGTCTGAGAGAGACGACTGGTCGACCCCTTGACACCGTGGGCTGCCGGGTGGGATCCGAGTCAAAACGCTGCCACCCTCCTCCCGTCACGGATCGGAGACCAACTCATCCAAGTTGTCAATTGAAGGTGGACTTCTGCTCTCTTTAGGACACACTGTGGCGTCACCATCTTGCCGAGAGAGAGAGAGAGAGAGAGAGAGAGAGAAAGATAATCCGTCAGCTATGGGAACAGCTGGCGTGAATACGGTATGCCGTGTGAACAGACCACCGCCCTCAAGGAGTGAGTGTTCTTCGGACAAGTTAGGTGAGAAAAGTCAACGGAGAGAAGGCTCCACGTGAACGCTGAGGTAGTGGGTGGGAATAGTAAGTAATATATATATATATATATATATATATATATATGAATATAGGTCCAACATTTAAGACCGTGAAAGATATAAAAGTAAATATTTTGTTGTAGATATTGGTTGTAAGAAGTGGCGAACATGGGCCCTGGTCGGATTGCCTTGGGGCCCCACCTGGCCGGGGAAAAAGCCCAAGAAGGAATGCAGGTCTTGACCCTTGTGAAACGAAGCTCATAATACACCTGTTTGGCATATAGCAAAAAAAATAGTATTTATTATTTATAATACTATTACTATTAATGGTAACCATCAATTCTTCTTATAGTTCACCAATCATTTTTATATTATTTTCCTAAATTAGAGAATTACCCCGAATCAAGGATTCAAGATGAGTTCTTAAAGCTTGGGGATATCATCTATTTCTATAATATATTATTAAAAAAATATAAATGTAGTTTTCATCGTATAATTAATCTGATAAACTGGTAAAGGCTTGGCCCATCAAAATCATGATCATAATTAGTCAACTGAGGCCGAGTTATAATCCGATGTGGCTAATTTTGACATGACTTTGAGGGTAAAATCAGCTGATCAACTCCCAATCTAAATCTATCCAGAAAAATCGGATGCTTGATCAATGCACATTAAATACCAGGTCAGAATCGGTTCTAACAATGAAAATTGAGTAATTATACAGACCTTTCCCCCATGATTTCTGATTTTCAAATAAATTTTGTGGGTTCAACGATAGAAGCCTCAATAATCGCTCTACCCAAATTTTATTTTGCTAGTCTTAGCCATTAAAGTCAACTTGAGGAAATGTGTCCCTAACCACTCTCCAACCTGGTTCTTACATTCAACATGGTCCACCATGTGGTTGACTCTCTCTCTCTCTCTCTCTCTCTCTCTCTCTAACAATAAGGTGAACGTTGGGGTCTGTTTATGCCTTCCAAAGATGAGGTAGGCATTGCACAAAACTTTGTGCAGCACCCAATTGAGGTCTTCTCAAAGACTCCATGGCTAAAACTAAGATTGGCAATGCTTGAGCTGGGCCATTCCCATTTAAGACACATTTTAAAGAATCACAAGGTTATCGTGCCACGATAAAGTCAACAATCAGTACCTTATTTGTGAGATTATATTTCTTTAAATTCTGTGTGCCATCTATGGTGGAATTCGGCCAGATATTTTTTTTATGATGATAAAATAATTGTGAAAAAGCAGCGAGGCAAATAAATAAAAAAATCAAGAATAAGGGTCTACTATTTCACCACCTGTAGTTCAACTTTTGGGCCATTCATTCTATGAGATCATGGTGGAAACATCCATTAGTGACCAGCTGGAGCTTGAAGGGACTGAAAGTCAGCGTCACCGGACAATAAACTGTGGACATGAAAAAAGTTCGGACAATCTGAGTCAGAATTAATCGCCAAGGCTTGAAGCAGCTCTATAAATCGACTGTTTTTAATTTCCTAAATGACATGAACAGTGGAAATGAGGGGTGCCAAAATGAAGAGCAAAATCTTGAAGAAGTGATACTCACGCGAAATTTTTTGGGATGTTCTACTGAAATATTATCACCGAATATTTTCATCACATATTCTTGTGACTACAATCAACATGCCTGATTATGATCGACATGAACGAGGTGATTCCGGAGATTAGAAGATAGGATATTACGCGAAAAGGTTTTGGGTGTTCTACTGAAATAATCAGCACTGAATGTAGTTTACTCGTATATTTTCATTACAGATTCATGTGACTATAATCGACATGCCTGATTACAGTCTACAAGAACGAGATGATTCCGGAGATTAGAAAATGTGATATCAGCGAAAAAGGTTTTGAATGTTCTACTGAAATGATCAGCAGAGTGTAGTTTACTCGTATATTTTCATCACAGATTCATGTGACTGCAATCAGCATGCCTAATTACAGTCGACATGAACGAGGTGATTCCGGAGATCAGAAGGGTGTTGGCTATGTTCGGAGCTCTTCGGCCGTTCGCTCTTCTAATCCGCTGAACTTAGTTGTTGAGTGAAGACGGACCGTGATTTGGCCGATGACAGATCCTCTGCTGGCATCGAACTGCTCATGTGCAATGAGCCACCTAGAGAGCGATTGTATTTCCGCAGATCGAGCAATCGTGAATGGATCTAAAATTTTGAAACAGAATCGCAGGGAGAGGATCACCTGAGTTTGACTGAGATCGCCGATGCATCGTCGATGGAGATCTCGTCGTATTCTAAGAGGATGAAGCACCATAGCAGAGGGGGATCAAGAAAGAAATCGTACAACAGGAGCAAGTCCCATCGCGCGGGGGTGGCCGCAGCGGGAAGAAGAGGAAACCCGGAAGGGGAAGAAGAAGGCTGGCGGGGATTTAGCTATAACACCCCATAATTTAACTGAATAAAATAAAGTTCCTGAAAAAAAATTATTTCGTTCTGAATACGCCAGTAGTATAGGGACTTCACTTTCTTACGGGGTAAGACTAGAACCATCGGAACGCCATACGGCGGCGGGAGGTCTGCCAACTCTCTGGAAGAATTTTCGGCGTCCCTGTATCAGGGGTTGGACTAGTGCCTGTTCTAGAATTGGAGCGCTCAGCCGCTGAGATCTCCCCAACGTTTTTGCCTGATCGTGAGGCTGGGGGGAGCTGCTGATTCTGCGGGCGTCTGAGGAAACCGATTCTTCAGTAAGGTCTGAAAGGCGGAGGTTGTCGATATCAGGACACCATTTCCTTCACTATAGACAGATGCCGAGGATTGGAGAGGCTCCCTGTGAGCCGATGAGAGGAGAACTGTCGTCGTCTCAGCAGCCTACGTCATCTGCAATCTCCGACGGTTCTGCCTTAGACTCGGTCGATGGGAACCGAGGTCTGGTCTTGCTAATGCAGTTGGAGCACATATTGGAGAACGACGCCCTCATGTGCGTGCCATCGGCGCTTTTTTTTTTCCATTTTTCTCTTTCGCAGAAGAAGTTTGCTAAATGGATGCTTTAATTTGCTCAGGATTTTGTTGCCGACCAATTACTAGATAATTCCAGATAACAGTGCTTGGCTTGGGGTCATAAAATTTTCAGGAGGAAATATGGCAGGATAAATTTTCTATCATATGCTAATTTTCTCGACCATCACCCTGTTGAAATATTAGAATAAGGAATATACTAAAGTAAATAAGAGAGTAGTTTAATGGGTATCTTGCAGAAATATGATGGTCCACTGGTGGCCAAAGCTCCTGATTTGAAGGACATTTTTATTGAACCTGAGCAATCAGCGTGGCCCCTTCTTTGATACTAAGGAAAATTGGTTTGATGTAAAAAGTTCGAGCCAAGAAACCGATGTCGATCACATATTGCCGTTCATGAAACACACCCAAGTAAGAACTGGTTAGAAACCAAATATTCTTGATTATCAACCGGATGCCGTTACTCTGGGGAAACAGATTATTGTCCCTAATTATTTTAAATGTCCTTCTGTTCACATAGTTGGAGGAAATCAAAAGATTTTTCTTATCGATTCTGCTTGTAGTAAGTGATCATATGTTATGTCATGCTCTTTTCATTTACTAGTTCTCTTGTATTATTTTACAGCGACGAATTAGGGTTTGTCCATCCGACTCAACTAGCAGCACTTAATGCACAGTCAGGGGTAGCTTTATCTTCTGATGCCATTCAGTCTGCAGCTGAGATCATGAGCGAAGGGACTGTTGAAGGTTCAATATTTTATGATGGGACGGTATTCTGGAACAGAGACCATAAGTTAGCCATCTCAACCACAGAGTTGCCACAGTTATACGTTGCTGGCCAGAAAATGTTTTTCGATTCAATCAAGAAATACAAATCATCTCAGAACCACGATCAATCTCTTCAGAATGATGTTCTGAGACACAGTAAATCCCTTTTACTTCTATGCTGTGACAGTGGGACCGCTTGGAATTCAAGGTAATGCTCTTCCTTCAACAATCATTTATTATATATATTTTTCTTTTCCTTTTATATATCTTTTATATCTATTTTGCACTCTATCTATTTGGTTTGCAGAAAAAGAAGGAAAGAGGAAAGAGGGTGATTGAATCATAACGAATTTCTTGATGAAAACATCAGTACAGAGTTGATTCAACTAAATTACCTTTGATTCTCTGTGATGATAGGCATCATGTTATCCCCATTTTCAGGATCAAGAGTTTTTGAAAATTCGCATATAATTCATCCAGTTGCTATGAATAGTACTACAGATTCGTTGAAAGCACTTCCTGACGATCTGTACTATAGCAGGTCGAAATAAAATCTCAAAAAGTTATTAGAAGTTGGATAGAGAAGTTTCATGAGGTAATGCTGATCATAAGAAGTTTTGCCTACCACTTTCAAGGGAGTAAAATTATGACTAGAATATCGAATCAACCAAATCGCCGATAAGAAGGATATGCCAATCACTAATATATATACATACATGTGTATACAAACCCAGGACAACTTTTCAAGATCTAAGAATAGATTCATAGATATCCTTCAGGAAAGATTCCATGTACTTCAGAGGTGGTGAAACTACCGTTTTAATAAATAATTGACCACTGCTGAACTGGAATTAAAAATTCTCTCACCACAACCAGACACAATTGAAAAGAAATCCTAGTAAAGAGGTGTTGAGGAGAATTATAACGTATTTAATAATACTGAAGCTTCAAGTTTGAAATGTGCAAGACTAAAATTCAGAGGCAACCCTACTTTAAATACTAGCGTCCCACCCCAACGTTGTAATTTACTTGGCTCTGCCCCGCTTGCTGGTCACTCAGTTCCGCTCCTAAACTGTTGAAGTTTGGTTTCTGTTGGGGACCAATTCGTGAACATACCACCAAGCCAGTTTTTATTCATTTCAATCCTGGGCACTTTTCCAAAATCTTCCTAAAATATTAAAAAGTGATTTAGGAAAAAAATCAATTGAAAATAAAGGTTAAAAAATGAACATCCAAATTATTTAAACGTAATAGTACTGTAGTACTTGGTGACTAGTGGTGGATTATAGCGCATTTAAGCCTATTTTTGTGAAAGAATACCTCGCTAGATGATGCCTGTGTATCTTCAATAACCCAAATTCACAGTATTATTCTACTTAGTTTAGTGCATTAATTTGTGTTTTTTCATTATTAATAAAATGATAATAGATATGATATAAACTTCATCAATTTTGTCAATGCACTTTTTGCTCATTTCTGTTTGTCTATGTTTTACGAAACACTCTCTTGGGCATCACGACTTTATCTAGTAGAAAATACCATCCGGTTGGTACAGATCGTCATCCAAGGGATGCCTTGTCATTTCCCATGTGACAAGAGATTTTGGAGAACTATTCCAACTAGGGACATTGGGAAGCATGTACAGTGGACGTTCACCCTGGCTTGCCTTGACGAGTGCTGGCTCCTTAAGCAGTTAGGCTGCTATAAGATGCAGAAGTGGGTGACTTTTTTAAAATTTTCAATATTTCAGTGCTTTCAGTAGGCCTTTTTTGAGGGGAGAAGAAGAATTTGCATTCTGCAAATGTCAAATGAAACTCTCGAGAAGGAATTAAATTATTTCCAATTTATACTTCTATATGAAATTTTAAATTGACTGGAATGTCAACATTTCAAAGCTAACTTTCTGATTCTTTCAAAATCAAATCACACAAATTTCCAAAACAAAAAGGCCTTCATTCGCCCAACCAACGTTCCAATGACTAAATATCCTATACATGCTTTGATAATGGTAAAAAATGTTACGAAAGTTGACTATGGCTTTTATATTGTTTTGCCACGAGTAGAAAGGTGCCAAACCACTAACACTCTTCCCTCGCTGCCTCTAAAAGACTCTGTTAATGTACTTTTGGGATGCCAGTGGGCTTTGAGATAACATGCAGAAAAAAAGATAATAAATTAAACAACATATTTTACTTTATGTTGTTATGTTGTTTCTTTTTTTTCACAGAAGGTTTGAAGGATTCATTAAATGGTACAGAATAGAAGGAGATAATTTCTGTTTTTAATGGAAGAAGATAGGGAAATAATATGAACGCATTATTAATCGACGAAAATATTCAGAAAATTCACTTAATTTTACTTTCTGTTTTTCCTTTTTTAACTCTAAGATCGGAGGAGAGACAGAATGGATGATGAAAAGTTGTTTGGAGAGGATCATTATCGTGTTTATTCCTTTATTTTCCAAATCTATTTAACTGTGAGAGATTTCTGTATACCTTCTGAATAGAAAATTTACACTGGGGTAGGTTCCAATACCACAATATATGATTGTGACGAATCCTACCAGTGTCATAATTGATTCTGCTTTGAGAAGATTTTCCAACGAGAAAATGTAGGTAAAAAGTTTTGGCTGTGTTGGCTGACTCAGAAGCTCTGGGGTTTTCGTTAGATAGTGTGCATGTCAAATTTTGTCATTTTAATTTTTATGTGATATTTAAACATCCAAATTTATTTGATTTAATTTCTCTGCATGAACATTTCCTTATTGATATCATGGATTTACCTTGACAAGAATGATAAATTTTCTAAAGAATACTCTTTATCCCAAGCTGTGTCAATTTTTTTAACGATTTTCTCTTCAGGAATCATTTGGGTGTTTATTTTTTTTATCTAACTTTTAATTATTCTGGCACTATTCAGGAAGTTGGTGATTTCGGGGAATCCATCTTTATCATTGCTTATGAGTGAACTCCAATTATCAACACTGATTCTGTCATATTCACCGAAGAGTGAAAATTCTTGGAGTCATCGGTAAATTAAATAAACCATCTTTCTTCTTTCATTTACACATACCGCTAAAGTTTTGGGACGTACATCTTAAAATATACAACCTTCTGGTCATGGACATTTGCTTCTGAAGTTGTACCATAAGAAGTTCGTTTAACACAGATGGTCTACTTTCATTTCATAATCCACAAATATTCTAACCCATAACTTATTTTTCCTAGGCGTTGGGTAATCAAACATATTGAGCGGGTATCTGGGGATCCGTCTGACATCCTAGGAGAAGAATCAGAATTGGTGAAGAGAATAGCTGAGGTTCATTTTCAATCCATTTACTGAGATCTTCGATATGGAATGTTTATGTGACTTCAATTCATGGATAAACCAGAGCACCTTAAGGATCCTCTCTTTTCTAGTGAATGCTGAGCTTGTTCTTCTCTGTGTACTTTTTTGCATAAACTGCTTGGATATTTCTGATAAAAAAGAATTCCTTTTAAGTAATTATTCTCACCTCTGGTATCTCATATTCTATGTGCGCAAGGTTGAAGTTGTAGTGCCTTTTTGAAAGTGTTTAAATCCTCACCTGTTATAAAGTTAAAGATTTCTCAGGTCTCTACTGATACTTCTGTGTTTGTTTCTGTCAGAAACTTTGTTGGTTTAGTTTTATAAACAAATCTTATTGTTCTCCTGCCATAACAAAGATCTTAAAATGCTGGACATCAAATTCAACTCATGTTTAGAAATTAAACTCCATTGAAAAGATTTCGAGACATTATCAAGAATTTGTACAACTTTCCAGAAACGCACATAGCTTTCAAGGTATCCCTTTGCTGGTTTTTTTTTTGAAAGATAAGCGTTATATTTGCGTACTATTTAGTACCATTTTCCGAAAACGGACTGTCTTCTTGAATATGTCGCTGATTTTGCGTTACTGATATATTGCCAATGTATCCTGGGAAGCATTATATCTATTTAAACAATGTTATGCAATCCATTGTTGGGAACTGTCCTAAATGGCTAGTTTAATTCCATCAATAAAAAACTCACATGTTTATGATTAGTCAGTTTTCATATGATTTGCAATCCGATTGAAACTCATATGTTATGCAATCCAATTGAAAATGGGTTTGAACTTTCCAGACGTGTATCCTCTTGGAGACAAATTATACATAAAAAAAATAATTTTAAGTGATATTTTAAGGATTCTTTAACATTGTTAATATAGACAATCTGAAACTTGGAAATGCTCTAGCCCAGGCGCTTTTCCACCTGAAATATTGCCTCTTGTGTTGGGGTTACTTTGGAAACTATGGTTTTTCTCAAATCATCTTGAAGAACGCTGCGCCTAGCTAGAAGACATCTTATCTAAAATAATAATCCTAACCAGTGAATTTGTATACTTCTGGACCACTAAAATTGGCATGCTTGATATGATACTATTTTCTCCTGGGAAATATGAAGGTACTGTTGAGATAAATTTTATCATTCTGATCCAGTGTTTGTGTTTTTTCTGCAGAAAACAAAAATGAACTATCGTGCATGGAATCATCTCTGCTGGCTTGTTTCATATATGTCGAGAAGCCAGGTGTGATTTAAATTGTTGCTTTGGTTTCACGTGTGGAACACTCAACGCTTTGGTGATGGCATATGACTACTTCAAAGAATTATTAAAAAAAGATTATAGTGATGGTTACCTATTTGAGTGTTTTCAGAAAATAGGCCTTAATAGATGATTGGATAACTGGAAAGTAAATAGGTAGTGCCTGGTCAATGATCCAGTATAGTTTCATTCTTTAACTATAAGACTACTAACCCAGGACAGTAGCTCAGCCAGTGATTTCCAATTTGGCTTTCAGAAGTATTCTACGTTGATTAAATTTTTCGAGCTCTGTGGGTGTTTAAAGTTTATTCTTCAGGAAAAACAACAAATATAACCTCGTTTTAAAATTCAATTTTTTGTGTGAATATCTGTACCCTTGTATTGGCTTTAGATTTCACTTATTTGAGGTCAATCTTGGCCTGCTTTTAATTTCCCTGTGTTTGGGGGAATAATTTTGTTCTCAAATGGCCAATGTACTTAGAGCTTCTTTTTGGCATTTTCTGCAGATGCTTGATGAGCTAAAATTTTCAAGAAAATGGGCAGAGTTGAATGTTGCTGATAACTGTTGCTTTCAGCTCCGCAGAGTGAGAAAACTCATCTTATGGAGCCTTCGGTTAGAAAGTCACCGATGAAAATGGCAAAACTCTGTCGTGATTTAATCTGTGAATCATCTTTTTTCTGAGATAGAGTTTTAATTATTGGATCCCTTATCTCATTTATAGAGACCAGATTTGGAATCAATTTATGCGAATCCAGGGGTTTCTAGCACAGGATTTCCCCAGAAACCTGAATGATCTGTATTAAATCAGATCTGATTCTTGGCTCAGACAGGTCGTCTCTGTGCTCCATGGAATTTAGTTGGGATGAATGGTGGTGATCGTTTTAGATATTGTGTACCTTTTATGATGCAGAAAAATGATCAAATTGCCTTTGACCGCTTGTCTCATTTAAAGTTACCTTGATCAGGCCTACGGACTAGTTTGCAGTGTTTTTATATGACAATGACAGAAACCTTTGTCAAATCCTTCAATACATCATAATTTATTGACTAGTCTCTGTCATATCAGTTTCATTATATGATATCATGGATACCTCACCGAGATTTCCCCAACAATATAGCATCATGTGAGACTCAAAATTTTATAGATCTGAATCTTTCCTTGGATCTTGAACTGCAGAGACTAATGCTTAAAATTTCCGAATTTAAACCTGAAAATCAATGTGGAGATGAAGGATTGCTCGCGAAGTCTGAAATTTACAAAATATGGGAGGTACTTGTTTCTTGATTTGGATTAAATTGCACCTGGTCCATTTTATCTATTTTTTAAATTGTGGAAATGCTTTACCAAATATTCACTTCTGTCCTAGAAATTAAACCGCTTATTTTTTATGCAGAAACTTCCTATGCCAAATTCTATGGAGTTGATTATTTATATCCAGACAAATTTCTAATATTTTTTCCTGAAAGTACATTCTCCTAACTTTGGAGATGTTGAATTTTTATGACCGCTCTGAAAGTAAATTAGACCGTTTTCAAAAAAAAAAACTTTTTAAAGTGTTATACGCACATGAGGATGTTGAATTTGAAAACAGATTTGCCTCCAAATCCATTATTACCAAAAGCTTTTAATAGTATGGCTGTGATGTGTCACTACATACTGCTATCTCCATTATAGAAGGAGAGAAAAAAGGATCAAGTTGGCTAGTAAATGAAATAGTAATACTATAATAAAGATCTCTATTCTAGTTCTATTATCAGCGATAGGTCTAAATCTAAGAGAAATTCTAGGTAACGTTTGTTGCTCATTTTGGCAAATCTCCACTATCTTTCTTCGGCTGAGTGGCTTTATAGAACCGTTGATCTTCAGTTGAAGTATTCTTTATTTTTTCACTCAGTCACCTCGTGCAAGACAAAATGAATTGCTTTTCAAAATTTTAGTCTTTTTTCTTGAATTCTATCTTCAAACTAATAGCCTGAGATCCAGCACCTTAAGACGGAAGATAATTTTTTCCCTTTTATGATCATCGCTCAGGTTGCAGCTTCTAAGAAGTTCATCCTTTTCATCAGAGTGATTCTAGGTCTGCATGTTGTCTTTTCAGGATGAATTCAGGTGGAACTGTCTGCTTATTCAACGTTATATTGGGAGGGAGGTAATCTTTGCTTTAGAGAAGCTAGGGATCTCACATCCGCTCTTCTGAAACCCCATTCATGGAGCATGCTGCGTCTTTTGCAGGCCTTGTGGATTCATCGCCGTTTCCTCTTTCAGTTTTGGCTGAATTATCTTTCCACCGATCCCTGTTTAAATCCTTCCGATTCGAGAAGCTGCCCTGCTGTTCTTGATGTGGCCGATTTTCTTCAAAAGGAGCTGCAGCTGCTCCTCGTATGCTTGAGCTCACCAGGGGATGAGTTCGAGGATGGCAGAGTCCAGTCTGAGCATGCGAGGTCATATTTCTTCTGGATATTGAAGGTTTGTGAATGATCTTACTCGATAGTTCCCACAAGAAGGAAGTTTAGACTTTACTTAATAATTACCCCAATGCATTTATTTAATTATTTAGTTATTCATTTCATTTTCCTTACCAAATTCTGAAGCAGCATATTCCATTTGGCCCGCTTAGTGGCCTTTGGGAAAAACTGAGGGGTGTCGAAGAACTGAAGGCCCTGCTGAGAGAATCCTCTTCCCCTGTGAAGATCCACTTGTGGAGGAGCTTTCTGGGAAGACCAATTTGGGATGATTTATTTGGTCCAACATAGTATTATGCATCCTTGGTGGCGGACGTTTTGAAGGATATACAGGTAACCGCATGATTTATGGTGCCAATTGAATGAAGGTTATGATCTTGAGTTGCTCTTATGATAAGAATATCCCCTTCGCCTGGAATGGTGGTGGGAGATGAAGATATAGGGAGAGGGTCACCGGCATGAGCTTTTTCTTTTTTTAATTGTTGCTGCTGTTGTTGTTGCATGAATATTGTTGAAAAGATTGATCAATTGATTTCCAGAGAGGAAAGAGAGACCGATCAGGCTACCTGATGCAGCAAAAGTTGCATGGAATAGTAAATCTAACCTTGAATTCACTAGACACGAAAATGGGACTTTAATGATCGGAAAAGTACTCTTGAATCCAGAAGGGTTGATTTTTTACGATTCTTGAATCCACAAAAATTAGAATAACATTTCTTGGATTCACAAGAGTTGCTTGAATCTAAATACTCACAATTATCTCAAAGATAGTGAAATTTTGTAACAATCTAGATCATTTAAGCATTACAATATGGTGAACTTTAAACAATCAAAATTTATGTCGGCATCTCAAAAAATCAGATCAATTTAGGACTAATATCAACATATCTTAAAAATAAGGCAATTATTATAATTGAAACTTTGATGCTTTATTGACACATTTTGATTTATGTTTATTTTTATTTTATGCTTTTTTTGGGTCTTCTCATCTCTATAGTTCACAATTCACATTACCAAAATGTTAGGCCCATTGACTATGAGCTTTCCTTTGTTGTGCATGTTGTTCTACATCACTTATTCTCATTTTGGGCCTTCAAATATCTATGGTCAATAATTTTTTGTTTTCAGGCCATGTGGGTCAAAAAATTTCCAGCTTTGCCTTTCTTTGAATGATGACCCACATTACTATTTATCAAGACTTATGCATTATACTTCCTTTCTTTTATTTTCTTTATTACTGTAGTTTCTTTGTCTCATTTTAGTTAGGCCCAGTTCAATCAGCCAATGTTATTTCAGTTAGTAATGAACCAGACTGGCTCAACCCATTATGGTTTATATTTGGTTTGGTTCACCCCATAACCAATGGGACTAATATAAAGCCTGGTCTTGATCCCTCTTTTGAAGGTAATGTGAGATAAGGGCTCAATTGTTCTTTCTTTGTCTCTTTCTTGTGGCTTTGTCTCTCCATCTCTCAATTGAAGGATTCCTTAAAATTGTAGAGCGATTGTGACTATTTGATGTACAAGTTCTCACATGGTATCAAAGCTTCATTTATGGGTGTAATCCACTCTACATCGTCTTTCTTGTCATCAAATATCTTTATCCACCCAATTGATTCGTGCCTCATCAACTACAATGAGGTTTTTCTTCTGTGCCATTTTTTTCACTAGTGTGATGAGGCATGCTATGATATACTTGAAAGTTTTTTGTAGATGGATTGCTCATTCTATAGTTTCATATTGGTTCGAGAGTGAGTTTGGCCTACTTATCACTAGCAGATCATCTTGAGACTATTTTTCTATACATTGTGATTCATATTGAAAGATTTTAATTGATGAAATTAAAGTATATGTATTAATTTTAACTTCACTTGAAAATTTTGAAAGTCATTTTGCATAGAGAGTAACCTGATTTTAGCATTAGATCAAAAACTTATATACTTTGAGCTATCTATAATTTCACATGCAGATCATTTAGATGACATAAATTACTTTGGAAGGTCACAAAAAGTTAGAATTGTAATGAAAAAGTAAAGGACTTTTGAGTCACTAAATCAAGGTCTAGAGGACAATGATCACAGTTTAAGAGTAGATTATCAGGTAGAGTAAAAAATAATGACATAATTGTGGACTGCAATGAATCTTGAAATTAGAAGAACTTGTTTAGATCTTCGTATAACTATGGATATTTGGCAAAACTTACATCAAACATATTCTACAGAAAATGATGATGCTGAATTATATGAATTGAAATTGAAAATGGTAAATTTGTGATGATTTTTTTTTGATGGAATGCACTAATGAATTGATCACTCTATAACAAGAATTTGTCCAATTGTAGTGGCAATATATAATAATATAATAGTAGAACAAGAGCATATAAGTACTTAGTGGGCATCAACTCAGAGTTTGACTATATGTGTTCAGATTTTTAAATGAGAAAGGGCACCACAATTGAATGAAGAAATATCTTTGATTAGGGGGATAAGAGAGTCAAATAAATTTAATATTAGATTCACATGATAGCATTGATAACTCTATATTTGTAGCTATAAGTACAAATTCAGAAAAAAAAGTAAACCTCAATTTTAGCCAACACCTGACCAAGAAAACTTACAAAATTAGAAATGTGATGATAAGTCTATTTTATGATTCATTTGTTGTAATGAATCACATCATACTTGTGATAGGTGGTACAGACCCCATGGTAGACCACCACATTACTCATAGTCCAAAAATAATAGACATATTTATACATCAGTTTAATAATATCAAAAAACAAGTAAAAGTTTCCAAACTCAACATTGGATCCATCCACACCAAGTGGAGGTTAAGATGGTTGAAACGTCTTTAGAAGCATATTCTTTGGTTCAATCAAGTGAATTTTCATTCCTATCTAAATTAATTGCCTTAAACACTGATTCTTCTTTCACTTTTTCAAATTCTTGAATTATGGACTCAAGAGCCATTGAACGTATGATAAACTCAATTTTATTATTTTCAACTTATTCTTCATGTTCTAATAATAGAATAGTTGCTATTACATATGAATCCTTAATCACTACTACAAGCATAGAAAATATTCATTTCACTCCTTTATTTATTCTACGTAATATTCTTCACATCTCCAAATTGACCACAAATTTAATTTATGTCAGTAAACTTTTGATTTACATTAACATATTGATTTGGTGTTAATTTTTGTTTGATCTATGACAAGGTATTGATAAGTCTTCATTATCATGACTTAATAATTAGTAAATAATATAGTTTTAGTCTTAACTTATGATAAATAGACTTATATTTGTGTTAAAGTGTGATAAATGGTTTTTAATTATTCAAAATGAATTTTTGGGTAATTATGTGATTTTATATAAATTTATATAATTTTTACAATCTTACTTTTGAGATAAATAAAGAAAAAGAAATAAAAATAAAAATAAAATAGAATGGGAGGACTCATTGACTAGCCAGGCCTATAAGCGAGTTGGAAGCACAATTGGAGAGTAGCTACAAGCAGGGGCTCGAGCGACTTGAATTGATAAGGGCATGTGTGTGCCACTCTCTTTCCACATCACTAGTGACTAGCCGATTGTGAGGCAAAGAGTGGTCGTACATACGCAAGAAATAGACTTGCAAATATAATATTATTATATATTCATCTGAAACTTTGGCACACAAGTGATGTGAGACTAAACTCGTGTCACACCTTCCCCAAAAAGGGTGGGTAATCGGCATGGGTTTGAATCCTCTTAGAGCCAAAACTCATATTTTTTATTTAATTATCATGACTTTTTTGCAAATCACCGATAAAGGATTAAGCAACTAGAATCGCTAGATCATTGACAAAAATCTCGTCAATGTGATTTGTGGAGCATTGTTACTAAAATTACTGAATGATTTGCAATAAAAGGATCACAAATCCATCGAGAAAAGCATCTCCGATTGATCGACGAACAAGTCGTCGTTGGGAAGAAGATGATTTACCGGGAGATGAGTCACCACCTTCTGAGAGTGTACCAAATGCGATGAAGAGCCTTTTCTTACTACATGGAATTGAGGATGAAGCTCCCTAATATGCACCTTACCTCTATCCAACTTCTCTCTGTCAGGTGACAACCATCGGAGAATTGTAAAGTTGCTATTTTTTTGCTCCGTTGGGTGACAATCGTCAGAGATGATTTGACGACCTATTTCATTGATCTCTAGACTTCGCAAAGAGATCTAGAGATTGCTCACGTCGTCCTTGTCTAAAGAGAGCCTTTGAGGCCATAGACACTACATGACAATCCTCCCGAATACTCAAGATTTTAGTGTATTGCCAACATATCGCCACTGTGACGTTGGAACTCTATTTTTCTACTTTCAACTTACTTTCTACTTCATTTAGTAATAATTTGTGTGATTTAAATTTACCAAGATATACTTCATTCAATTACGATTCTTTCGGCTTTTATAGATCTTAATTTGATCAATTAAATCGTCTGTAATCGCTTACGTAAGAATTGTTAGACAGAACTTTGTTTCTGCTTGATTTGCATTCACTGGTCACTAACATCATCTTGATATCCTCACCTTTATTATCCTTTTTTATAAATTTTAAATATATTTTCTTTTCATTTCTTAGTATAAAATTTATAAAAAATAATATTTTTTGATTTTTTTTTAAATAATTACTAGATATTATATTACATCTTGTGATCGACCTATAAAATTACCTCTATTTTTAGAAGTTTTATTAAATTATACTTGATATATTTGTTCATAAATACTTCTAAATATCTAAAAATTTGTATTTTCTAATTTTATAAAATTTAAATTTATGTAATTTACTATACAACAACTGAGTCACGTCAGGTATCAACAAAAATGATTATACTTGCTAGAAAATGTGACATATAGAGCATCGATCTAATCTCACATCACAAAAGAAATGTGTCAATCTTTTATTGAACCTCATTCATCTAACATAGAGAAAATTTTATTTCATCATCGAAGCTTTAGTCATTCGTCTTTTGTAATCATTTAAATAATTCTTTTCTATTCTACAAGTTGGATATCAATAATCTTCATTGTAACATTTATGAAACACAAATGTATTAATTTTCCTTAAGATAATAAAAAGAGCTTTACTTCTTTCTTCCATATCTATAGTGATGTATAGGGTTTTATTGTTCCAAATGTCTCAAGAACACAATAGTTCGTAACATTCGTAGATAATTGTAATTGGGTTTCATGAATATTCTTACTAAAATATAAAAATAATGTTAGTATCATTATTTTTACATTATTTTCTATGATTAGTACATAATTTTGAATTTCTATAAAAAGATTTAGATCTGATAATGTCAAATATTTTTTTATAATAATATCATTTTATTTTTTCATGGAAAATAATAAGTTACGAGTCATCATGTTTTAATACACCATAATAAAATATGGTTGTAAAAAATAAGAATGGTTACTTGTGAAAATATGGGCACTTATCTTTCAAAATATATACCTGTACTTTTGGGAATAAATGGTTTTAATTACTAATCACTTGATAAATTATTTACCTTCTGAGGTTTTAGAATTTTAAAGTCAAATAGACATGATATCCTCATTTTATCCTAATAGTTCATTAAAAACTAAAATTATTCTTAGTGTCTTTGGATGTGTAATGTTTGTTTATATACATGATACTTAGAAAGTCAAATTACATCCTTAGGCACCAAAATGTGTATTTTTTGAGTACTCTCAAAACTCAAAAGGGTTATTAATATTATCATCCTCCATTTAAAAATATTTATATTTCAATTGAAGTGGCTTTTAGTGAAGGCGAGTCTTACTATACTCCCTATCATCTTCAATGGAATAATTCAATATGTGAAGATAAAGTAAGAATTCTTTACCTCCTAGTCCAATATGTTTGTTACCTAATTTTGAACCTAATGATTCTTCATCTTTTCCATCTACCAAGACAACTTGTGATTCTATTGACCTTATTGATCCCTTTCTAAAAAATGTGAGATTTTGTAAGATCTCTTCAAACAAGGAAATGGATGTTGCAGAATTACATGTCAAAGAATAGAACTTAGATACACCTGGTGAAGAACCCCATGAAGATGTAATTGAAGTTGAACCTCATTGCAGTCAAGAAGAATATCTACCTATCATTATTAAGAAAGAACACTAAACAACTTCTATATCCAATTTCACATTATCTATTTTATCATTATCTTTCACTATCTCATAAAATCTCTATTTTACTTGTTGAGACATTTTCTAGTGAGGAGTAGAAACAATCTACAAATGAAAAGATGAAGTTCTTAGAGATGAACAACACTTGGGACTATGTGAAATGAAGGGTTGGCTGGAGGGCAGGAGGTTGGAAGGCAAAGGAGAAGGTTGGAGAGCAAGGAAACAAGGACAAAGATCTTAGAACTAGCCAGCTACGAATCAATAGAGTTCCTTGTATTTTTAATTTTATTATTGTCTTATTTCATATCTTTTCTGTTATTTGGGGTGACATACATTGATCAAAGAGACCTTGTTTTTAAATTTATTTAATCTAAGCATTTTTTCCTTCTCATTTTCTTGGGTGATAGATAATAAAAAGAGAAGCTTTAGTTTTGATGTTCCTCATTTCTCTCATTACGAATTTAATTATTTTTTTATAATTATTTGAAATCACTTTTCTCGTCCTTGAGTGACAGACAAGGAAAGGAAAAGAAAAAGGGTTTAATTTAGATTTTATATTTTAATTAAAAACTTGCCTAGTTCTATAAGCCTTTGCTACGTGAGGAATAATAGAGTTTGATTTTAATTTTTAAATTTATTTTGATCACGAATTTAATCATTTTACTTTACCTTTGATTGAAAAACATTTTTTTTTGTATTTTATTTATTTTAATTTTATTTTACATCTTAATTTTAACTATTTCAAAATATTCTCCACATTAATAGAAGTCATTCTATTGACAACCACCATTCTCATCTTTTCATAATATAATTTTTAACATATTTTCTTCTATTCATAATTTAATTGTCTCATCATTCAAACCCTTTTTCTTATTACCTAGGGTTGCCAAGAGAATTAAATATCTGAAATTAATTGGAGAAGGAAGATATTAAGTATTGAAGAGAAGAATTTATGACTTATCTAATCCAATTTTATTTTATTATTTTCTTTTTAGTTAGTATTTGTGTTATAAAATTAAAAATTCATTAAAACTAGTTCTCATCATCCTTGGGGATTGACCTGAACTTTCACTAATATTAGAATTTTTTTATAGAGTTCAGTTATAGATATTGTTAAATTTACATGTATTCAAATCAATGACTACATGTATTAAATTTACATTGATTAAAATTTACATGTATGATCAATTTTTTACGTTAGGAGGGACTGTCAAGGCTCATGTATTTATATTTTATTTTCTTCTCTATTAATATAGTTTCTTTGTCTCAAGTTAGTCATAATCATTTTGATTGGCCCATATTATTTTAGTTTAATTGGTTCTTGATAACTCTTAACTTAGGATGTCATAGGTCTTAAGTGGGGTTATGTAAAACTATTTGTATTTCTATTATCCCAGTCAATCTAATGAGTAGAGAGTGTAAGATAGGTAGAACCACAAGGAGAAAAACTAATGATCTTAGGAAAGCCTATGTAATGAGAAGAAATAGATTAGAAGATAGACAAAAGAAAGATAAATGAGAGATGAGTGAGATATGAAATATGAGTGAAATGAGATGTAATGAAGGAAACCCTAGATCAAGGTTGACCTAGGAAGTTGTAGAAAAGAAGTTTTAAAAATATTATAATGAGAAAGAGTGGTTGAGGTTGAAAATAAATAATGTAACTAGTAAGAACCTATCTAAAATCCTAGGTTTCATCATAGGGACAAAGAAAACGAGGCAAGTAAATAAAGAAAAGAAGATTACTCAACCTGGGCCTTTATCTGTCACTAAGGTTAGGCAATTTTCTTTGACATATTGATCTCTAACACTTTATTTCTTTCAATTCAATCCTCAACACTCAACTTTACCCTCAAGTCCTCTCTTGATCACTCAAGATTACTCAAAAGGTGAAGAAGAATGAATCTTTAAAATAAAAGTTGTTTGATTCTAGTCAATCAATGTTGGGACTCTTTTCAAAAGATGAGAAAGAAAAGGAGTGAAGATAATACATATAAGTAGTGAAAATTTTTAAAATACTTTTGGCTTTTTCTCAAAATATCTCTCGCTTATCTACTTCTTTTTTACAACCTAATTTGTCGATATGAATGTGGGGCTTGACCTCCAAGCCAGAAAGGAAAGAATGGCTTTCGTCAAAAAGTTTTAGGAAGAGTCCATCTTGAAGATCGTGCCCACAAAATATAGGCTTGAAACTCTTTTTGGATCGTCATATGTCAATCCTAGCAGATAGAGAAGTATGTGTCGTTAATTGGGTGTCTTCACCACAAAAGAACCATCGAAAAGGTGATGGTTGAGAAGAGACGTCTTTAACTGTTGCTTATGGTGACAAGACATTCCTAACTACTGAAAGTTGACTATTAAGGCAAAGAGACATCTTTAACCATTGCTTACAGTGACAAGACGACCACCAAAAGCTGACGATTAAAGAGAAGAAACATATTTAACTACCGCTTTCGGTGACAAGATGTCCTTAACCACAAAAATTAAGAGTTACATTAATCCTCAACTAACGGTCCACATCTTCTCACCTTCCGCTCACATGCAATACCTCATATTCTTGCATTCCACATAATACAGTGATCCATGTCTTCTCGCAGTCCATGTAATTGTAGCTTGAATAAAATATTCATAAATTAAATAATCATGGCAACACCTCATCACATACAACGGTGTGTCAAATATATAAAAATACCAATTGTGGGCACATGTCGTTAACTATGGGAAAATATGGAAAAGCCCTAGAATGTGTGAAATAATGTATACATATTTCTCGAAATTACTTTAATATCCTCATGACTTAAATATATCAAAATAAATCCAAAACAAAGTCATCAAAAATAAAAAAATAATTAAAATAAAAAATTCTTAGAATCATTATAAAGTTATTATTTAGCTATTTTTTAAATGATAACATGCTAAAATAAGATATGTGATCATAAAATATATTCACTTTAAGGTAAGTAGTGAGTCTTTTTAGCATATTATCAGTCTTGATCCCTTTTTTAAAGGTAATCCAAAGCTAGGCTTCAACCATTCTTCTTTATCTCTCTCCATCTCTTGATTGAAGTATTCTTGAAGACTTTTTGGAGAGCAAGTGTTGGTATTTGATGTACAAGTTCTCACACTATTCAACCCATAATAACTAGAGCAGGATATCAGATGATCATGTGACAAGCATGGGGCCATCCAACTCAGAAATCAGTTAGCTACGAGGTGTGCCCCTTGATATTCACATGCTTCTTTCCACAATAGCTGGTACGAGATCATCCTTTCACATGAGAAACAAACTTTGGAGCTTCCATTTAAATGTGAACTTTGTGAGAATTATCTTAATAATTCTGTGCGATGCCAACTTGTAGCCACTGATGAAAAAAAGCGAGGAAGAAATTAGATGGAAGCGGAGGATGACTGGCAACCTCCCTTTCTCTTTATTTCTGGAAGATATATATATATATATATCTATATATATATATATTACATCACTAGAGAGAATGGAAAGGGGAGATACCTCCAACATTCTCTGCTACATGATCGGAAGCTACAGGGGACCAGAGTTGTGAGATGGAAAAAAATCCCCAGAGGCAAGCGAGAAGGCATTTCCAGATAGAATGGTCCAAGGGCTGCTCACCCACCTCTCACCCAAACTATCTGAGAAGAAAAACGCGACAGAGGATATACACAGAAGAGTCGGTCCAGAAGATGGCTTGGCTAAAACCCAGGAGGTGGTGTTGTCAGAGGGACCCTGGGTGGCGCGGGGGAGACCTCGTGGAAGCTCGGTGGAGGCGGCTTGGTCGCGAGGTGCCGCTTGTAGCGCTTGAGGACAGATGCCAGGTTTTCCTTCCCTTTGGGGAAGGCGATGTCGCCAGCGGCTGTGCCTGTCCGGCCCCTGCGGCCGGAGATGGCGGTCTCGACGACCTTGATGATCTCGAGCACCTTGATGGCTGACGTGCATGTTCCCCGCCCTGTTCCTCCCACAAGCAGGGTCCCATTCGGCATGGGGGCGCGTGCGGCCTTCTTGAATGCCGCGGGGATGTTGAGACAGGGGCAGGCTTCGGGGGTAGACCGAGGCCTGGAGAAGGCCAGCTGGAGAATTCCCTGTGAAGAAGAAGGAACTGAGAGCTCAAGCACATGGATTCATAAGGGGATAAAACGGCTGAGATTGTACGCAGATTCTTACCTGAAGCCGATTCAGAACGTAGGTGTACTTGCCCCAGAGCTCCGGTCGGCTTTCCAGATGCGATAGTTCCAAGATCCGGAGAACGCACCACACTCCGAAGTTCACAACCAGGCTCATCCTCCAGATGCAGCTCTCGCCACAGTTGGGCACGTCCATCTCGCTGTTGCTTGAAGCGGATGACAATGTCTGGCCGGAGCTCAGTTCGCTGAGGAACCGCTCCTTTGCAGCAAGCTGATCGATTATCCCTACGTCTGCCCCGCCGTCCTGCCTGAACAGCCAGTCCGAGCCTTCCAACTTCAAGATCTTCAGGATGCAAGCTTTGAGGGACCGAAGGGTCGTTATCTCTGAGTCCGCGTAGGAAAATGCCTCCTCGGGGACTGAATTCATGCTGTCAGGCGCAGGGCGTTCCTGGCTCTGGGCCTTGCTTTCCACCCCAAAGAATTGCTCGAACGGCTCCCTGGACCAGAGAGACTTTGTGCTCAGAATGGGGTTAGATTCCATGGAAGAAACCCCATACAGCCCGGATGAAGAGAGATCATTGAACGACAAGGCCCCTCCCTCTGCTCCCTTCGAATACTGCAGATGCCCACTAGCCATTCTCCCGATTGGTACCCTCGAGCTAACAGGCCCCCCCCACAGAGTGTTGTTTCTGTCACTCGGATGAGCAGCCCTGGCAGCAATCGTAATCCCAGAGATGTCAGGCAAACTGTGGTATTTCTTGGTGTAGGTAGCAGAAGATCCATTCTCCATACTTCCCGGCAATGGAGACTCGTAGTATGGCCCTTCTGCCTGCAACTTGGGCCTCGAAAGATTGAGGCTTTGCAGACCAGAGGAGGTCAGGGAGGAAAACCTGGTCTCATCCTGGTTGTAGGCGAATGGGTCCTTGTAACTCGGACTGAAGAATTCAGCAGACTTCCGATCTGGTTCTTCCAGAGGGATATGGGTCGGATTGGAGTACCTGCTTGCACCAAACCCTCTGATGTAGGAGGAGATCTGATGGCCATGGATGGTTGCCGGCTGGTAGTCCCAGTTACTGGAGTTCTGCGGGAGGCGAAGACTAGAGTATCGCCTCTCACCTGCCTCCGAGGGGTTACCATTCCAGGAACTCTGCCCGAGTGAGTTCAGTAGCTGCAAGCTGGACGACCAAGATGGGGATCCCATCTGGCCCAGAGATGATGAACCCATGACATGACTTCTCTGCTGCATTGGAGGACTGTAATCCCTAGGGTTTTTTGGAGAAACAAGGCCCCTGGTGGCTTCGGGAAGGGGCTGCTTCTTGAAGGGTCCGCTGGGGAAGATCTCCCCTTTTGCTTGAGAATCGCCCGTCTTTGGATTCAATCCAAGTAAGATGTCGACCCTTTTTGCCACCGCTTCCTGGGTCACCTTTCCATGTAAGTCAAACAGAGCCACCCAAAATTCATCAAGGATGGAGGCAAATGTCCGCCGTGCTGAACGACCCAACCCAGACGTTTTCGGAATGCTCCCTGGGCCGCTGCTTGGGACCTCTGCCTTCTCTCTGGGAACCTTTGATGCAGCCGCAGGTTTAGGAGGACTGCAATCGAGAGCGGTCCCCTCGCTGTTGTTCTCTGCCTGTTTCTGTGGCTCTACATGCACAGAGCGGTCGATGGAACCCTTGGATATGATTTCATGTGCGTCCTCTAGGTCCAAGATACTGACAGGCGATGCCTCATCTGTGACCTCTTGCAGGGAAATCTGATCAGAATCTATTATTGAGTGTTCTTGATCAGACTCTGGTGAAGGCAGTGGAGCAAGATCCGGGATGGGAACTGGTTGCTGAGAATATTGATCAGCATCAATCGCCAAGTTGGGCAGATCAAAGTCGGACTCTGAAACCAATTGATCAGGCTGAATGCCCAGAGAACGCATGAACAGTGGCTCCTCTAGACCTACTACAGATGATGCATCATCATTCTGTCTGGGCTTGATCATACCTTCTTCTTTTTCTTCTCCTTCTTGTTCTACTACATCTGGAGCAAGCTGGGGATGATCCACGGGCAATTGCGATGCCCACATTTGGAAATCTTGTACATGGCTAGCAGACTTCAGCGGGGTAACTGCCAGATAGAGCGTCAAGACCAGAGATACGCAGGTAATCGAAAGAATAAGGATAAATTGGAGAGAGAAGCTGTCACCAGCACCCCCTCTTAGCGTGGCTATCCAGCTGCTGTTCCCGAATAGTAACTCCATGCCGAATAGGATGTTCGATGCCAGGATCCCAAAAAATGTGAGCAATGCCAAGATCTCAAGTTGCCAGGAGATTTTAGACGAACCCATCAGCGGTCTTGATGATGCCACACGGAAGAGAGGGATCACAGAAGATGGGAGAAGCACTGCTGACACGACTTGACAGAAGACAAGCAATTGATAGATGCCCTCAGCGCCTGTACTCTGTGCACAGCAGAAGGCTAGGATGGCGGCGAGAGTTCTCACTAGCACTTGATGAACCAGAGGGGGAAAGCTAAGATGAAGCAGATCACGGAGGATCACGCGCCCACCAATGTTCCAAGAAAATGCCGTCACCAGGCTTGAGAATAGCAGAACCAAGACGGAGGCAATGGGAGGTATGGGGACTTTAAAGACCTGCATTGGAGAAGGAGAGAGGATTAGACAGCCTGATCTAACTGCCACAAAGAGCTGGGAGATGCTATCACCAATTACAGATGATACCCTGCTCCTATGAAAGGAGAACGAGATAGGAAAGTAATCAAACGGCCATAAACAACAGAAGAATTATCTAAGAGGCAGACGACGTATTGTGAGGATGGGAAGACATCCCTATTGGTTGGTTCGACCACCACAATGAGGGGCATATTCCATAAAAATAAACATAAATATGGTGACAATTTGTTCAATGATACTATGCTTTGTTAGCCCATGAAATTGGCCGATCAGAAAGTAGATATATTCGAATCTTCTTTTTTTCTTGGGATATTAAGGAAAGGGAGGCTGTACCTAGGCTCCGAATGTCTTGTCCCTGTGTGGATTTAGTTACTACAGCCATTAGTCGGCAATGCTAATGTGCAGTGGTATTATGTTAGGGATTGGATAAACCTGGATTCTACTGTTGAGTGAAGGATGGCGATGAACCAAGTAAGAAAGAAATACTCGAATAATCGCGTATTATCCAAGAATGCAGAGGCTGCAACCTTATAAGGGATTTCAAGCACATCCTTTCAGAACCAGATATTGCAAAAGGTTAAAATGTATTTTCATTTGAAATATAAGCCCAGTGCACTGTTTTTGTAACAGACCGAACGTTAAAAGAGCTGGTGAGAAAACCTGATCCAACAGTAGGAAGGCATCTTGGAATGTTGACACAATGATCCCTGAATTATTGACCACTGATGCTGCAGAGTTGACCAGCACATAGTTCACCAGAAAAATCCCAGAGAAAACAAACAGAACAGCAAAAAAGTGATCATGGCGTAAAGCATCCACAGAAACATTCAGCAATCTCTTTTGGCGCTGCATCAAGAGAAAAGAATAGATAAACAGATTAACTTGACACACATTGGGTGACGAGAGCAGCTTAACTTGGAGAGCAAAGTGAGAAAGAAAATACGAATAAAAGCTATCTATTTGCGAGATAACATCATGAAAATTTGAAAATTATAAGGACAGATGCCAATAAAGAATATCTAAAGCAGAAAGGCACACTGCCATCGGTGTCAGAAAAGAACTTTTCAGACACCTTGACAGATCGATTGGGACCAATTTTGATGAAAAAATTTTGTTTGGATAGCACATGAGGTTGACCCTCCCACGATAACGATCTTCATCTCACACTCACGGCAATCCAAGCTGCCCTTCATTTCTGGTTTTTCTTCATTCTATTTTTTGCTTCCAGCATTTGCATATAAGAGGAAACTGCTAAATATCACCCATGTTATAGGCCAGGAACAGCATAGAGTCTCTCACCAAACACCATTGCCATTGGGTTTGAAGTAGGATAAAGCCAAGACAAGTCTTAGGAAGATGGAGAGAAATACAGGAGGATTAGGGAATTACCACAATAAAAACGTAATAAAAACAGGGAACTCACCTGAACCGCAGAAGAATGAGTGTAAAAATTATGAACCATAATATTAGAACCAAGAAGGGCCATAACTGAATATGCGGTTTCCCCACTCAATTTTGGAAAAATCCCATTGAAGGAAAGCGGGATTTCGGGTTGGCTAATGAGAACCCCGAGCACATAAAACAGCAGTGCAAAACCTGAGATACCGAGGTACAACACTTCTGCCTTCACATTGTCCTGAGACAGGGATACCATCTTCCAGCATCACCATTCATTCTGTATAAGACGTGATAAAAAATAAATAACTACGAGGAGCCATCGTCTTACCAAATGGGCAATGAAAAATGGGAGTACAACAGCAACGAACATGGCCAAAAGAATGCTTGTTACAATGTCCAGGCCAGATAAAATGCTGACTCCATGAGCAACGCCCAAGATCTGGAATAGGGATCATAATGTTGAAATTAATCAAGTTATTCCAAGTCTCCAACCAAATAATACGAAGTAAAGATATATCAGAGGAAAAAGAAAAAAGATTTAGATGATAGAGAGTACGTACAGTGCTAATATCCAACGCAATTGCAGAGATCTCCGCTTGAAGGCCCAACATTATGCAGACAGAACGGGAGTACTCTCTGCTGTAGATCTTTACATAGAAAGTAAGACAAAAACATTCAGTAAACAATACGAAATTTTCTACAAAAAAAAGAACTTCCCCATAAAATGGAAAGCCAACGTAAAACTGTTAATTTATTCAATGAGCATAAGTGGTGCACTTGGAATACAAAGAAAATCTTAAACATTCACGATAAAATAGTTAGTTTTAAGAAAAAAGTCCAACGTGGGGTAACATGAATCAAAGATCTATTTCCGAGCATTTCATTAGAAGGAATTTCATATCGTTTATATTTTTCCAGAGGACGAAGTCTGATTAGTTAATCTAGAATACAGAACTAAGAGAGAAAGACTTGGGGAATTACCTGCGCAAGATTATTTTCAGTGGCCACACCAACGCTGGTAGCAAGGTACTGACAGAAGATAGCACAGCAGTTGAGAAAAATCACCAGCGGTAAGAGGCTGAACCCAAAAGATGCTCCACCCTCGACTGCTGCTACCCATTTCCCAAGATCAATATAACCCATTGAAATCATTAGTGCCGGTCCAAGACAGGGGAAAATCTGAGGTGCCATGTCTGAGATATGGAGGTCACAGGTGCTGTCACTTAATCTAACATACAGTGATCACCCAACGAGCCTTCACAGAAGCCGAAGGTCTTTCCAAAGAAGCCTCAGACTATAGGTACGTCAACGGCCCTTTAAGTTGATCAATGCCATTTACCCACAGGTTTCCGATGTATAGTAGTCTTCACCGCATGATTACATACAAAAACTGACAAGCTACGGGAAGAAATGATCAAAACAACCAGACCAATACGCTTCTCACCAAAAAATCCAGGCAACCTTAAAATAAGCTCCCAACTAGAGAGAAGAACAGCAGCCGATCACTTGGTGGATAGTGAACCGAGTGTGAAGGTTTATGACGCTGCCCGGAATACTGAGAAGTCGTCTGATGAGTCCGTTTTATTCCAGCTGAAAAAAGAGGGAAAAGCCAGTCATGAACACTTTGTACGGCTATGACATGAGACCAACCCGACACAGAACGAGTGTATGATGACATCATCCAGTTAAAATGATGAAAACCATTCCCTTGATCTTACTTGTAGAATGGAGTGTCCGATGGTTGATTTCAAAGAAGATTCGGGCAGCGGAATTGTCTCCAGCAGATAAGATGTATCGACTAGTGAAGATGAAACCGAGCCTGAGTCTTCTACTTGAGGGAGGGGAGTACGCGGGGGAATCTCGAGTTTTGCATCAAGCAGATTGGTGCACGCGCACTGTAGGAGCGGCGCACTCTGGCAGCCCGAGCCCGCTTTCCCTGGAAATCGACTCTGGAGATCTTCAAGGGGAAGGCTGTGAGCGGAAAGCCCAACTGATCATCAGCGACGGGGGTGGGGGTGGGGGTAGGGTAGGGGTGGGGGGAATTTCCAGTTCTAATCTGCGGTGGCGGGTTAACGCCGGAAATTCATCCTCGTTTCCCCAGCCGATCGACTTCGCGGAGGTATTCAAGGGGAAGAAATGTGCGCGCAGAGAGACCACCGGATAATCCAGGAACTGACAATCAAGAAATCCTCCCGATCTGGAGCAGCGAAGAGCGCCTGTCCGATAATTCGCACCCGCTCGAGATATTCCTCGGTCGAAACTGGACAAGGTTTGGGTTCTCCGGGCAGAGAGAGAGAGAGGAGAGACGAAGGACAGCTTTGAGACCAGACTCGCACCTTCAGTTCCGATTGCTCCACCTCCAGCGACGGCAGCCTGCTGGAAGGTTCTCAAATCGGCCAGCCAACAGCCGCGGGAGCGTCCACCGGCCCCCCCTCCGAGCGGCAGTCAACTTACACAGCGCGCCGAACTCATGAAACCCAACTATCGACCACACTGCTGACCCATGAAAACCCTCTTTCCGTGATCCCTCTCTTCCCTCTGTCTATCGAGGTTCCTTCTCTGGACAAATTGCAGCCACGGACTCCCCCCGCTCTCTCTATGTGTGTCTATCGGCGTTACAGGGAGCGAGAGAGAGAGAGAGAGAGAGGACATTCAATTCTCGGCTTTCCCTTTCGGGGAGATGGCTGATGGGGAGGCGAGATCGCTCGAGACGGATCTCTCCGCTGGACTTCGCGAAGTCGGATCTCGTGCACCTTCCGGCCACCACCGCCCCTTGGATGTCTTTCTCCCACTACACGCGTCGCTCCCAGATGCGCCGCCCAGTAGACCTCCACCGGAGGGAAGAAGACGAAACCTATCCGGCGAATGAATACAGAGCAGCCATGACCCTCCCACCTCAGGGGGGTCCAGTCACCCCCCCCCACCACAATAAAGTCGCACAGCCCAGATGTCCTTCCTCCTCCCGTCTCCTTTCGGGCACCTGCGCCAAGAGCACGCTCATGACGGCGGCGGCGGAAGAGGTAAGGAAGTGGGTGGGGGCTTCTTCTCCGCTTCTGCTTGTGGAACTCCGCCGCCGTCGCCCGTTGACCCCTACCGAAAGGACGCCATGGCCGCCGGTGAAGCAGAGGGTGAGCTCACCGTCTTCAACTTCATCTTCCGCCGCCACCAAGAGTGAAGAAGTCGGTAGGGCTTCTCTTTCAACCCGCTATTACCAGGTGCGGTGGCGGGGTCGAGGGCAGGGTCAACGTCGGCAAGAAGACACGTCTTCGAGGTGGAGGCGCTACCGTCCATGGAAGGGAACCACGCAGAGATTTTCAATGAGAACGGACGATTTGACGGCTTCCTCGTCCGTCTATGAATAAACAAACTTTTAATTAATTTACTTGTCCAATTCGCACAAATAATTCCCGGCGTCTTGTGATCAGATAATACGATTTAATATTTTCCGGAGCACTACAGTCGCGTTGACCGACGCGAGACAGGAGTAATTTCTTGTGAAAGTCAACCCGTCTTAATTGTCCCTTAATGCCCTTGCCCCTAAGTTGAAGTGGCAGGGCGGCGGAGTGTGACCGGTGGCCGCACCGCCGCGGGGGCCGGCAACTGTCGACGTCCTGCGGCCGGGCTTCTCGGCGGCGCCAGATTTCACCGCCGCCGGGGCCCAGGACGAACAGGAAGAAATCTAAACGAAATCAAGGAACGTAGAGCATGACTCTGTTAAGCATCTCGAAGGGTACCTCGAGTCGCCAGTCCCTCTGTCGCCTGCTCATCGGCCTGCCTTTGCTCCGCGGGTCTCTGTTCTCCCTCACGTCGGCCAGTTTCCACACGCAGCGGCGAGTTTCAGTCTCCACCGCCTCTAATAAGAACACCCCATCCTTGGGCTCCTCAGCTCCGTCCAGGTAGCGGACGAGCATGGGCATCCTTCTGAAGCGGTGTAGATCCTCTGGCACCTTCAGAAGCCTCTCCGCCCCCGGCGAGGACACCTGCGCATGGAGTGGCTGTGAGAATGCCGCAGATTGCCTGAAGATCTAATCACCATGGAACTCTGATTAACTCACCTCAAGGCCCAAGTCCTTGGGTATCTCCCCTTTCTCGCCGCTCTCCTCCAAACACTTGTCGTAGAGCATGCTGAACTTCTCGAGTTCCTCCATCTCAGGGCAGCAATATCTGTGAGGGAAATGATGGGAGATTACCACAGGAACTACCACTTCACGCTCATCGGCAGGCTTGCCACCAAAGTGAAGACAGCTTAGTCTATCATTTAATTCTCCCTTCAGTTTCTGTTGATCGGCTAGTTCTAATAGCGTTGCTGTTAGAACTATTTTATTTTGTAGATGGTCGCATAAAGAAAAAGAGTGAGCTCATTCTCTGAGTTGGAAGAGGGAATGCAAGGTCAATTAAAGTTGAAACGTTGATGAAAACTATTTTAGCAAATTCTTTGGGATACTTGAACTGAATATTTCCAGTTCAAGTGTGGAGAATGGTCATGGATTAATACTTGTGAAGCACCAGAAGAACAGTTTCCACGGTGTATCCAATGGATGAAGGATAAAATTCGATCTGAGAAAATAGCTGTGAGAGACAAAACAAGAAAATATGCCGGATATGAGATGGCGGATTGTGTGTGATGTAGTTTTAATTTAGAAAAAGGCTAGACGAAGTGGAAACTAAGGAATTTATTTAGCTGTCAAGGGTGCTGTGATTGGTCTAAGCAATTGAAGATCATGAGGATGATATATATCAGAGATCAAGAGATAAGAGGGGATTTCATGGATAGATTCATTGTTAAACCATTTGAGGATAACACTAAAAAATGTCATGAGCACAATCAGTTTGAAACAGTAAGTTCCTTTCTAAAATTTAGTTTAATACTTAGCTAATGGTGGGCTCCCTGCTTGAAACTGAATTATGTTATCCAGACCTAAAGTTGATACCAAGTGTACCTTCTGCATTGTCCAGAAATAATAGCAGATTATGCATTTGTAGTTTGAGACAGTAGTAATGCGTCTTTCAATGGACGGCGCTGTTCAGGGGTGGAGCTCAATGTTAAGCTTCAGTAGCGTCAATGAACACAACTGATCTATATTACTGGTCAGGAACAAGGCAAGATCCAAGCAGAGTTTCAGGTATTCATATTAAGTCGCATGTAACACTATTTCAACAATTTAATAGAGCATACCGAGGATTCTTAGACACCAGCTCCATCCAGGTATTCAAAATGAAGAAAATATTTTAAAATTTTTCCATGCAGTATTGTAGATATGTGCAGTGTTTCTATTCTAGCATATTCTACATCCAAGGTACTTAGGTGATGTAGGTACGTACCAAGAGGCTGGATCACCATCCCTTTTTATTTGCATTGTACTTCTCATAATCACCATCCAAAAATCACCCTAAATACAAGTGATGAAGGTTTTGAGCGTAGATGTCAAGGTGAGCAAGACAGCACCTTACTGCCTTCCTAGACGAAGACCAGTATAGTAACTTGTCTAGGCTATATGATTTATACATGTGATTTTGGACAAGTGAGTTCTTGCCATGATTCTTGGCTACATGAGGGGCTACAATCTGCTCTTGCTCATATCTCCTGCGCTGAGTAATTACAGACTTCACAAAGTCTCATACCACGTCACTTCAATGAATCGGTTGGCAAACCGATTTTATATTCCACCATGCGCCTTTGAGGGAAGGGCGGCCATTAGAGTCTGCACATGCATTGACTTGACTATCTATATATAGATATATATATATATATATATTAATTGGTGTGTGCTGATTCAAACTCTTGTTGGAGATACCTCAGCGATATATATCTATCTATATATATCCATTGAAATAGAGGCCTCAGGAATGGATGACTGTACTCCTTTGCTCTCTGATTTAAGCTGGTAACATCTTGGAAACCGGAAAATTCTAGTCCGACGAGCTCAAATGTAAATAACCATTCTTATTATTGCTTCTTCACAAAATACAATATTAGTAGAGTTTTTCTGATGTTGTCTTAGGAAAAACTTTTACTTCAGATATCAACAATACCTTGCATATGTGGAAACAAAAAAAACTTATGGATTGGCCACTCTTTTCTAGGAAAGTAGTCTAAGTAAACATCATGATCTACAGAAAAATGCATACATGAGTAGATCTTTCTACTAGTCAATTTCCAGATGATGTGGGACAGTATTGAGCAAATTGATTACTCTGACTTCAACGACGGATTCACGTTATCACATGTACTAGTGACATTCCTTTTCACTTATTACTCATCTATGAAAGATTGCCAACGTCGAGGTACACTTTCAAACCAAAGATTTTTTGGTTTTGAATTAATTTACTAGATAGTATATTCTCCACATCGCTGAAAACATCAGCAATTATAAACGAAAAAAAAATAACGTGACTTCTGGAGAATCTAATTCGTAATGGCCCAACTCGTCAGAGTTGGGGAGTTATTGGCTTTCAAGGGTATTGATATGGTATTCGATACTACTATGAAATAAATATTTACAAAGTAAAAGCCTGCAGAATATAATACTTTTCTCTAACATCATGAGGAATAGCTCGTTGATTTTCGAAACCAGAAATTTTCTCATAACTATACACGTATTACACATGGTGGCATACATCTTGTCATACGGGACAGGAAAATGTGGTTGATGATACTTTCAACGGGAGTGATATGCTGTCTTCCGGTGGGAAAGGACCAAGGGATAAATCAAACAGTAGGGTCTACCCGTACAGTTGTACAAGTGATAGCACAGAGGTAATTACTCAAAAACTATCTGCAGAAAAGAGTATGAGGTACAAAAGAGAAAAGAAGCAACCTTACCGGTTTGAGATTTTATCCAGTCTAATGTAGATGTATCCCTTGGGAGAAATCTTGAAAGCAAACATCTTTAAGTCATCGCTGAAATTGCAACGCAGAACCTCATTGGCCATTGAGAGAGCATGCTCACCCCAAGCAACGTTTCCCAGGTTAATCCCGCCGCCGTCTCCTCCGTCGCCAATCTTAATGGAAAAAAATGGGCAACGAAAAAGAAGAGAAGATCATAATACAGATATTGAACAGTAGCTTACTTCTAGAGTACTGTTTCAGATTTTTCTTTTATTTCTGTTCTTGCAGGGAGGGCCGGGTCCGGGGCGAGGGGCTCCACATTCCTTAGAGCCAAGAAAATCTACCTGAGGATCGGCGTCGTCTTCCTCTTCCCATTCCTCGATCTCAGACTTAGTTTCAACTGAAAAGTAAATGCTCAAACAGAATCAGCGGTAATTGTCTAAGGCGAGGCAAGCAGTGGAGTAGGAGGTGAACTCCGCCAGTCAAATGCCAGTAGCTGATAATATCGCAGCTCCGGAGATTGTTAGCGAATTCCAACGGGCACAAGAAGAGAAACAAATAGGATTACTTTCTCGCCCTTGGACGTTGATGCGAGTTCCAAACTCCCCGTCCGCTTCCTCGTCTTCCTTCTCCGGAGAGATCGATCGGCGCCTTGAAGAAGCCGAAGTGGCCGTGGATAATCGAAGGGCGTAGGGGACGACAGAGCGCACGATCGGATGAAATCGCCCGGGGCCACGCTGAAGACCCCTTGCCCAGCCAGCGGCTGCGGCCGCCCAGCCCTCCGACGAAGCCAGACGCGTCCCCGGCGGAAGCTGCGACGTCAGAACGGCGACTTCCTTCCTCTGGCATCCTCCTTCCCCTTCTCTCACTCTTCGCCACCATCGCCAGCTTCTCTTCATTTTCCCCACCGCCCCCCTCTTCACTCCAGGCGGAAGCTCCTTATACGGATCCTATTGGATATCCGACACCGAACTTGCAGGCTAATTTCTCGTAATTATAAATATGCTGAAATACTAATCTCGTATAGAACTAACTGCGCGGGAAAGCGTGCCCAACCCCTCCCGCACTTCTTTCGACACGTCCCCCTATCTCTTCTAGACACTTCATCTCCAGATTCTTCTATTCTAGATACTTCTTCACAGATGCATGTATCTCAGTGGTCCCCAGATCCTTCTCCGTCTATATAGTTCCGTCTCTCTCTCTCTCTCTCTCTCTCTGTGTTTTCTAGGTATTTATTCTCCTCTACATACTTCTTTCCCCCAGACCTCCTATTCAACCCACCACCGCTGGCCCTTCCATCAACGTCCCGTCAGGACTGATCATAATTGGTGTTTCCCTGTAAAGCGAGGGAAATCAGGTCCGGACTCGCAGAAGCGTTGGGGCTGGGCGATGGGGAGGTCTGGCTGATCACCGCGGGGCTTCCGTCCGTAAACTCATTCATCGCTCAAGGGACTCAGAGAGGTTACCGCTTTGTGAGCCTTTGATCATCTACTCTGAATTCGTTTCCTCCTTCCGCATCCTTCTTTCCTTCATGGCAAACCCCTGACTCGATTCCATGATTTCTGCTTCATCGTTTTTGTTCTTGTTTTCCGTTGTTGTCTCAGCTTGATATCGTCATTGCGGATTACCGAGCGTTACTGCTGGTGATGCTTTTGATTTTGGTGTTATTATTGTTCGTTGAAATTGATTATATACTGCAACTACTTGTTTAGTTCATTGTATGATAACGGAGAGAAAGGTGCAGATGAAAGGACGGAGAGAAAGGTGTTCATCTGCTGGACACCCCCAAACACTTTATTCTGACGCCTTGCCTGGTCGTCGGATTTACTTCTCATTTGTTACTGACGAATGCTCATTTGAAATTGGGAAAGGTAGTGGGTGATGCTTGCTTTTGTTGTTTCAAGTTATACCAGAACCATGATGGGGAAAAAGGGGGGGGGGGACTGTAAATATTTATTTCACCCGGGCATGAAGCAATCACATAAATCTGAGTGACCATTTGACGTTTTTCTGGAAGGTTTCGACAAATAAAGGAATCGCCACTCCGTCCATTTCCCACAGCAAGTCGGTGTTGAGGTTCCTGTAAAGATATGCTTTACTCACCATCAGAATGGTTCATTCTGATACCTCACTTCTCAAGTTTTCTTATACCTGAGCATGAAGAAAGGACAGTGTTCTCAAAAGACCAATGATGAGGAACTTGGGGTCTCGATAAATAATACTGTTGTCACTCTCCTACCCTCGGCAAGCTGATGGATTGGTCTCAATTAAACATTTTCTGGAATCTAATTTTTCGTTACTCAACTCTGATGAACCACATGGAGGTTTCATTCCTTGTAATGTGAATGTAAGGATCTTCAAGCGGATCCGGTTTATGTATCTTGTTACTTATGCATGGTTGGATCCGACTGGCAATTTGCACTCATTGTAGTATCAAGATGTGAACTATCTGTTCCTAGTAGCTATCCTTTGGGTATGTTGTCCTTCTCTTCCTTGGGGATGCTTTTTCTATAACTTTTTTAGGTTCTCTTTGATAGACGTGACAACTCAGTTTGATGACAGCAGACCTCGTGCTGTAGCATGCCCATATGCCCCTGTCTCTGTTCCTATTAATAACATGTGTTATAATCTTACACAATTTTGTTTAGAAAAGGTCCATGTTCAGTACTCTAAATAACTGATTCATCAAGTGTTTGTGAAAGGTTACAGTTTCTCTTTGTCACTAGATGTTGCCTACAATTACTATAGAAGGAAAAATTGCACAGATGCCATGATCGAAGAGTTTCCCCTTTGCTTAAATGTGTATCGTCTTTTGAGCAACAAGAAGACAATAATTTCTTTGTCACTCGCTACTTCCTCTTTGTCATCTGATTTCCATTTGATTCGCGTCGACTGTCACTTGCTACTTCCTCTTTGTCATTGGAAGCTGTTAAAAATTCCCTTTTGTCAGTGGGCAGAGTAGTCTTCTGCAGTCAGTCCAAGTCCCCGTGTTTGGCAGATCAACTCCAGACATCCTTTGGACGCGGTCCTTGATGTACGAGGACGAAGGGTGACGTATTCTGATGACATAGGGGGAATGACGGCTTCGGTGGTTCGGGTGCCTTTTAGTTGTCTGTACCTGCTGGAGCTTTTGAAGTTTTTGTAGGGCTTGGACGGGGACTAGGAAAAAGTCTAAAGGTTGTGTTGCCGCAGGGAACTAAGGCTAGGGGGCAATTGGTGCCGCCGAGGAGACAGAGCGGCCTATGTGGATGGAGGAGGGTTGACCACCCGTTAGGGAAAGAGAGAGAGAGAGAGAGAGAGAGAGAGAGAGAGAGAGAGAGAGAGAGAGAGAGAGAGGGAGAGGCTACTTGGCAATGAAATAGAAGTTGAGTGCTAACTATGAGGATGAGTCTTTCGCCAATCCTCAGACCAAAGCCAGCCAAAAAATGACTGGGCGAGGTTCTGACATATCGAAGTCTCTGAGAATCCAAGGAATTTATTACGAAACCCTAGTTTTTTCTTCCAACCTCCTAGTTGCACCTCACAGTTATCCGTACTTATTCTATTGCGAGCATTTATCTAGAGGAATATACATGTCCAGTTGCTTTTCTAGTGTACCAACGAAGGGAGAACAACCAGGCAGCCGATCAGCCCTCACATTCTTCTGTGAATCTGGGATACTGTAAATTGATTCCCAGTTGATCAGTGGTTCAAATTTCGTACATATTTACGGTGGTGCTTCTGATCAAATACAAATGAATATGATATGCCCATGAGTCACAGGGAGAGAATCATCCCCTCAGTGACCGTGGAGGGGAACGGGACGGTAACCCTCTGTATTCTCGTTCTATAGAAGCATGGAAATGCCCTCAAAACATTTTTTCTCATGCTTGGGATTGCAGGTCTCTGGAGCTGACTAACTTCCCTTGGAAGCCGTACGGAACCTTCGAGGACAGCTTGACGGACGCCTCCAGCCGCATGTCGGCGGCGTTGACGATCAGGAGCTCCGACTCCGACGTCCGCTCGTCGTGTATGAAGGTGATGACGTACCGTCGACTTCTTCAGCCGATTGGCAGTGGGACGGCACAAAGCAGGGCTCCCCACCGTAGCGGCGGTCACCGTGCACGAACTTGGTGACCTTCCCGGAGGAGAGATCCACCTTGGCGAAGCCCGACACCTTGGGCCAGGGGTCGGCGATGGCGAGGTAGGCGTAGCGCGTCCGCCTCCCCATCCTGCCGGGGGGTTCTTCACCATGCCGGCCTCTCCAAGTTCGGGTGGGCTGACGGGGGAACGATGGGCCGGCCGCGCCGGTGCCGGGATCAAGCCAGATCTCGGTGAGGACCTCTGCAGGCTCTGCCCGGCGGGCTCGTTGAACAGTTTGTCCGGCGGGTTCATGCAGAAGCCAATGACGACGACCTCGCCGACGGCGGGCTCCTCCCACGCGTTCCACAGGTGGAAGCAGAAGCAGTCGCCACGTGATCTCCGACGCATCGCCAGCGTATTTTAGGAGGACGCCGAGCCGAGAGACCTTCCCGTCGAAGACCACCGGAGACCGGCCTCGGAGCATCTTTCCAGTTTGAAGACCACCTGCCGGTCGGGGATCACCACAAAGTTCTCCGTGATGGCGAAGTCGTCCACCATCGTCGGCTGCTCGATGGGGATTTCGATGTCGGGAGTCTTTTTGCCGCCGGGTGAGGACCAGAAGTACTTGAGGTAGGGTTTGCGGACGACGTCGTAGCTCAGGGGGAACAGCTCCCCAGGAGGTGGGGTCCAGCTTGGGGTGAGCGTTCATGGCGCACTGGAGCTGCCCATCGAAGTCGTAGCGGTCGACCGTCTGGAGGTCACCGGAGGGGGTGATCCTGATCTGGTACGGGAGGTCGTCCTCGGACATGGCGAGCAGGCGTGAGTTGAAGTATATGAGTTGGTCGCACAGGGGCCGCGGGTGCGGTCGACTAGCCGGAAGAGTCAGCACGTAGAAGAGGACAAGGCGGGCAACGCCCGAGTGGCCGTGTAGCTCGCCTATGGCCTTGGGGAATACCGGCCGCCCTATGGCGCGCTCCAGGTCGAGCGCTCTGTCTCGGTGAACCTGCAGGCGTGGCTGGCGGCGCCGCCATGGAGGGCGACGGCGTGGATCATCGCGTCGCCGTCGCGATGGGTACTAAGAGTGGGTCCGCGCCGTTGCGGATAGACGCCGTCGAGAGAAGGGGGGATTTAGCGTGTCACTGAAAGTGGGTGGCGGTACAGGGGCAAAGTTACCGTCGGAGAAAGTTTCTCTTGGCTCCGCCGGGCCGTCCGTCCAGCTTCGCCGGGTCTTCCCCGCGGCTTCTGTAGCGATCGCCAGTTGCACCTGTCAGTCGAGGGGACTTTGGGACGCCGCGTTTAAGGCGGTGACTGCGGGACCGTTGTGGCGGTTGGAGAGGACGCGCCTCCGCGGAGCGGGTGTCAGCCTGAAGAATTTCGAGTAGCTGGAGACGGTGACATCCCAGAACCGGGTACTAGGCAGTCTGATGGTCTCCGAGAGAGAAAGAGGGGGGATCTGCGATCTGATCGTAAGGGTTGGAGGGTAAGGGCATGGCTCTGAGTGGTGGCCTTCGATAACACGTTGGAACAGTCCACGTGTTTTCTTTTGTTAGGAGGAAATGGAGAATTTCAAATATTCCCGGAACATCTGGTATATGATGCACTGCACCTCTTGAAAATGGGTCGAAAAAGATGCCACTTATCATTTGGGGACGGGGGGGGGGAAAGCGTGATGACGATATTTTGGTGGTAGGCCAGCCGCTGCAGGAACGAAGCTGACTGTTGTGTCGCTACTGAGGTAACATCTCGGACCTGTCAGTGGTGGCCGCTCTCCCTCCCATTTCTGCCCTTCCCCAGCGTTAGCCAAGAGAAATCAGTCGGCTCTAGTTTTTGCGGACGGCTGTTCTCTCTCTCTCTCTCTCTCTCTCTCTCTCTCTCTCTCTCTTTCTCACTCTAAATGGTGATACCTTGTACAAGATATTAGTCACGCCTCTTCAAGATATTAGTGGCGTGGACTTCGCACGAGAAGAGAGAAAAGGAAGATCTCACAAAGCTGCCGCCGCCACCAAGGGAAGGTCTCAGAGACTCGCCTAGAACCTGGTGTGATCTGGTTTACGAGCTCGGTTCACCCCCTCCTTACACCCCATGCGCTATCGTGCACCAGACCAAACGGAGTCGCGGGACTCGCTCCCGCCATCCCCTTCATTTATTATTATAGCCTGCTCGCTCCATTGGAGACTCCGTGTTGCGGACATGGCTCTGCTGTCGCTTTAGCAGGATTCTCGACGGGTTTCCCTCTGTCCTGGAGGGCAGACCAATCGCAGAGTTGGCTCAGAAAACCAGTACAACATTTATGACTCTGTCATCCGAAGACTATGATACTGATATTTCTCAAGAAGGTGGCTGAAGTGGGCAGGCCCAAGTTGGGCATCCGGCAGTCCAGAGTTTAGACAGTGTTTTGGGATAGAAACACTATTTTTAAATCACTACTCTCTCTCTCTCTCTCTCTCTCTCTCTCTCTCTCTCTCTCTTTCTTTGGGGTGTCATTGTTGTACTCTTGATGGGTGGGTTTCTTCGAATAATTAGGGAGATTACGGTATGAAAATTCCTAGTCATTTCGCGTGTGAATTCTTAATATTCAGTGGAGTGCGTTTTAAAAATTCCTCTCGCTGATTTAAGAGTCGAGTATCTATCGTCAAGAAACTCATTTATCCGCCAAGAAACACTCGAGAGAAGAAATTAGGAGTGATGGCGTGTGGAAATGGGAACTGATTATTGAAGAATAACAGTTCATTTCCCCAAAAAATGCGTAAAATGCCCCAGAATCAATCATATATCTGTTCTGGTGTGGATCTGATCTTATAAAGCCCAGGATCAATCGAGAGAGTCATCTCCTGACCCCGCACAAACAACTACCGGAGAAAGAGTACGGGAGGGGAGGGGGAGATATTTCATAGTAGTGATGAAATTCATAGAAACTTGGGCCAGTTAATTGGGTTATATTTTCCTTCACAGCTTGATCTTTGAACTGCATGTTTAGAAAAATGGAACCAACCTCCAAATTCATCAGACCCATTAATACATCCGAAAAGGCCTGCCTTCTCTTGAAATGTATATTTCTCCAAGTAAAAACCCTAGTCAATATCAGGAAATTAGACCAAACTTCCGTCAAATTGTATGCCAATTGGCGATGGCTTCATCCCAACTCGTCCATGTTCATATGTCGGACGATGAGCACCTTACAACGGTTTGAGATCACATTCAACGGGTGTAGAGCGACAGACGCTGACGAGGGCCAGCACGTAAGAGTTCTCCGGGAATGAAGTAGGTTGCATGCTGTTCTTTGTGAGATATTTATACTTCTTTTTTCCGGTATCTCGTCGGTCAACGTCGCCCCTCAACACTTGACCTTGTCGGAATCCGTACCCCCACGAATACACTTGCCGTCTTGTGCGTATGATTGTTCACGGCGGAGGGAGCCGGCGACAACGGTCCGCCGTTCCGTGGCCGGGCCACAGAGAAAGAGAGAGAAAGAGAGAGAGAGAGAGAGACAGACAGACAGAGAGGGAGAGAGAGAGGGAGAGAAGGGGGGGCGGGCGAAGAGGGTCTGAACCTTGCCAACGTTCTGACCGGGTAGGTATGCATGGCTATGGATCGTCTTCAACCGTACATTCGTGAAATAAATGAGTGGCGAGGAGGTAGATTCTCTGGTGGGTCAGTCAAAAGGAAAGCAGGAGCGCTGGTTGTTTACTGTAGAGAAATAGACCCACGTCGTTAAAGGACAAAATGGAAATAGTTTTTAAAACATCAGACCCTAAACTGCTCGATGACGTCACATAGGAAAAATCGACTCTTAAATAAGTTACTCATCTCTAATTTTCGTGCTCCCTCCCTCTCTCTCTCTCTCTCTCTCTCTCTCTCTCTCTCTCTTTCTATCTCCATCTATATCTATAAATATATGCGCGTGCGTGTGTATAGATGGGACGGGCTTACGCCACCCATGCAAGCACTATTGCAAGTTGGATGCGGTTGAAGGGGCTTCATTGCTATGAGAACCGTAGCTCTCTGGCATGCGACAGCGGCCGTGCAGGCTAGGATTCACCACTGTCCATGGATTTCCATGGTGCCAGGCCAGCGCTGGACCATTTCCCACCGACCTGGCCACCCCACTATTTGCTAGTTAGTCCAAGTTATTGTCCCTCCTCGTTATCCTTAATGTGAGATCTCCCTGTAGAGAAAGAGGGAACTACTCCGCTGAGATCCAATCCCAGCCGCCGCCCCCCTCCGCCGCCGACACCGGTAGACAAGAAGAGAGTCGTTCCCAGAGTGCTGTGGTAGTGGCGTCGGTGTTGTCGAACGGGGGGGGGGGGACATGGTCCGAGAGTCCTTGCTGCGGCTGTTTCTTGCTCAGTCTATCAGACTGCCTCTCATGGCACGGTTGTCGTGGACAATCCTTTCCGAGAGAGAGAGACTCTACATTGGGATCGATTATGGGCGACCGTGAATCCCAGTGCTACGGACAAACAGCCTTTGGCTCCAGCTGGCGGCATGGCGTCCGAGAGATTTCCAATAATTGACTTCATGGAATTTCGCTGTGAGCCTTTTTGGGCAATCTTTCAACTTCTCGTGCATCTCTAAACATGTATGGTGATGCCCACTCCAAATCTACTTAAAGATCCAACTGCGCCCTTTGCATCAAGGCGGACATTGATTAAGACAACTGCATCTGTTGGAGGCTGACGCTAGCATCCAAAACGGCCGTGCCAGTAAATCTGCCCACAAAAATGGCCTCTCCATCACGTCGACAGCCCAAATGGGGACCCGCTTCATCTGACTACCTTACGCAATAGCTCCAACAGAACGTCCTTATGATGATGCTCTTGGAACTAGAATGAGCACAAGAGGCCGTTCACAGTGCCCGGGGCCTCACTCTCACTCTTTCCCACCACACACTCCTCTACTATACAAGATGGTGAACGGATGGAATCTAGATCGCTGGAGATTATCCAAGGAGACCAAGATTGACCAACATTGCAGACTATCGCCTGACGGTCTCCAAGTCAACTCTGAAAATGAGTGGCTGGAGCGTCAGCTTTTTCACCTGAGCCAATGAGACTGGCTTGAAGATGCTAGCTTCTGAACGAAACTGGATGATGAACGAACGGAGTCTAGACAGCTGGAGATCATCCAAAGAAACCATGGTTGACCCAGATGCAGCATATCACCCGACGGTCCAAGTCAACTCCGAAAATGTTGTGGCTGTAGCCCAATCTCTGCTTTTTCACCTCAGCCAATGAGACTGGCTTGGAGGTGCTAGCTTCTGAACAATGACCACTGTCATCCTCTCATCATGTGGTCGCCCTAGCAACACCCGTCCTTCATCCTCCCTACTTCCATTCCACGCCTGCCCTCATCCCCTTCATAATCTCTAGTGGTCAGGTAGATGAACTTGTTAAATGCGTCTCCAAATGATCTTGAGTTAGACGTCCCTATAAATTTCAAGGTGACATCAGAGCCGAGTATTGCTTGTGGGTTACGTCCACATGACCAGGTCAACAACTCTGGTTAAATTTGAGGAAGACTGTTAAAGAGTCACGCATTGAGCAATATAAACAAAGTATTCAATTGCATAGATGGGTATAATATGATTATTATTAATTGACTTTTAGTTGGACGTCCCAATAGCTTAAACAGAAAATCGTTCCATCCATTGGAAGCAGATGGTGATGTTTAACCCTCAGCTCATCACCTCCACTAGAAGCCAATGAGTGACGTGGCTGAGCTCGGACCATGGTGACTTTTGTGTTTAACTTTGTGGGGTGTACGAGACAGATAGAGACAGAGAGAGACCCGTGGAGGAAGCATTGGGCTGTGAAATCGGAATGTGGGATGAGAACTACGCCTCTTGGGTTGACCCGTGGAAAACAGGAGACTACGATAAATGAGCCGTAAATATTGTGCGGCTCATTCCTGACTATTTTGTTGAGGCTTTTTAGACAGGGAGTATATATATTTATCTATCTATCTATCTATCTATCTATCTATCTATCTATCTATCTAGCTGTCTGTCTGTCTTTCTATTTATCTATCTATCTATCTATCTATCTATCTATCTAGCTGTCTGTATGTCTGTCTTTCTATCTATCTATTTTTCTATCTATCTATCTATCTAGCTGTCTATCTGTCTGTCTTTCTATCTATCTATCTATTTTTCTATCTATCTATCTATCTATCTATCTAGCTGTCTGTCTGTCTGTCTTTCTATCTATCTATCTATTTTTCTATCTATCTATCTATCTATCTATCTATCTATCTATCTATCTGTCTGTCTGTCTATCTATCTATCTATCTATCTATCTATCTATCTATCTATCTATCTATCTATCTATCTATCTATCTATCTATCTATCTATCTATCTATCTATCTATCTATCTATCTATCTATCTATCTATCTATCTATCTATCTATCTATCTATCTATCTATCTATCTATCTATCTATCTATCTATCTATCTATCTATCTATCTATCTATCTATCTATCTATCTATCTATCTATCTATCTATCGATCTATCAATCTATCTATCTATCGATCTATCTATCTATCTATCTATCTATCTATCGATCTATCTGTCTATCTATCTATCTATCTATCTATCTATCTATCTATGTCCCACATCCTCTTTCTCTCCACCTCCCGCGCTCTGTCTGCCGCTTCCTCTCTCCCTCTCTCCCTCTGCTTCTTACCCTCCATCTCCCACTTCCTCTTTCTCTCCACCTCCCGCGCTCTGTCTGCCTCTTCCTCTCTCCCTCTCTCCCTCTGCTTCTTACCCTCCATCTCCCACTTCCTCTTTCTCTCCACCTCCCACGCTCTGTCTGCCTCTTCTACTCTCCCTCTACTTCTCTCTCTCCTCTCTCTCCTCTCTCTCCTCTCTCTCTCTCCCTCTCCCCTCCTTCAAGGGCCATACTCGATCCAACTTAAATCCAGATTGGGCCGCCAAATTAGCCGAGCTATGGGGAGGCCGGATTCAGGACTAAGCGGAGGAAAGGGCCTGCGGTGATTGTTGCTCGTGATCGGATCAGAAGCCCCGATCGAACGAATCAGCAGACATGGAGAAAGAGCCGAATGAGATTTTCAAAACATCAGTTTATAAAGTATATACGAAATTAAAATGATTTCATGTTGATCTACGTAATGTCAAAATGTAAAAATAATTTAAGAATTTTGCGCGATATACCCTTTACACAAGAGCAGCCGCGAGGTTAGGGGTACGGATCCAAAATCAGATCGAAGACGTTCAGTAATTGTCTACATCAGGCGTTCATAAGAAGATATCTCTATAAAATGCAGGATTTATTTTTATTCGAAATATTTTTTAAAAAGCGAATCTGTACACACTGAGCTGCCGGATTTCGTCGATCCCTGCAAAACGTGGAGACATCGGCGGAGTAGATCGCTAAGGCCGTACTCATACTTTTTCATTTATACTCCCAGATGAAAGGTATAGCTAAAATTAAAGAACTCTTTTCATGAATTCTTTATCTTCTTAAGAACGCCTGCTTTATTACTCATTGTTACATATGAAAACATGCTTTGAATTTTTTTCTTTGCAACAACATATAACTGACGGAATGGGATAGGATCCAAGGAAATCAACCCTCTTTTTGTCCCCTACACCATATTATTTCTATAATACATGACCTCACACTATCAAAGGACTTTTCTTTGACTTCTATTCCCTACAAAAACTACATAACTATCTTGATTTCCAAATGGGGAAGAAATATGCTTTTAAAGGCTTTACCACTATTGAGAATATTATTTTCCTTACGAATGTTCCTTGACGAGAGAGAGTGAGAGAGTGAGAGCGAGAGAGAGAGAGAGAGAGAGAGAGAGAGAGAGAGAGAGAGAGAGAGAGAGAGAGGGAGGGAGAGTTTAGTGACTCTTTCTTCTTATGCTCCTACCTTTCTTATTAGTTTCTACCAATTTCTATAAGGTTATCCTTTATGGCATGTCATTATGAAAAAGATGACTATTAGGACAAACTGCCAAAAGTATTTCAAGAAATAATGTTGTTTCTATCATTAATCAAGATGGAATTCTAAGTGTTTATGATAAATTTCAAGAATCTAATCTTAGTAACTTTTAATTGTTGATAACATTGATCATCTTTTTGCACTTATAGAAATTAGTAGGGCATATACCAAACTTCTTATTTTTGTACATTTTCGTTATGTTTCCCTCTTATCTTTGGATTACTCAATCATTTCATTTTTTTGTGTTGTTTAGTAGTTATGCTTCCCTTCTAGATATCATGAGAGCTTCAAAGTTTTTATATGAAATAGATGAGGGAATAAGAGTATCTGAGAGAAGTAGAGTTTAGGGGCTTTTGAATCCCTCAAAGGGAAGAAACTAGATGGTTCTAAGTGGCTCACTATTATCAGATGTTAAGTAGATTATAATATAAATAAACTAGAAAAAGGTCTTATTGCTAGGATCTAAACAAACAAATACCATTAGTTAACATGATAATTTAGTACTAGTGGAGAAATTAGTTTCTATGGGAACTGCTGTGTTGGATTTTATACTGCACTTAGATCAAGAAGTAAGAGATGAATTGATTAAATTATAATTTGACTTTTGATCTTTAGAAATTCTTAAGTCTTGTTCTTTATCATAAAATCCTAGTTTATCCCTTAGATCTGTACTTTGTTGGTACTAAGATTTTTACAAGGGTTTACCCCCCTACATACATTTACTTTCCAAGAACATCTTGTTCTTGGGTTATAGTAAACCAATTATTTAAATTAACAACTATCAATTGTAGGTTCAACTTCCTTAGAAGTTCACCTTAAAATTCTCTTCAAAATTTATGACTTGAAGAAGCCCACCATTGATTGCAAGGATTAACTCCCTTGAGTAATTAATTATATTTAATCACAAGTTTTCCTACATAAAATAAAGAAGCACTTTGATGATGCATTAGTCATTATATTAACCATGTAATCAAATTTCAACATATTTATACTGAACTCTTTAGAAAATCAACATGTAAATTCAAGTAAGTCCAAGTCAAATCTACATTGATGATTTGCCAATATATTTAGCACCTTTCAATGTTCTTGAAATAGCGAATCAAAATTAACTATGTTCATTTTAGGGACTAGGATAACACTTGCTAAGATATATGCTAATTAACGAAATAGGGGATGGTTATGAAGCCACAATCTCCAATTGATCAATGAATGAATTTTAAGGACTTTAAGGATTAGACTTTAGATCCCACCATTGGTGAGATATTGAGTTGTGCTTAAGCCTGTTTCTATCAATAGAAGTGAGAGAATGAACACTAAAAATGGAAGAAAATGAATCCA